TTGCAAAAATCGCAAAAATGCCTGAAAATTGTGAAAATCGCAAAAATGCCTGAAAATTGCAAAAATCACAGAAATGCCTGAAAATTGCAAAAATGCCTGAAAATTTCAAAAATCGCAAAAATGCCTGAAAATTGCAAAAATCGCAAAAATGCCTGAAAATTTCAAAAATCGCAAAAATGCCTGAAAATTGCAAAAATCGCAAAAATGCCTGAAAATTGTGAAAATCGCAAAAATGCCTGAAAATTGCAAAAATCGCAAAAATGCCTGAAAATTGCAAAAATCGCAAAAATGACTGAAAATTTCAAAAATCGCAAAAATGCCTGAAAATTGCAAAAATCGCAAAAATGCCTGAAAATTGTGAAAATCGCAAATGCTGAAAATTGCAAAAATCGCAAAAATGCCTGAAAATTGCAAAAATCGCAAAAATGACTGAAAATTGCAAAAATCGCAAAAAAGCTTGAAAATTGCAGAAATCGCAAAAATGACTGAAAATTTCAAAAATCGCAAAAATGCCTGAAAATTGCAAAAATCGCAAAATTGACTGAAAATTGTAAATATCGCAAAAATGCCTGAAAATTGCAAAAATCGCAAAAATGAACTGAAAATTTAAAATTTTTGCGATTTTTGCAATTTTCAGGCATTTTTGCAATTTTTGAAATTTTCAGTCATTTTTGCAATTTTCAGGCATTTTTGCGATTTTCACAATTTTCAGGCATTTTTGCGATTTTTGCAATTTTCAGGCATTTTTGCGATTTTTGCAATTTTCAGGCATTTTTGCGATTTTCACAATTTTCAGGCATTTTTGCGATTTTTGCAATTTTCAGGCATTTTTGCGATTTTTACAATTTTCAGTCATTTTTGCGATTTTTGCAATTTTCAGGCATTTTTGCGATTTTTACAATTTTCAGTCATTTTTGCGATTTTTGCAATTTTCAGGCATTTTTGCAATTTTTGAAATTTTCAGTCATTTTTGCAATTTTCAGGCATTTTTGTGATTTTTGCAATTTTCAGGCATTTTTGCGATTTTCACAATTTTCAGGCATTTTTGCGATTTTTGCAATTTTCAGGCATTTTTGCGATTTTTGCAATTTTCAGGCATTTTTGCGATTTTCACAATTTTCAGGCATTTTTGCGATTTTTGCAATTTTCAGGCATTTTTGCGATTTTTACAATTTTCAGTCATTTTTGCGATTTTTGCGATTTTTGCAATTTTCAGGCATTTTTGCGATTTTTACAATTTTTAGTCATTTTTGCGATTTTTGCAATTTTCAGGCATTTTTGCGATTTTAGAAATTTTCAGGCATTTTTGCGATTTTTACAATTTTCAGTCAATTTTGCGATTTTTGCAATTTTGCGACTTTGAAATTTTCAGTCATTTTTGCGATTTTTGCAATTTTCAGGCATTTTTGCGATTTTTGCAATTTTCAGTCATTTTTGCGATTTTTGCAATTTTCAGGCATTTTTGCGATTTTTGCAATTTTCAGGCATTTTTGCGATTTTCAGGCATTTTTGCGATTTTCACAATTTTCAGGCATTTTTGCGATTTTTGCAATTTTCAGGCATTTTTGCGATTTTTGAAATTTTCAGTCATTTTTGCGATTTTTGCAATTTTCAGGCATTTTTGCGATTTTTGAAATTTTCAGGCATTTTTGCGATTTTTACAATTTTCAGTCATTTTTTGCGATTTTTACAGTTTTCAGTCATTTTTGCGATTTTCGCAATTTTCAGGCATTTTTGCGATTTTTGCAATTTTCAGTCATTTTTGCAATTTTCAGGCATTTTTGCGATTTTTGCAATTTTCAGTCATTTTTGCGATTTTTGCAATTTTCAGGCATTTTTGCAATTTTCAGGCATTTTTGCGATTTTCACAATTTTCAGGCATTTTTGCGATTTTTGCAATTTTCAGGCATTTTTGCGATTTTTGAAATTTTCAGTCATTTTGCGATTTTTGCAATTTTCAGGCATTTTTGCGATTTTTTGAAATTTTCAGGCATTTTTGCGATTTTTACAATTTTCAGGCATTTTTGCGATTTTTACAATTTTCAGTCATTTTTGCGATTTTTGCAATTTTCAGGCATTTTTGTGAATTTTACAATTTTCAGGCATTTTTGCGATTTTCACAATTTTCAGGCATTTTTGCGATTTTTGCAATTTTCAGGAATTTTTGCAATTTTCAGGAATTTTTGCGATTTTTGAAATTTTTAGTCATTTTTGCAATTTTCAGGCATTTTTGTGATTTTTGCAATTTTCAGGCATTTTTGCGATTTTCACAATTTTCAGGCATTTTTGCGATTTTTGCAATTTTCAGGCATTTTTGCGATTTTTGAAATTTTCAGTCATTTTTGCGATTTTTCCAATTTTCAGGCATTTTTGCGATTTTTGCAATTTTCAGGCATTTTTGCGATTTTTACAATTTTCAGTCATTTTTGCAATTTTCAGGCATTTTTGTGATTTTTGCAATTTTCAGGCATTTTTTGCGATTTTTACAGTTTTCAGTCATTTTTGCGATTTTTGCAATTTCCAGGCATTTTTGCGATTTTTGCAATTTTCAGGAATTTTTTACAATTTTTGCAATTTTCAGGAATTTTTTGCGATTTTTGCAATTTTCAGGAATTTTTGCAAATTTTTGCAATTTCTGCAATTTTCAGGAATTTTTGCAATTTCTGCAATTTTCAGGGATTTTTTGCGATTTTTTGCAATTTTCAAAAATTCCTGAAAATTGCAAAAATTGCAAATATTCCTGAAAATTGCAAAAATTGTAGAAATTGCAAAATTTCCTGAAAATTGGAAAAATTCCTGAAAAATGCAAATATCGCAAAAATTCCTGAAAATTGCAGAAATTGCAAAAATTCCTGAAAATTTCAAAAATTGCAGAAATTGCAAAAATTCCTGAAAATTGTAAGAATTCCTGAAAATTGCAGATAGTAAAAATGCAAAAATTTCTGAAAATTAGAAAAATTTCTGAAAATTGCAAAAATCGCAATAATATTTTTATTCAGATCATTTGATGTTCCATCTTTAACATACTTATCATGTATTTTTAATCATGTATTCTTGTAATATAATTCATCTATTTCTGCACTTCAGTGATTGGGGTGAAGATTATCTTTATTTTCAAGCACTATGGCTATTGTAATTATGACTTGCCGTACATGTAATTTACATAACATGGTCAAATAAACCATTCTACTCTACTCTACTCTACTCTACTCATGGCGGTTGGAAAATTTTCAAATGAACACTGGGTATGTACCTATACTAGCATCCGGCCTAATATTATTATCATGCGAAATATCCATCATAATGTTGAGAACAAATTTCAATTTTATTACTCCATACTCATATGTACTGATGTATATTGCCTAAAACACAACTTGTAAGCTGTGCCTGTGGAACTTATTCGGAGAATTCAGACGACCGCAGAAGCCTCAAGGGGTAACGCTCAAGGCCGCTTTTACTATAAAATGTTGAAATATTTTACGCTAGAATGAGTTGGAGTGAGACACGAGACGACTTCCTTCGTTATCGGGCCCCGCCTTCCTTCGGACAGAATTTTTACTTCCCCCTTTACACCTTAGATTTAGTTTGACCTTTTTCAGAGGTAAACCCCTCCTTAAAGTTGAAAAATTTCGATTTTTCACACCCCATATCTTTTGTTATCATTCCCGCTAGACCCCAAGTGTGGGGTGATGAAATCAGCTCTTCAGAGAGAATCCGAAGATAGAATGATATACAGGGTGTTTCATTGAAAATATCAATGTTGTTGCTACTTTTCAATATAAAAGGCAACGTCGCAACGCTGAGAATATTTAAGGTTGATAGAACACAACTAATTATCCAAGGCACCAACTTTTTAGAATAATATTGAGTTGCATGCTCCAGAAACGTCTAATGTGCCATCCACCGTGAATCAAGGTAAACATTTCATCATTCAAAATATATCAACAACTATAAATTGGCAAACAAAGAGAGGACGAACAGGAAAATATTCAGACTGTATAGTACCATTCTGCCAGCGACACTTCATATAGTGCATGATTTCGAGTGACTTCGTGAATTGGAAGGATTCTGCGCCTGGTGTGTTTTTTTTTATGTTCTGGTTCCCACGAAAAGGGTTATCCTGTAATGTTCAGAGAACATCGTGAGAACCAAGGGAAATAAGGTAAGAATTGGCGTTCTTCTTAAATTTCTGGAGGCTGTATGCCTCGGGGAACACCTCCCTTGGCTGTGTTCCAAAGAATCGTTCATCCAACGAACAGCGAGGCTCTCAGATATTCTGCAGGTCTCCAAAGTGACCACGAAGGGGTGCGAAGCCTCAACACGACGTTTAATCACGCGGGGACTGCCAAGGGAGGAACAATTGAACAACAAATAAACCTATCTTCAGCCTATAATTTGGAAAAAATGCAACAATTGACATGTAGCGAAAGTCACGTCACCCTGGCCGTGTAGATATTTTTTCTCAACTCAACGCCTGCAACATATTCCAAAAATCATTATTATTTGAATTTGTTGCAAATATTATTCCAACTTTCTGAAAGACACTGTAGAAGTCGTACCTTTCAACTCATTACCCGATTTGATGTGTCAATATTATGATATACACAGTGAATTGTTTATATTAAAATATCTAATTCTGATTGTGAGATATTCTGCCATTAATTGTAAATTTTTTATGTGAGACCTAACAGAAAACAACTACTTTCCGGGTTAATACAAAAGAATATTGAAGTATTTCTGTCAAATATTGGAAATACCTAATATAGAAAATGAAAAAATGTACAATAACTATTGTTTAAATAAGTTGACTTGTGTAGATGCTTTTGATTCATGTCAAGTGTCGCCAAAGTGCAGCAGCAGCATTTCGTTTATTCTCGGAAATATTTGATGGAACGAAGAGAAGGACATGTGGGAAGACCTGTACCACCCGTAATGGTAAATATACCAGGATCGTCACGACAATGAAATATAACACAAGGAAAATAAAATATAATACAAACCTGAATCAGAATACCAGCCGGGGGAGAGATTGCAAAAGCTAGCCAGTTCTTTGGAATCCCTAGATGTTCCTAAACCAGAACTCCCGCTACTACCTCTTTGGTGTTTTTTTCGCCTGAAAAAGCTTCTTCTTGCAGTTGCAGTAGATCGTCCTATGAAAAACAGGAGTAAGACATATATTTTTGATAAAATCCATTAACATTTCCACAACAAAAATCTCAAACAGATGAGAATTATACATGTCGCATGATGAAGACAGCAAAAAAAAACAGAATTACTCAAGGGTGGTCGACTACAACACTGAACATTCTTGTTTTTCTTTTTGAACTCCAGTTATCTGTTCCACAATTTGGTGCTCTAAGTTTGAATGGTTTTCGATACGGAAATTTTCGGCAGTAATTATTTTCAGAAAAATCGACATATCTCAAAAACTGTGATAGATAAGCTGATATAAATTATTTGTCTAAACTCAGAAATTGAAGACCGATTGGATCGGTGTGAAAAAAACGTATATTCCTATTTGACATAGGAAAGTTATTGCCGACTTTTGGCACACCCTTTATATCTGAAGTAGGCCCGGGGAAAATATCGATATATCTATAACTATCGATAACTATCGATGTATAGATTTCTTCTCACTATATTGAAAAGAATGAATTTGCCCCTTGACACTTTCGTAATATCCAGACAATAGTTCTATTTTTGAAATTGATTTTTATTATTTTCAAAGGTTTGTTCAGGCATGAAAATATATTGCGTAGGTAGGTAGGTAGGTAGGTTGTTTTTATGTTGATTCAATTAGTTTGGTTGGAGATTTTATAACCTTTGGTTTGGATAGATAATAAGAATAATTTGAGTTAGGCGTGGCAAAATATCGATACATAATTTCACAAATATCAATATATCGATTAAACGATATACAGGGTGTTTCAGTTTTTTGTAGCAGGACTTTAACAGCTTGCAGAAGACATTTTTACAAGATGAAAATCTCAAACAAACATATATGCGTGGGACCTTCGTTTCCGATTTACAGGGTGTCAAAGTTTCAGATTTTTCTTATGTTTTTTTAATTTTCTCCTACAATTTTCGGAATAATTGATTGAAATTTGGTAAACCTAATACACTTCAAAAACTCAATATTCGAGGCTATTGAGCGTTTCTGAATACCTACAGGGTGATAGACTTTCAGAGGTCGTACCCAATTTAACCCTGTAGAACTTTTGTGCGTGCCGCCTCTGCTTCCAATGGGGCATAGATTCAGATTGTCTCTGCAATTTGGAAACTTTTTGCCCCCATGTATGTTTCTCGAAAACTGTATAGATTTCTAGATAAATAAAAGTGGAATCCGAACCACTTCTGAGGATACTAATAAAATTAGAACTGCCGTTCACGAGATCAAATTATCAAAACTCACAACACCTTAACCGTCAGAAGCGACAGTATAGCGATGTGTAGCGCCCAGTACCGTGTGTCATACAGTCCCTGATATCTAAAGTTTAACCAGTTTCAGGGTGTCCTAGAATTTTCTTCAATACAATTTCAGATTTTGCAACCCAGTTAAAGAAGTTTTTGGAAAATAAAAACATTTTTCCTATGTTTTTCCTTGTTTCAATTATAATGGTGTTCAAACAATTCAATCTTATTTTTCAACTGAATTTCATTTGGTATGGACGCTTTCGGCCATTTTATTTTTCAATAAAATGTTTGTGAAATGTCAAATACGTGTGTTTGAGAAATAACGGTTTTATGACAAGTGATTTATTGCATTTATCTCGAGATCCATACAGTTTTCGAAAAATTTACATTGGGTCAAAAAATTCCCAAATTGAAAAGAAAATCTGAATCTATGTCCTTTTGGGAGCAGAGACGGCACGCAAAAAAGTTCTACAGGGTTAAATTGGGTACGACCCCTGAAAGTCTATCACCCTGTAGGTATTCATAAACGCTCAATAGCCCCAAATATTGAGTTTCCGAAGTGTATTAGGTGTACCAAATTTCAATCAATTATTCCGGAAATTGTAGGAGGAAATTCAAAAAACCTAAAAAAAATCTGAAACTTTGACACCCTGTAAATCGGAAACGAAGCTTCCACGCATATATGTTTGCATGAGATTTCCATCTAAAAAAAATGTCTTCTTCAAGCTGTTAGAGTCCTGCTACAAAAAACTGAAACACACTGTATAATTTCAAAAATATCGATATATTAATATTTTTTTATCGATTAGTCTAAGATCCGAACCTTAATCGACCCTTCACCGAGCTGATAATAGAACGAAATATATTTTATCATGAATTTAGTATATTAGAAAACATATTAAAAATGGGTTTGGCTGAAGAAATCCTGGGCAGACTATTTTTAATTATTTTTCGAAAAATTATTTTTAATTAAATGTTGCAAACATCAGGATAATAAAAAAATTGTGTCCTGACTGAAAGTATAAAACGTATAGAATGTGCAGCCGTTGGGTTGTCTACTATTTACCTGGGCGAACTACTGGGTTGTCAGGTAAACACAGGTATATCGATGCCAGTTACTTTCACTGGATTGGATAATTTAAAAAAATTTATATCATCATAAGCGCTGTTTAATTGCGAACACGTTGATATAGGGTTGTCCTGCGAAAATTCCGGTCCTATCAGGGGTTTGCGAATTTTAAAGATTTTAATTTCAACGCGCGTGGAAGTGTGTGACAGAGAGATCCGAGGTAAGTATACTGTGTAATAATAAAGGACCCGACATCGCAGTCGCTTGTGATGGGACCCTGAATAGTAGAAAGTGTGCGAAGTGTGCGAAGTCAAATCCTGAAAACTATGGTTGGCATTTTGATGATTTCTTAAAACCAACAGGTTTTATCGGAGATCAAAACTCCTTTGAGAATCCAAGACATTGTCGAAATGGAAGCAAATGAGGAAGAATCTAATGAATCAGACGAATTCGAGAGTCAAAATGATACTTCTGATGAATCAGATATTGAATAGAAAATATTTATCAGAATTTATTTTTCATTAATATTATTTTTGTATTTATACTGTTTTTTAATAAAATTTTAAATCGTAATACAAGATGTCTAGTCTATCTTTTTTGTTATTTCTTAATTTAAATTTTGGCGGTCCACTTTGTTTCTATTTCCAGAAAGAGCAAAAAAATTTCAAAGTAAGTATTTGATATTTTTATTGTCTATTATAGATTATAGATATATCATTATGGTTATAACGCAATATAATTGATATTATATTGATTTTATATATTATTATTATATTAAATATATTTAATTATTATGTAATTAATTAATTATTTTTTTTTGCTACTGAAATATCAGTTGCTCCAAAATAACACGCCACTGTTTACTATATGAAGGGTAGTAGAGGTACCTCTACCCTCCATAGTTTACACACCGAGCATGCGCACTTTCTACTATTCAGGGTCCCATCACAAGCGACTGCGATGTTGGGTCCTTTATTATTACACAGTATACTTACCTCGGATCTCTCTGTCACACACTTCCACGCGCGTTGAAATTGAAATCTTTAAAATTCGCAAACCCCTAATAGGACCGGAATTTTTCGCAGACAACCCCTATATCAACGTGTTTGCAATTAAACAGCGCTTATGATGATATAAATTTTTTTAAATTATCCAATCCAGTGAAAGTAACTGCATCGATATACCTGTGTTTACCTGACAACCCAGTAATTCGCCCAGGTAAATAGTAGACAACCCAACGGCTGCACATTCTATACGTTTTATACTGTCAGTCAGGACACAATTTTTTTATTATCCTGATGTTGCAACATTTAATTAAAAATAATTTTTCGAAAAATAATTAAAAATAGTCTGCCCAGGATTTTTTTAGCCAACCCATTTTTAATATGTTTTCTAATATACTAATTCATGATAAAATATATTTCGTTCTATTATCAGCTCGGTGAAGGTCGATGTAGGTTCGGATCTTCTACTAGTGTTTTGTCTTATCGGTAATCGATATGTGAAATCTAATATCGCGCAGCCCTAATCTGAAGGACTAGAAATATATCAGGTAAATTGGAATCATTCTAGATGATTTTTAAAATTTTTAATCGGTTCAAAAATAAGTGAGCAATAGGTGGGGATATTTATGGTGAATTACCCTTTACATTTGTTTTTTTTTATCCTTACTACAAGGTTCACTTCATAAGGTTTTTTCCAGTTCATTCAAAATACCTATCTGCATGTTCCAATGTAAACGTGAACGTTTTTGAATAAACTTATATTACATCATCATCATTATTATAATGAACGAACCTTCAGGATCGCCGGCGCCCCGCCTCAGCAGCAACTCCTCCTCCACCTTGTACTTGCTGGGTATCACGCCGCACTGTTGCCGGTGCCCCTCGCCGTCCAGCTTCCAGGCGCGCCACCTGCCCGGCACGCCGTTGAACATCGTGTTGTCCACGTAGACGACCTCGTCCTTGGCGAAGGCCAGCTGCGGCGGCTCTGTCATGTCGTCGCCGCTACGGTCGAAGCCGCACCGGACGTACAGGCTGTCGCCCGGCTTGTCCTTGATCTCGTTGTATTCTGGAACAGGGAATCAACAACAAAATTAATTCATGAATTGAGGAAATAGTTATTTGTTTAATTAGGCAGCAAAGTAGTAGATTGACTGCCGAGGCTGAATTCATAGCCTAGCGTAGCGAGGCTAGGAACTGAAGAAGAGTTCATTGTACCAGTATATCACCTGACGAAGCTACTGTGTTAGCGAAACATGTCATGTGTTTAATAAATTTTGTGGAAATCTTATCGTTTGTGAAGTTTTTACATTTATCATGGATTTCCATCAAGTAACGGCCGAGTCAATTCAAAACATTCAAACTAAGGAAATATTCCAGTTCCAGAAGAGGGTTATGAGATCATTATACAATATGAAATATGTTGAAACGTGCAGAGGTACCTTCAGATCAAATAAAAATAATGACCATATTTGCTCTATTTTTTTATGAATGTGTCATACATCTGTATAAGAATAAAATTAATTTCACACAAAGTAATAATAGCAGATACCCCATTCGGAACAGGAATTTCACTTTTCCAACACATAATTTAACTTCAACAGAAAAGCATCCGAATTATTCAGCAATTAGATTTTTCAATAGATTACCAAATGAGATGAAAGTGATTGATAGTGTGAAAAAATTCAAGAATCATCTGAAGAACTGGCTTACTGAACTAGAACCGCATTCTATAGATGAATATTCAAATGTAAATATCTATATTCGAACTAATTTATTTATTTTCTATGTTTTGTGACACTGTTTCATTCTTTGTTATATGTTTAATGTAAACCTTTTTTTGAAATAAAGTATATTAATAATAATAATAATAATAAAACGCGTGTATAGATACTCATACCTTTCTTAAGACTTCGTTGGCAAAACTCATATGTATCGCATCCCTATAGATGGAAATTTTTGATCACATTGTGGCAATTCCACTGAATCGAAAATGACAGTAACGCTGCCTGTCACTTCGACAATTACAAACTCATTTGAGGTTTGATTGGCATGACAACAATAATCGTTTCCCATCAGATCAATCCAAATCTATAGGGGGATTTTTATAATAATCAATTTTTATGTTTCAATATTTCTCAATTTTCACAATAAATAGTGCAATGTGATGGTTGATTCTGAACATACATACTTAATACTGCAACAAACAAACTCAAACTCTCATATTCCATCACCTACCACTTATATTTTGCCATATTATCATATCTTTGTTTTTCCCGCAATGTTGCGGGAAAATGACACTTCCCAAACTAAATTGCGTGCGGGTATAGGGTGAATCACGCACGCTTGTACAAAAAAAATTAAGAGATTGACTTACTGTCGATTCGATAGTGAGCCAGCACGGTGACCTTATCCGCGGGCTTGGCCAGCTCGTAGGCCGCCTCTTCGGCCGTGGCCGCTCGCAGATCGCTGCCGTTGTACTCGAGGATCTGGTCGCCCGTCCGCAGCCCCGCGTGGTACGCCAGCGAATCGGGCTGCACCGAGTGGATGAAGATGCCGGCCGCGTTGCCGCCCACCAGCGAGATGCCCAGATTGGACGTTTTCAGGGTCTCGATGCAGAGGTAGCGGGGCTCCTCGACGGCGATCCTGTAGCGAGAGAAATAACTAATCTTTATCTACAACTATGGAGTCATTCATACATTGCTAACTCGATTTTAGACATTTAACACGTTCGCTGCCGAGCCGAAATTTCAAAAAATGACTTCACGGACCAAGGTAGTTTTCACCAATGAGGTACGTATTTAATTTATTCCCAGACAAAAGTCCCCACTAAAATCCTCCAAGCCTAAACTTTCAGTTGCTCTTTATGCTGCCAGGCCACAGAGATCATAAGCTAATGCATTTATTATTGCCCGTGTATTACAGAGAATACACCGCTGTTCAGACAGAATGATAGTCCGTGTATCATTTAGGATACCCCCGGCCTGTGGAAAGCACTACCTGGTGTATCATTAATGAACGTGTTAATGACAGATATTATTGTGATGAATCGAGTAATAAGATTAATAATGACATTAGGATGGCGTAATAATCTGACATCCCATCGTCTTGTCAAATTCAACTAGGTAGGTATTCGTTCCACTAGTTCTATTCAAGCACACCACTGTAGTACTGTTTGTGAAATACACGCAGATTCAAAAGACTCACCTTACATGGTTCTCATAGTTTTAATCACCTTAATTCTACAAATACACGGAAAAATGAGAATTCACTGTTTTGCATTCTCAACAGTGACTACCATCATGAGTAACCATATAACCATAAAATAGGATTTGACACTTACAGATTGGCTCATACTTATGTGCGGGCTATTCGGATAGATTAGTACAGACCAATCAGAACCATGGAACTTCATTGTTGATAACTAGCGTCTAGAGACAGGGTACTACAATTAATCTGCCATAGTATGATTCATTTTACAATTGAAAAGTGAAATGGCATATAATACCTGGTAAGATTGACTGATATGTGATTGCACGACTTTTTTCCTGTTAATAAAAACATTGTTCATCATATTTTCACAATCAAAATTATTGAGATAAGTTATGAGCTGTACAATGATTGAAATTTCTGTCAATAAGTTGTCGATGAAATTAATGAGTATTTCAAATCAGATTTAGTGATTTTGCAATAAAATAACCTTCATTATTTCCAAAGATATATTTCTGAACTCTCAGAGTTGCTTTGATATTTGAATAGTTGTAGATAAAGTATATCTATACTCAGATGATTACAGCACTCGCCTTCGGCTCGTACTGCAACTTTCATCTTCGTGGGCAATAGCCATCATTATGCGCTCGTTAAATAATATATTGTTATCGTCCTGTCTAACGTGAATGAAGTGAAGCTCTTTGGTACATAAATGAGACATTTATAGTATGAACATTGTCCACGCTTACAAATCTAGTTCAATGTAAGCAGAATGCTTGAAGGGAGGAAGAATGGAAGGAAGTGACTAAGGAAGGGAGAAAGGAAGGAAAGAAGGAAGCAAGGAAAAGCCATTGTTTATGCAATGAGTAAATGCTCGATTTTTTGATACTATTCGAATTTGAGTAGGAAGTAGAAACTCATCAGTGCTGTGATGAAATATTATTGCTGTACTTTATTGAAATGATGGCATGCAAGCTAAGCATAGAAAGCTATGAGTCCTTTATTTACTTTTCTATGGTTGATTTTCATCTAGAAACAAAAATTATGAGTGATAAATAGGAACAATTCAATGTTTCACACAAAGTGATCCAGTGGAAAAAATCATAATAGAAACAATGAAAAAAAAAACACTACTAGCCTATTATTCATTTCGATTTTCTTATTCAATACATGAAGCATGACATTTACCTGGAACTTCCATTGGCGGATACATTTTGTGCTTGTCGCTGCATCACCATAAGCTGGGAAGGTTTAATTTGAGAAGAACTCTTCCTAACCTGAAAATTTGAAAGGAAAATTATATAAAAAAAGAAAATACTACAAGCCAGCCAGAAGTCAAAATACATATGTGGATAAACTGTAGATAAGTACGCATATTCATGATACTATCCTTTATTGTCAATCCAATATTGTGAAATTTACCAAAGCTTGACACAATTTTTGACGTTGAATAGATGAAGGACTGTTTGGAATTATGATGAATCAATATCCAATAATCAAAATGTCACAACTGACTAACAAGAAGATAATAAATAATTATTTCATTCTGTGCTGTTAACATAACATTGCTTCTCCTATAAATATATATTTTATTAAGATTTACAATGAAATAACATAAACAATCAGACAGATTCATATCTGGTATGAGTAAATTATTGAAATAAACAACAGATTCAAAAATAATAGTAGTAAAACAAAAAGCTCATGAAAAGTACAGTCGTATTCAATAAAAAAGCGGAAAAGTATTATTACACATAGAAGATTTCGGCATTCCAGTTCTCGTTGTGTAAAATTGGCTCAGCCAATGCTTTGTGTTTTTGAGAACCTATGATTACTCTACTGTCAATATTTGGTAAACATTCATTCCCGATAGCCCGTTTTACGCAAATAGGATGACGTTAATTTCTCCCTCCAATATACTTGTACGGTTTTTTTTTAATACGACTGTACATTATGAAATAAATTAGTGAATGAGAAATCATTCACTCAGGTTTGATTTTCTCTTTGCAAGAGGATATGTTCCTTGACCTTAAAATTGAATTGGGTGATATTTGTGCAACTTTTGATATCATCAGGTAATTTATTGAATTTTGAGATAGCTCCGTGAGTGAACTTTTTTTGGCCAAGTGTAGAATTAGCATTGGATTTCCAAGTAAATTTTGTTTAAGTTTGGCAACTGGACTCCTAAGCTACAAGATACATATTCAAATAACACCGACCTCTTTCGGAGAATTGCACGGCGTCGCCTCTCCGTCAGCCTCCTCCTCCTCATCCTCCTCCTCTTCTTCCTCTTCCTCCTCCTCCGATGTGGACCCTGAACAAGAGCCGACGCCACCCTGTAGCTCGTGGTACTTGTCGGGACTGTACTGGACGAGCATCGTGATAGAGTTGCCGCACTGCCGCAACACGTTCGCCGCCAGATTGTAGGTGGCGTTGCGCATGTTGATCCCACAAACTTCGAGCAGCTGGTCGCCTATAAAGATTGTTTTGCATCACTGACAGAATCAGACTAAATAACAATAGATAGACACCGCGATTAATTCATAAATCAACTACAATATACGTTCATAATATTAGACGCCAAAAAGGGATAAAAGAATGATATCGCGAATGGTGGGGTTAACTCTTGCAAACAAGAGCCGAAGCCACCCTGCAGGTCGTGATACTTGTCGGGACTGTACTAAGCGAGCATCGTGGTAGACACCGCGATTCAATCCTAAACACCACCAACTGAATTAGATCGCGAATGGGATAACTCTGCGTTTCATGAATCATTAAAAAGTGTACGCCAACAATCCTAACCGCCAAAACGGATAGATGAATGGAATCGCGAAAGGTGGAGATAACTCAGCGGAATATTTGTCAGAGAATTGATATTCCATAGCCTAATGGTAGATAGAGGAAGTCGAGGTGAGTTGATATCTAGGTGAAAAAATATATTTTGCCTATTCGTAACAGAAATACAGGGCATTATTTGAATTCGGGGAGAAACTTTCATGAACGATATTTCAGGAACGCCTCGATGTTATCGCCTGAAATTCACCAACAACTTACCTCTACTGACACACCACTCGATGGCATACTATGGAATAAAATTCCAGAGCCGGACATGGAAAACTCATTTTCTTTTTAAATGTCAAAACATTGACTTTTTGAATCGTATTTTTCAAAAACTTTCATCAGAATCAGAAAGATCTGGAAAAACACTACAAGAGTAACTTTTCAATTTGTACGGCATACTTCCACCGGATTGGTGAAAAAATATCGAACAAAATACTGATGAACGATTCCATAATTTCGTACTGGCTATTGTAGTCGCATCGTTCAAAAAATTCATTCAAATCCATTTCTTGCATATCGGTGTATTATAAGAGTTGGAGAAAGGCTCTATTCGATGAAAAATTGCAGGACGGGACTTTCAAAACATGGAAATGTGTACCTAATATTCATAAAAAAAACTTCTTTCCCTATCCTCCCTAAGTACGCACGATATTCTTTGAACATTATAGGAATTACCTCTCGTGCACTCCAAGAGATAAAAAAATATTGCTTAGGTAGAATTTTGTTTCCGAATCAGATATACGTGCAACTCATACTACAATCAGCGAATCAAATTGTGAGTTTGGTGTTTTTATCATTCAGAAAACACTACAAATGAAAATTGTGATGGATGTATGAAAATGGACCTAAATAGGTATTTTCTCTTAACGGGATGGAGCACCTGCACATTACTCATCCAGTGACCCTACTCAATACAGGTGAGGAAATACCTAGACAAACAATTCTCTAATCGCTGGATAGGTCGTGGCGCCCCTTGTTCTTGGCCTCCTAGGCCCCCTAATCTCACCGTATCAGACTATAATCAATCTATCCATGAAAAAATTGGTATATCAGACTAAAGTCAACTCCAGAGAGGAACTGAGGAAGAGGATCGATACAGATTAAGATATGGTAAGAAATAATAGGAAAATTATTCAAAAAACCATAAGAGATCTTCCGAAGATATGCAGAAAATGTATAGAAATTGGGGAGGAGGACATTTTGAGAATCTTCGTTGAAAAATATTAGGATTTACAGACGAATCTTTTCCGAAAATTATAATGTTCTGTAATTCTTTCCAAAAACCAAGTCCGGTCCTGATTTTTCTTTACTCAGAAAAACTGGTTTGAATACTTTTAGTCGAATGGCCCGGAAAAAATCGAAGAGGTATTAGTCTGAATTTTCTTTGATATTTTGTCACCAATTCGGTGGAAGTGTGCCGTACAAATTGAAAAGCTACACTTGTAGTGTTTTTACTAATCTTTCTGATTCTGATGAAAGTTTAAAAAAAAATACAATTCAAAAAGTCAAAATTTTGACATTTGAAAATAAAATGAGTTTTCCAAGTTCGGCTCTAAAATTTGTCTCCCAGAGTAGGCCATCGTGTGGTGTGTCAGTAGAGATGAATGGCTGGTGAATTTCAGGCGAAAACATCAAGACGTTCCTGAATTATCGTTCATCAAAGTTTCGCCACGAATTCGAATAGTGCCCTGTATTTCTGTTGGGAATAGGCAGAATATATTTTTTCACATATACATGGTGTTTCAAAAAAACCTAACCCCCTTACCAGAGTTGGCAGAACATTGCAAAATAAGTTGGATTTGCTAAGTAAAAAAATTTCGTAACGGCATCCGTTTTTAAGATACAAGGTGTTGAAAAAATATTTTTTTACACATTTTTTACGATTTTGTCGAAACTACTGTCAACATTGTGATGAAATTTTGTATGGATGTGTCCTGAAAGCTGGCACACCGCATGAATTTGTTCTTATATCTGACACTCATAGAGGGCGCTAGTTACAGGGTTCGTATCGAGAACTTTTGAACTCAACTTTTTTCAGTCCAAATTCAATGTGAACTTGAACACTATTCAATTTCACACCAAAATAATGCTCTTGGTAAAACTCGATACTGTGTAACGTTTTCGAAATAATTCGATTTGAAAATGCTAGCAATAACTCTGATTCTGGTATTAGAATAAGTATTATAAAGAACAATCAACTTATTTATCGAGGACAAAAAACATTAACATTATTTTACTGCTGAAGTTATTGATTAAACAAAATCACATTAGACAATATTTAATTAACTTTGACTGAAAACATCATCTAGTTAGAGTAGGTATCCAAAATATCCACCGTTTTCACGAATACACAATTCGATCCTTTTTTCTGAAGAATGCATCAATCTTCTCAACTGTTGAGGATCAGCTATGAGATCATCGAAGTCATGTTCAATCATTTATTGCAGTCCTTGACGTTGTTATCAATAAAGAGGTAACAGTCTTGTATAATACTCACTTTCAACTAGCATCGGTTTTATACTTCAGCATTTTCAAATCGAAATATCCCGAAAATGGTACACAGTATCAAGTTTCACCAAGAGCACTTTTACAGTGTGAAATTGAATGATGTTCAAATTCACATTAAATTTGAAGTGAAAAATCTAACCTAAAAAAAGTTATGTTCAAAAGTATTCGGTAAGAACCGTGTAACTAGCGCCCTCTATGAGTGTCAGATATAAAAACAAATTCATGCGATATGTCAGCTTCCAAAACACATCCATGCAAAATGTCATTACAATGTTGCCAGAAGTTTCAACATAATCGTAAAAAATGTGTAAAAAAAAATATTTGTCAACACCTTTTTACTGAACAAACCCAACTTATTTTGCAATTTTTGAAACACCCTGTATATCAACTTACCTTGACTTCCTATATTCGCCATTAGGCTATGGCAGCTTAGTCATGACTCATCCTATAGATATACAAAAATAGTATAGATCGTTTACCTATCTGCAGCCCGACCCGACTGGCCAGACTGTTCTCGTTCACCGTCGACACGAAAATCCCCCCAGCGTCGGGGCAGTTGATCTGGATGCCGAGCGGCTCGTTCGACTTGTCGATGTGCACCCTGCGAAGTTCGCCGGGCACCGGCTTGTGGCCCCACGGGCAGCAGTCCTTCGCGCTGCCCGAATGGTCGCCGGGGCTGCTCAGCACCTCCACGTGGAAGATGGGCATCGGGCTGCCGCGCTCCGAGCTGCCGCGCTCTATGCTGCCGGTGCTCAGCTAAAAATACAGGAAAAAGACCTCAGATCGATGATAATAATAAATACACCCTGCGATTCATTTATAGAGCTTCAAAACACGGAGGAATGAATTAAATCGCGAATGGTGGTGATAATAACAGACAAACTGAACGAAGCATTTTTTTTATGTTCTGGTTCCCACGAAAAGGCATACCCTGTAATGTTCAGAGAACATCGTGAGAACCAAGGGAAATAAGGTAGGAATCGGTGTTCTTCCTGAATTTCTGGAGGTTATATGCCTCGGGAAACACCTCCCTTGACAATGTGTTCCAGAGCCTCGCTGTTCGTTGGATGAACGAGTCTTTGGAAATAGAATAGGTGGCCAGGTAGCCGTGCGGACAGAGTGTCTATATTCTAATTCGCATTCGCTTGCCGGTCGTGGGTTCGATCCCCGTCGACTGCAGAAATTTTTCTGATGGCCCAAGAAAGTGTTTGGGATCACACGTTAAAAGGTAAGGCCCCCGTCATTCCTTGCTCGCACAAGACTTTCGAAGACTTTTGAGGGTTGCTCGTAAGGGGGCAACCGAATGACGGATAGAACAAATTTTAGAACAAAAAATTTTCAGATGTTCTCAACGGGTTAATCTCGTGGGACTGCCAAGGGAGGAACAATTGTTGATATTTCAGAAGAGCATCGTCCATGAAAATATCTATAAAAGAGAGACAAATCTTCAACTTTTCTACGGTGTTGCAATGAAGTGAGTGAGTTTGTGAGCGAGGCATCACCCACGAGACGAATTGACCTTTTTTGGACAGAATCCAACATTTTCAGGGTATGTTTGGGTGCCGCACTCCAAATATGGAAACAGTATTCCAGGACAGGTCGGATCTGTGCCTTATAGATCATAGACAGCTGACTGAAAGTGAAATAGCTCCTGGCTCGAAACAGAATACCAAGTATTTAGGATTCACTTTTAGCAATTGATCTCACGTGATTTTCCCAAGAAAGGTTATTGCTGATAGTAATACCAAGCATCAAAATGGATGTCTTCAAAGGTATGGTTACTCCTGACCAGCTTATGTTGGGCACAGTGAGATCGACTTTTCTAGAGAAGAGGCATGCTCGTGTTTTGTTTGCATTGGAAGTTATCAAAGTTATTGGATCCTCATAATAATGATTGATTCTCTATTAATTACGTTACCATCAATAACTTTTCTATATTTAGAGATATTGACTCATTATGAAGTGTATTTTGATTGTTGACCCTTCAGATATGACCGTTATCGGAATTGTTTGTCTCGAACTATTATATATGGCTAGAGCTACCACCGTCTACTATTACCACAATGGGAGTAGTGGATATTGAATATTGATATTTTTGAAATCTCAATCTTTGCTCAATTATTGCTATGAAATATTCACAGTGACTGTGTTAATTTTATCGTCACTCATCATAGAATATGCATCAAGGGTGCTCAAGTTATAAACCGAAATGTTTTGAGAATCATATCTAACATATATATCCCCTATTACAAGTTTTACACACAATTACCCCCTTTTACCCTATTGAAATAATAAAAATATTTTCATTTTATAGAAACAAGGAGAGAAAATCCCAAAAAATCAAGTTAAAATGAATTTACTACCTCCTCCATTGACCTACAGACAGTACTTCCTCACCTTGCTCGTCACGCTCGGATTCGACGGTACTCGGAACCGCTGATTCTTCCTCGGAAACGTCCCGCCCACCTCCACCGCCTCAGCGCCCCGCCTACCCCCCGCCACGTCCGCCGACGGGCTGTGCACGTGATGGATCGGCTCGAAGCTGAAGCTCTCTCGCGACCTGTCCAGGTGGTGGGGATGCGGATGGGCGTGGTGCGCGTGGTAGGCGTGGTGCGCGCGCGGCGACGAGGCGAACGGTTGGCTGTGGCCGCGGATGTGGGCGGGGCCGACAGATTCGTGTGGGTGGTGGCTGCCCGCCAGGCTGTCTCTTTCCGAGTCGGAGCCGTATTTCGTGATGCCTGCAAAGTGGAACGATTCTAAATGAATAGAGAAGGACTGTCCGCAATCGCGGATCGTGCTGAAGGAAGCAGTAAGGACGACAAAGAGATGAACGAGAAGAAGTCAGAGAAGGAGACAGAAAAGGTTACTAAAAGATAGACGAACATGAAGAGAGAAAGAATACGACAATCAGTTATCAGACTTAAGGTGTTCTTCAAGGATCTTTTCAGTGTGTGTACGCAAGCTTAATATGAACGCGAACCATGATGAAAAGCCGGAATAGAAAACATGCAGGAAGACAAAAAACTGAAAAAAAAAATAGAAAGGGAGACAGAAAGTGGGACAGACAGGAAGAAAAACATGAAAAGACAGAAAGACATCGAGGAAGCAATAAGGAACACAGGAGATCATAAAGGTAGACAGTCATAAAAACAAAATAAAACAATCAATACCAGATCTACCAACTCAAAGAATGGAATATCGATGTCTTAAGATGTTCCTCAGGGAATGTTTTAGGGTGTGCGCGCAAGCTTATTATAAACGCGATCCGAGACGAAAAGAAGACGAGTAGGAAGACAGAAAACAGAAGAATATCGAAAGGAAGTTAGAAAGGAAGACAGAAAGGGGAGACAGACAGGAAGATAAACATTAGAAGACTGAAAGAAATACATTGGTAGGAGTAGTAACGAAACCAGAAACACAGAAATCAATATTTATTCATGTGATTCCATAATACAAAAAAAATATATGAAGATTTGTACACAGAAGAAAAACATTGTTCACTGTCCAGCAGGAGGCGAGATTTAGCCTAAGGCTACTCTTACATCTAACCTCTCACTGTCCGAATGGAGAGAATGAGAGAAAAAAAAGGGGGATGTGTACATAATATTCATATTGACGAGCATAACAATACTCATTGTGAAAAAAGTAGCTCATGTTTAATGAACTTTCGGAAGGAGAATGGACCAAGGCTTTTAATGCGGTCTGGAATTGAATTGAACAATTTAATTGCATTATATGTGAAAACTTCTTTGATACATGGCGGTCGAATGATGAGGCATCGTTAATGCATTGGGATGTCTTATATTAACTGAATGTATGCTGGATCTCGGAATTAACGGGTAGCGACTATCATCTGATTGACTCCTAAGAAACTTATAGATGAATAAAGCTAAGTGAAGTCTCCAACGATTTTCCATAGTGAGCCAGTTAAGTTCATTTAGTTTTTGAGATATGTGACCATATTTACGTAACCCATATATGAACCGCACACAATAATTCTGTACCTTTTGAATTGTATACCTATAACTTCCATCAAGTCATGGACCATACAAAAAATAGGCGAATTGGGACAAGACCAAGCTGTCACATAAAGTTTTGCGCAGTTTCAAATTCAACACGTACCTATTGCTGTATCAAGTTTTTAGGGAAATAAATGTTTTAGTCAGAATGTGCTTAACGTGATTTTTAAATCTGAGTTCATCATCGGATACCAAGCCTAAATTTTTTGACGAGTGAACAATACTTAACGGCTTATTATCAATACTCATGTTCAAATTCGAGCAGATCTCATCATTAGTTTCTGGGAGAAGAAACAATAACTTTTGATTTACAAGAGTTTAATTTCAGATTATGAGCCCGACTTTTCCCAAATATTATGTTAAGGTGATAATTCAACCAATTTCGGGCCTCCAAAATATTATCTTTAGGAAAATTTATGAAGATTTGGGTGTCATCGGCATACACCTGAATTTTACAATATTCTATATCCGATATAGAAATAATGAAAAAAAGGGGACCCAAAATGCTGCCTTGTGGCACTCCTGCTGTCATGTTTACATAATTTGAGTGGCTGTCATCCGATACTATTTTTTGTTTTCTCTCTGCAAAGTACGATTGTATTAATTTCAAAGAGTCAATCGTATTTAAGCTTAGCAATCATAAGTTTATGGTTTATATTATCGAATGCCTTTGACTTCTAAAAGTGTTAATATGGAAGCACATCTTTTGTTCAAATTAGAGTATATATCATCAAGAACTTGCGTTAGTGATGTTGTTGTATTCAGGCGTTTTTGAAATCCAGACTGGCATGTCGTTATTATTTCATTATTTTCAACATGTTCAAGTATTTGTTTGTATAGGACTTTTTCATAAATTTTCGAGAGGCAAGGTAAGATAATGGTAACACGAAGGTCTGAAAATTCTACCGGAATGGCAATTTTGGGTAATGGGCGACCTAAAGAGATTTTCCATAGTGCTGGAAACTGACTTTTTTCGAAGCCATAATTGATGAGATGTGTGATGAATGGATCGATGAATGGGCTACAGTATCTAAGCATTGTAACACAGATGTCATCAATTACATATGCTTTCGTTTCAATGTTAAACAGAAAATCATGCACTTCATTAGTTGTTGTGAGTTTGAATTCGAATTTTGTGACGTCTTGTATTGTATTCAATTTACCACTTACAACTTTCATATTTCGTGATGCCTGCAAAGTGGAACGACCTTGATGAACGCTAGACTCGGCGACAATGTCGGTAGAGCGGAAGGAAGAAACGAAGACCAGATAGAGAAGAAGACAGCAAGTAGATCGAAAAAAAGACACACAGGGATAAACATGAAATAAACAGGAGACGATGGATCCTGATGCGATGATAAAGGAGTGCGTGCACAGGATCTTGCTGAAGAGACAAGAACAAGACAAAATGCAGACAGAGAAGATGATAGAAAAATATAGAGAGGAAGATGAACATGAGAGGACAGAAAGAAAGACATGAAGGAAGCAGCAAGGAACACAGAAAAAAAGACAGAAATTAATACATAAAGGGAAATACGAGGGGAAGACAAACATAAAGATAGAAAATAAAACAGAAAGGAAGACAGAAGGAAAAAATAATGGAATTCTGGAATGAAGACAAGAATAACAGGAAAGGCAGAAAGGAAGACAAAAATAAAGACAAAAGGGTGACAGAAAGGAAATAGTGAAGAACATAGCAAGATAGAAAGGAGAATAACTCGAAAACTGCTGACGATTTTCAAATAATGTACTCTCCACAAACCTGAGCTTTTTGAAATCATGCCTCAAATTTGAATACAAAAAATTCAACGGTTCCCGAGTTATTACGATAAATTTATGTTAATTTCTTAATTTCAAGACCCTTCATAGAGAACTGAGCACTTGGGAACCTTTTGTTCCCACCTTATTCGTGAGCTGAAAAAGTTTATTATCGTGAAATAAAATATCTAGACGAAATGTGTATTCAGGATGTTATCACAGAATATGTATTTGGCTTGTAATTGTTTCTTATAATTGAATGAAGGAATCCTATTCATGCAACAATAGGCCCATTATGCAACAAGCTTAACTGATACCACGATACATGCGTATATAAACTCTGCCTTCCTGGCACACTATAAAATGAAATGAAAGTGTCAATACTCATATTATTGTATTGTCCTTCCACAAAGTCAATTGGAGCATCTCCAGCAGCTGGAGTTACTCCAATGGGGAAGTTTCCTTCAGATGAATTTTCATAAAATAAGTTCCTAACTCTCTAGTTTTATGTCCACGCTGTACAGAATGGCGACCGTTAAAGTCCAAGTCGTTCTAATTATCAAATTAAAGCAATTTCTAATTTTCGGAGCGGCAGACTGTGACGTACATTCTGAATGTAGTCTGAAAATAGCTGATGATGAAGAATATAGCTAGTGAATAGCTAACGAATGAAAAAAATAGAAGAAGTAAAACTGGCAAACAAAAACATACATAACCACAAATGCACTCGGATCAGGAATGCAGAAGGTAGTTGGCTTCATTCTGACAGGTTATGGTTTTGTTATTTATGCATTGAAATAGAGGTCGGTCCTAAACGAAAATATCATTGAATCACTATCGGCTACATTCAATGATACAATCCTTCCTAATTTACTGGCATCGGCCAGATCAGAATGAAGCCGACACCCATGGCTCCTTCCTCTTGTTGTGCCTGTCAGTATTTTGAGTGGTGTGGGCGGACACAAAGTGTTGAGCACTGTTGCAAGATATAATCTGCAACTTCCCTAGAAAATAGATCCGTTTTATAAAGGAACGAATTCATTAGCAGAAAAAATGACTGACAAGTTATCAACAACATATTGTAATATAACGATAGTGGAAAATTATATATAATATCGCAAAATATCATAATTTATCATCATTAGTAATCAACTTGTTGTTGCTGTTGTTCTTTATTTCCCCAAGAGATTTATGGTAATAATTCATAATACTTGACAAAGTAGGATTGAAGAACCTATTATATCCCATTGTTGTTATGATATAGTAATTATGTATTCCAAGAACAATTTCCGAAAATCCAGACATATCGATGATGTCGGCAACGTCGTACTGGCACAGGGAATTGTATTTTAACTCTGTGTGACTGTGGATTTTCAGAAAGTACGTCATAGGAATGGTGGAGGAGCCAACAACTCCTTTTATTTATTTTTTCTGAAGTGAAATTTGATCATACGAAAAAAAGAAAAAATACGTATACATTAATTTTTTACAAACTTCAGAGTCAGATAAAAACCTCAATATAGGAAACTTTCCCATTGTGTAATGAAGCAACAAAAAAAAAACTAAATCATATTCGCATCCTCACCAGATCTATTGTTCTTCTTGTAGTAAGCTATAACCTCCTTGTCCACGAACCGATGCACCGGAAAATCCAAACTGTTGTCGGAGTTCATGTTGACGCTCAACCGATTCGCATTGTTGGCCGTCCTCAGTCGCTCGAACGAGTCGTTCGGCAGGCCGAAGTTGTGCGAAGTGTCGACGCTCTTGTACACCGAATGTCTGGCGTAGTTCGTCTGCAAAGCGCCAGATTTCGTGTTATTCGTCAGAGTTCCACTCAGATTTCTGATATCAGATAGAAAGAACTATTTACATGATAAACCTAGAGTCTCAAGACTAAGAGATTCTAGGGATATTTCGTGAATCGATTGTCAGCTGATGCAAGACAGACTGTTTCGACTTGCCAAACAGTCTGTCTTGCATCAGCTGACAATCGATTCACGAAATTTCCCTAGAATCTCTTAGTCTTGAGATTCTAGGTTTATCACCATCTGTTAGTGGAACATTAAACCACTTGGAGAATTACAGGTGTTGCAATAGTCTACAGAATCTGACATGGATGTCTTTTCTGTAAGCATAAAGACGTAGGGGTCTATATGCACGACTTAGTCGCAAGGTATGATTGATGAATCTACCTATACACCTTGCACTTAAGCCACTAGTAGATGACTATGAAGGCTAGATCGTCCTTCTGCCCCCTCAGGGCTTCGACTTGTCAGAACTATTTACATTCAAACAATTGTCGCGTTTTTTGTGATTCTCTGGTGTAGGGATTTTGTTGGAACGAATATAACGGCAAAGAATGAAGAATGACATTAATGTGACGACAACCATGTGATCTTGTAAGAGGTAGGGTCCCTTGATGTAAATTAACGACATTTTGCATCAAGGGGCCCAAGTAAGAGGTATTTACTGTGACCGTGTGAAAACCACATGCAATCAAAATGACACAATAATTATCAATAAAAAACATCAAAATTAATTTTAGATCAGATCAATTTTTGGATCTTTGGACTGGATCCATGGATTGAAGATGCATATTGAATAATGGTTTTGGTATATATGTGCGGGCTGTGGGGTACTTACGTGGATATTTCTAACTATGACTAATTAATTATCATTCCCTAGAAATTGGTGTTATTCGATATTATCACATTTTGATGATACCTATATATCAATGGAGAATATTGTAGTGAATCATGCAGTGAGCACCATATTATGGAGATAGAAAGTGCATTGAAAATTGTATTTGTCGGAGAAGATGAAAGCTAGTGACATTCTTCATGAAATTATGGATTCATAAGATGGCAAAATTAAATCCACGATGATGAATGTTCAATACTGACCTTTTTAGAATATGTAATGGAGAAGTCAAAAAAATTGAAAATTTTCATGATATTGTTATACCAAGATTCAATACAAAGACCTTCCAGAGCCATTTCAGATTGACTCCTGAATATAACCATTAGTTTTATGCACATTTTTCCTCTTTTATTGGCTCATCTTTTCCATCAGTAGGTCGATCAGTAGGTAGGTACCTATTCCGTATCTACTATATCTATTCTACAAAGTTTTCGATTACAAATAGTTATTTATTATACAAGGAAAAAAAGTAGTAGATTGTAGCCCTTCCTTAAAGTTATAGAAATTTTTAATTTACTAATGATGGAAAATACTAACTTCGTTAACGACAATTCAACACTGAATCACTATTGTCGTTATCCAATGAGAGCTAACATTTTCACTCTCACCAGTTGGCGCTACTGAAACATGAGGTTGATGTCAAAGTCAAAAATCTCAAAATTCTACCGAAAAATATGAACACACGATAAGAGTTTGAAGAAAACAAAATCTTCTGAAGTTGAGAATTTGCATTCTCCTTCAGATAAAATTATGTATATGCACATATCATTCTGAATATTCAACAGAAAACAACTACTTTCCTGGCTATTTGCCACGTCGAACATTGAATAACATCTGTTGAACATCCAAAAGGAGATCATGAAAAATCCTCTGAAATTGGGAATCGACATTCTCCCTCAAATCAAATAAATTGATGTATCATTTTCAAAAATAAACGATTATTTACAAATATGGAATCTCAGACAGAACGTGATACCAGACACTCTAACTACACATATCCAGCACACAGATTGCGATTAACTGAGTCCAGTGCATTATACTCTTGAATTAAATTTTATAACAAACTCTCTAGTGACATCGAATTGATAAAATCATTAGCAAAATTCGAGAAAACAATTTATTTTTCAGTTGTTGGTTAACATTGAACAATATGATGTGACAGAGTTGATGAACTTTCGTATCAAATAATCTCGGAAAATATTTGTAAAACTCACAAGTACCCATCATATTCTTTTGTTGACGATTGTTTCATTTAATCCAACTTTATGTGATCACTTTTATAAATATATTGCAGTATTCCTTGAAATACGCGTAATGCAGAAAATTTTTCATGCAACACATCGCATATTCTGTACTGCTCCCTCCTTATTGGACTATGGCTGAATGATTTGTTCAGCATACTATGCATGTGATATTACACTAATTGAACAAGCCCAAGTTAGATTCACCAAACATATATCCTACAAAATGGGAACTTACCATCATATCAACTATTTGGATACTCTTGATACCCTCAACCTAACTAATTTATATGTCCGTCGAATCAGGCTAGATAGTTATACTATGTTAAAGATTATCTCAGGTGAAATTTATTGCTATGAACTTCTCAATAGGATTAACTTCAATGTTCCCTCATATTTTACTAGAAACACAGAATCATTTGTTATAAATAATCATAGAACCAACTATGGGTTCTTCAGCCCTTTTTCCCGCATTTTGCGTAATTTCAATGCATTTAACATTGACCCGTTCGTTCAGTCTTTAGCCATATTTAAAAATAGAATTTGCAAAATTGATCCTAGGTTAATAAGTCACCATTAATTTAGTTGATACTTTTTTTCTCTCTTCCTTTTTTTTCATTCTCTTTGGGCAGAATGTAATTTTTGTTAATAAATTAGATGGGTGACATTTTACTCTGATGGACAAAAAATATATACTTTCGATATAGAATCATTCATATAAAATAAATTGAGGACACTTCCAATCAAACAGCAAGTTTAAAGAAATTTCTGTTAATTTGGAAAATAGCGATAGATTTCATTTACCCCGTGAATTCCAAGATCGTACTATTCTGTAACACTCAGTATAATGATATTTACGGTGATCGTACTAGGAAGGCAGCGGGCGTTTCGGGGAGAATCGGGGCATGGAAGCGGCAAATCGTGGTATTTCGTAGTATCTGCATTGGATTATGATTTTCCCAATATCTTTCTTATTTATGCTTCGATCCTCAAATTTAAAGAACCATTCGCATCTTGAAACATAGGCGCATCGACATTATTTGAAGTATTTTTTTGATAAACGTTGTAGTTACTGAGATAATGCGAGGTATATGAAAAACAATTTAACGAAAATTCACAAGTTTCGAGATATGGCCGTTTGAAATATGATCTTATCATATATCGTAATGTAATTAGTGGATTTCTAGTTTTATATCATTTGTTCTACTTGCCACACGAAATCAAGATTCAACAGGGTGGAAGTACTGAAACCCATCAATATTTTCCACGAATAAAAAAAATCCATATTCCATATAAATTACTCCCTACCCCCCCAAACGCACAGGACGATTTTTTGACGACAAGTGGATCCATGATCTGGAGATGGTAGGTAACAATTCTAGCCATGTCACAGCTTTTTACCTCCGATTTTCCACGGGGTGAACGATAGGATTCGATTGGCACTCTACTATTAAGGAAACATCCTATATAGCTAGTGGTAGAAAAACGATAAATAAGAATCCTTACCTGCAACGTCGGCGACACAATCGACAGCGGCACGGGCGTGGAATTCCTGTAGTTGTAGCCGTCCGGCGTCTGATTGCTTTTGGGCGCCAGCAGCGACAAGGGCGGCCGCTCTTTGGTCCGCGTCACGACGGTGCCGCCGTTCGACGTCAGAACGGGGGCGGCTCTGGCTTTCGGCCACGTGCCCCCGTTGTTCTTCTCCTCTTTCGTTTGCGAGAAGTGACGTTTGGCAGCACCTGAAATGGAACACGTCGGGGTCTCTTTTATTCATTCTTTCTATTCATTTACTTGATTCTTTTGTACCTATTTAACTCTATGTAATAGTTTGGTACTTATAATACCATATACAAGGTGGGTCACGGTGGATGGCCTATTAGAAGTATCTGGAGAACGAAAAAAGAGAACATTCTGAAAATTAGGATGCTTCGGAAATTTAACATTCTCTATTCGTCTAAAATGTTTTCATCGATACAGTGTTGCCACTTCCATCAGAAACAACTAGCAACTTCGTTATTTTAAATAGAGCACTCTGTATTTTATTGCATTTTCAGAATCTTCCTAAAGAGCTGATTTTATGAATGTATCACACTTGGGGTCTAGCAAGAATGATTACAGAGATATAGGGTGTTCAAAATCAAGATTTTTCAATTTTGGGATTTTTTTTGTGTCGAAACTATTCATTATCGATCAAAACGGTTTACATGTTCCTATCTCAACTTTCGATCTACTATCTACTGACATTTAATTGGAATAGATACAGGGTGATCAGAATTCTGAATCTTGAAGCACCCTGTATTTTTTCCAATTAAATTCCAGTAGATAGTGAATCAAAAGTTAAAATAGGGACATGTACGCCGTTTTGATCAATAATGAATAATTTCGTCACAAAAAAATCCTAGAAATGAAAAATCTAGATTTTGAATACCCTATATCTCTGTAATCATTTCTGCTTGACCCCCAGGTAGGATACATCGATGAAATCAGCTCCTCAGGAAGAATCTAAAAATGCAATGAAATACAGGGTGTACCATTTGAAATGAAAAAGTTGCTAGTTGTTTCTGATAGAAGTGGCAACACTGTATCGATGAATACATTTTAGACGAATAGAGAATGTTCAATTATCAAAGCATCCTAATTTTCAGAATGTTCTGTCTTTCTGTTCTCCAGATACTTCTTATAGGCCATCCACCGTGACCCACCCTGTATAGTATAAGAGATTTTCATTTGTTGTTAACATGACGACGTGTTGTTGAAACAGAAGATTTATCAATAAAATCAATAAATAAAGAAGGATTGCGATATGAATTGCAGTTGTCATATCAAAATTTATATCTTTTTTTGTTTTTGGTTGGGGTTTATTGGATTTCTGACTACCCTTTTCGAGTCTTGTCAATTTCTCCAGATCAGATAATGTATGTATCAATTCGTACATATATTGTATATACTAATTATTCGTGTGTATATAGGACAGCCCTGCCCCATTCACACTACACCCAGTCACCTTTAATTCCAAAGAAGGCCGTGGGAATCGAACCCACACCGAGGTGTGACTTTTCAGCCAAATCATCGCGCCTTACGCTCATCGCCACCTCGGCGACTTTCATCATCATATCGATACAAATACAACCCACTATCTATCAAGCATCGAACATATTGGTCCTTCAAGCCGGATCTATTCAAATCAAACAGAGCAGCACTCACGACTACCTGGAGTAACAGTGAACAGTTCAAGCGAACATACTGTGACTATTCGTTCATCTACACTATATATTACATGTATATTTATATAAATGTTACTGGCTTTCTTAATATATGTTTTTTGTATATTCCTGAATGTAAGAGAGCAACAGCACGAATGTCAGCACCTAAAATCGAACACGTCGAAGTCCCTTTTCAAATTTTATATACAGTCGAATTTGTTTATTCCGTTTCTCTCGAAAACAGTGTACCCAAGCTTCAACAGTTGGTGCTCTGTTTCACAACATTGCATCTTCTTTCATATTTTTGAGTAATATTTCGAAAAGTCCAATACCCCTTAACAGTGCCACTGAAAGTCAGATGAAGTAATTAATGCTACCAGAATATCAAGAATTTCGGTCGAGCGGTTCTCTAGCAATTCAATGGAAATGATTTCTTGATTTCGACTGTATCTCGCAAACGAAGCTTTCTATGACCTATGTTTATGGGAACTTTTCAATTTTTTTTTAAGTGTGTCCCACATATTATATATGCAAGGGTAAGGCCTGCCAGGTCATGGTTTTCATACTCAACACCATTTCATTCATTACTATACCAATTTCTGGCCTCAGATAAACCGTCTACTAGGCAAATTACATATTCAAACACACCCTAGGAATTCAAACTCTAGGAATTACTCGGTTTTTATTTTGACAGCAACAGTGATTCGTGCAGGACTATCCCCAGCCGATGCTCCGCAACTTCACAATATTCCAAAAAGCACATTATTCTATAACACTTTGGGCTGAAGGACCTCAATAGAGGTCGATGGCCAATTGGACAACAAAGTGCATATACTACTACTATTTTAAAGTAAGTAATTGGTGAGTTTTAACATCTTTTACCTCCCGGTCTCTTCACCGTCCCATGATGATAACTCTCCAACACCAAATCCAATTCAGCAATAGCTTGCTCGTGACCGTAATCGATGGGATTCGGCGAGCTGTTCCTGTACTTCTTCTTATCTTCCTTGGAGTGCCTCCAAGGACCACGCATCATGTCGAGCTTCTCCTTCAGCCAGGCGCCTCCGTTGTTCTTCTCCTGCTATTGAGAAAGAACACTTTTTATGCAATAGTTGAATGCTATTTGAAATTGAGCAGGAACTGGAAACTCATTAGTGCTGTGCAAGGGAGTATTTACCATAGGGCCAAAAGGGCCATGGCCCGGGGCGGCAGAGGCTGCGAGGGGCGGCGCAAGCAGGCTTTACAAGTCACTCATTACTTTTGTAGTAGAAGAACAACGGGAATATTTTGATACTTTTGAAAAGGCTGGTAAAAGAAAATGCTCAGAAGAATACCAAAACATTCACAATAGAATTGTCAAGAGAAAGAAACGGGATGATGAGAGTAGCGAGGGTGAAGTTGTGTTACAAGGATAGGATACCGATTATTGCCCACACAGCACATGTAGTATGTATAAGTATGTCCAATATACGTTCACTTCGGATCGTGAGGACGTCCAATGGACGTACTTGAGTGGTCGTTCAATGTCCAATGAACGTCTACTGGATGTCCTGAGGACACCGCTTGGACGTCCAGTGGATATCTATAAACGGATGTACAATGGATGTTCATATTTGGACTCACAATGGATGTCGATATCTGAGCATCCATTGGACGTACCAAATTGGACGTTAAGCCCGGCGGGCGATAAAGTCATTGAGCTGGTGGTAAAGCTAATGTCACTGTCATATCGCACCAGCTTACGAATTCTTCGTATACTTTGTCGTATATTTTTTTTGATTTACTTGTTAATAAACTCGATTTTGCTTCCTCAGCTGCCTCACTAATTTCTGGTGGAGTACAATTCACACTTTCTCATCACTAGAATTCATTTTGAAATCACTAATGAATTATGTATGATTACACAAATTGACAGTTAATATGGCTACTGGCCTATTAATTCCTATTTCGAAAAATTGACTGAGTTGCCATGGTAACGTTGATTCCATACTTCTTGATTAATTGTATTTGCGATATGGATACAATACAGTCTCACTGCAACCGTGATGTATTTTTATTGTGCTTGAGGGGTGAAGAGATACCTACATGAGATATCAAATATATACAGGTAGTGCATGAAATGTTGTATGTATTTCGGGCGTAACTAGCTTTTATGGACCTAGGCGTGTTAATAGCCCTCGCTATCGCTCGGTCTATTACTTACACGCTGCGGTCCATAAAAGCCAATTTTACACCCAGCTTATTCATTAAGCAAAGAGATTCAAAGGAAGCATTTTCATATGTTGAAATAGCATTACGAATATTTCTGTGCACTTCGGTGACCAATTGCAGTGCAGAACGTTCATTTTCTGTACTTAAAAGAATAAAAAATTATTTACGTTCGCGTTCAAGCGAAGAACGTTTGAATAGTTTAGCTATTCTCACTATAGAAGCTGAACTGACGACAGTGTCATTGACCAATTTGTTGACCAATCTGTCCATCAGAAGAAAATGTAAATATCGAATAAATATAGTGTTTATTTCTTTGTTTGGCCTTCCATTCATTATCATCATTCCCAACCCAAGACATTGCTGGCTTTCATTTTATGATTGAATGTTTTGCTCATTTTCCGTTGATTTATGGGGCGGCAAACCCTACAGGCCCGGGGCGCTGAATATTGAAATACGCCCCTGGTGCTGTGATGAAACATTACTGTTAGCACTACTTCGTCAATTGAAATCTAATAACACCCAATGTATAATTTTCCATCAAAGAAATGAACAAAATATTGATTTGAATATTATAATAAAAAATTAAAGATTGAAACAAACTGCCTATACCAAATACCTTGGTATTTGGACTGATGAAAAGTTAACATGGGACAAGCATATTGGCATGTTCAGAGAAAAAATGTCTCCCATAGTTGGTGCCCTAAGAAGATGTCCAAAACTCATCCCGAATATAGCAAATACCGTTCTATACTCTCGCATCCTTAGTACAATGAACTATCTCATAAATATTTGGGGTTCATGTTCCAAGAATAATTTCAACAAAATATCTGTACTATATGAAAAAGCATTTAAAGTACTGTATCGTCTTCCATATGACACCTCATTTTTATACTTTTTCATGTTTGTTTGTTTGAAAATGTGTCATTGTTGTATACAAATTGATTCGTATTGCTATCTGCTTCGATTATTTTAATAATTTTTAAAAACATGTTATTACCAGATACTGACTAAACAGTAATGTCATTACTGTTACTCCCTAAGATGTATATATACCAATCTGACTTGCCGCATGTACATGAACATGTACCTGAAAATGGCTAATAAAGTATTTCTATTTCTATTTCTATTTCATCAAATCAACTTTCAACAATAAATCAGTATAAAGTCGACTTTAACTATAAAAGGCCACATTTGAGACTTAAAGTTCCTTTGAAAATAAATTATGGAATCAGATCCTCCACATAAAGGATACTTTTCAGATAAAAGGGAACTTCAAGTTGATTATGGAACCGGCTGTAAGAAGGTGCACTTTTTACCTGGCCACCGTATTTGTAGTCCTGCACGAGCCACTCCTCGGTCTGCGAGCTGCGGTTCTCTTTCTTGTGCCGCCGGACGGGAGTGAAGACGTTCGGGCACTCGGGGTAGCTCATCTTCAGAGTGGTGATGTTGATGACGTCGGCGGACTCGTCGTTCAGCACCTGCATGGCGTCGTGCGAGCTCTCGATGTCGTCCATGGATTTGTCGTTGATCTGCATTGAGTTATTCAATCATTCACTACTTGTATTCAAATCGAAAATAAAAGAGAAATACTTAATTTCATAGCTGACATCAAATGTTTCTTGAAGTAGTGTTAGGTCAAGCGGAAATTGTAATCTTTATATATTTTTTTCTGTACGCTCAACTGTATACGTGGATAACACTTTGGGTTATGCCTGTTGTTATCTTATATGACTTCAATAATTGAATAAATAAATAAATAAAATCTGAGAACGATGTTACACTTGAGGCCAAAGACAAAATCTACTATGGTAAAATGTTTGGTTGTCGACCTGCTTGAACGACTGGTTGACTGAAAGAACTGATCCAAATGAAAATACGAATGGTTTCGACCGATCGCTCGTATATAAAAACTTTAAAAATCGCAAACTTCACTTACCAATTGGTAATATACCGAAAATAACACATTACCTGGCATCTTAAAATCCAGATATATTAGGAAGCATATATATGAGCACAGCTGAGCACAGTAGAGAGCTTACAGCTTACCTCTGTAAGCTCTCTACTGTGATATGAGTAATTGAATTCCTCGAGACAGATTTTGTTGGATGAAATAATGATCTTGAACTCTATATGTCAGAAATGATGCACTCAAGTGAAACATCCAGTGATGTTATGCTATTTTTTTGAAATATAAGAAGGTTGAGTCACTCAATTTTGAAGACTGTAGATGCTCTTTCTGATTTTTTGAGTAATTTGATTGTTTTGAGGTCATACTCTATATCTTTGAACCGCATCGACCATCAAAAAGCCCGAACTGTGATCTTATATCGGTCGGCCTTGGTCTTCAATAAGAAACGCTGACATAAGTTCGGTCGATTCCGTCATCAATCAAAAACCTTAGGGTCGAATTATGGTCCAAGTAGTCGCGCCTGGTCGGCAATAGAAAACTCTCCTTATGTAGACCGCTAATGCTATGACACAAAGGCTCCATACTGTTACGTTATTCGGGTGCAGAAGCGAACACGACACTATTTATTTTCGAACTGATTTATTTAAACTAAAAAAATAGTAATTTATATCGAACTTATAACTACTATTTATGTAAAACGATTTATATCCCGCGGTATATAACTGTCGATCTGACATTCGCTGCTTAACTGACTGACGCAGTTGTTCGGCCGTCTTATATATAAGATCCATTGATAGGCTTTGGTTCGAGAACGTTCTCGAATGATCTTCCATCTCCTTCTCTTTGTTCTAGAAGTAAGATGCCTAGAAGGTTCTTAGAACAATACCTCTTTCTCTAATTGTTCCATCGATTGTTTCCAGAACATTCCAGAATCTTACGTTATTTGTCACCGCGGCATATATTGAGTGTTCGGAAATATGCTGGTGCATGTAGGAATCATTGAGAGGTTGGAGAACAATCTGGAATGCGTGTTACAGGATGATCGTTGTACTCCTGCCATCCTGCTGATGTTTCTAGAGCCCCTTTAAGGGGAATATCATTACAATACCTTAGGCATGTTCTTTTTAACACCACACTTTCATCATTGATGGAAGTGACGTCACTCTCTGATGCATCGAATTGTTGGATTCGTCAGTGTTGAAAAAAAAGCAGTTATTTGAAATGACAATCACAACTGTTTTTTCCTTTATTCATTCATCTTTTCGTGATTTGATGGGAATTTAGACTGTTCGAATTGGCGAATGGAAAATGATGTATGTATTAAAAGTGTTATTGGAATCCTTGTCTCCAGATCCAGAAGTTCTAGCAGTTCTTCTAATAGTTCCGAGAATGAAATATTGTTTATGTTGGGGAATAGACGAGATAGGTTGAAAATTCTCAACAACCAATACTTATACAAAACATTGCATTACATTATGATAATATGGATAGTCATTAATAATAATTCTCTGTTGGTACTTTACTACATCTTCAGTAATATACATTGCTCGCTAGCAGCCATGGAACCACCTACATTTCCGGAAACTGATATTAGGAGGCAAGATAGGTTGAATATCACTTCGGATTCGAAATCAGGACGTCCAATTTACTGTCTAATCATATTTTTCTGGAGAATTTTCAGTTCTGAAATATTGAATTTTGTTTCACTTTTCATGGAAGCACCCCTCTGCATCTTAAATAATAATTGTGGTATGGTTCTGAAAAGACCCCACACGAAAACATGGGAAATTGGCTCTCGGTCGGATTGGCTGAAATTCTACTATATAAGTTGGAAGTTTTGTTGATATATAAGTCGAAAAAGTTGGTATAAGATTGATTGATTGTCTTTATTACCCCAAGAAACATTTCTGTTTTGTCGCAATTTTTACGGAAGCACCCCCGTATCTCACGTAATTATCGAGATAGGGTTCTGAAATTTGCAGGAGGAAGGGAAAATCCAGAGATTAAGAGAGGGGTCACACGAGCGTTTAAATGACGGACGTTGTAACGCGCGTTGTAGCGGACGTTGTAGAATAACACCAGCGTGATATGCGTCGGTCACACCACCAACGCGCGCTCAACTCGTCGCGCGTTATTCATTGTCAACGCTCAGCACCTCTAGTACGCCCGTTGGTGGACACAGCGCGCGTTCTTGTTCAACACATGGTCAGATATACGTAGCCACACGATATTCAATTTAACGCGCGTCTATCTGACGATTATACGAAACTGGCAGTATTTTTGTGATCTGGCAACAGCTAACGGTTGAGTTGTCCGTATCGTAGACTATCGTAGACATCGTAGACTATCGTAGACGTTGTTATCGTATGTTTTGGACTTGTTTTTGATTCATTATATCAAACATGGATATAGAAGTGATCATAAATGAGGTCTAAAAACGTCCCGTGCTTTGGGATACTTCTGATGAGGAGTACAAGGACCGGAATAAGAAAACTACAGCTTGAGAGGATAGAGAGTATAAAATGATACACTTAAGAACCTCTCACTGTTTATGGGATGAACCCACCAATTACGTTTTTTCCTAGCCTGCTTTTTTTTACGTAGATCTAGGTATAAAATCAGAAATGCGGCAACATCCTGCGGACCTTCCATGACTGTCACATGTATACTCAACAAACTGACGCTCGTAACTAAACGCTCGTGTGGCTGGAAGATTTGTCGCGCGTTCCAAAATAACGTCCGTTTTAACGTGCGTTGCATAAACGCTCGTGTGGCCCCTCTCTAAGTCAATTACATAATATACGGGGGTGCGTTCGTAAAAAGTGCGACAAAATTAAATTTTTCAGAACTGAAAATTCTCCAGGAAAAATATGAATAGTTAGTGAATTGGGCGTCCTGATTCCGAATCTGTAGCGATTTTCGAGCTATATTGACTCCTACTGTTGGCGAGCAGTGTATATCACTGAACATGACCCCACTTAGCCATAGAGTGCATTTTCGCTTCGCTCCAGGAAATTTCAGGATCCTGATAGATACAGGGGTGGTTTGTAATTGACTTAATTTCTGAACTTTCCCTTCCTCCTACAAATTTCAGAACCCTATCTCGATAATTACGTGAGATACTGGGGTGCTTTCATGAGAAGTGAGACAAAATTCAATTTTCCAGAACTAAAAATTTTCTAGAAAAACTATGAATTGGGCGTCCTGATTCCGAATCCGAAGTAATTTTCAACCTATTTTGACTCCTAATATCATTTTCCGGAAATTGGGGTGGTTCCATGGCTGTTGGAAAGCAGTGTATATCACTGAAGATGACTTCTTTTGGTAATAGTGAATTTTTGGTATATATCTCGCTCCCAGCAAATTTCAGGATCCTTATCCAACGATTACGTAAGATACAAGGGTGTTACCATTAGAAATGAAATAATAATAAGATATAACAGGTAAACAAAAAACAAATACTCATACAATATCAACCTTGTCTTTTATAAGTAGGTATTCAAATAAGAAATGGAATTATCAAAGTATCTGAAGCAGATATTTTTTAAAGTTAATTTTGAATCTAGGTTATCGTTTATTGAAAAACTAGCTTCCGGTGAGAAATAAAATTCTGGCATGAGGAAGTTGATTACAAACAACAATAATAAAATAATATAAGGTGACAACAACAAAAAAATCTAAAAAAATCTAAAAATGCTAAATCGATCAAGTCATAAAAATAGCCAGTAGATGGCAAAGTATCAATTTTATCCATTTTGTAATGAAATCGTGTGTTTTTTTTATTCAATTTTGAATTTTGAAATATGTCTGCAATTTTTTATATTATGTGGTAATTTATTGAATTCAGCTAGAGCAGCGTGAGTAATTTTTTTCTGGCCAATTATAGAAGTAGCAGAATCAAGATGAAATAAGTTTAATTGTCTCGTGTGATGACCATGCATTTCTGAGTTCCTTATCAAAACGAAATTGGATTTCAGATTATTGTTTATTATATTATATGAAACTTTAAGAGAATCTATTTTATATAATTCGTCCAATGAAAATTGTTCTGTATATTCCCCAATTGACCTGGTAATGAGTTGTATGGAACGATTTCTAAATAATCTAGCAACCACTCACCCTGAGCACCCTATCGCCCACCGTCAAACTCTTATCCCTCGCCGCCACCCCACCCTCGCCCACCCTATGAATGTACACGCCCATCTTGAGCGACAGGCCGTGACTGCCGCGCGCCAGCCGCGCCGTGTGTATCCACTTGGTCACGTGGTCGGCCTTCGGCTCCCCCCCTCCACCGCCACCACCGCTGGGGCGCGCGCTGCCGTTGCGCCGCACCAGCACCCGGGCCAGCGGCATGCTGGACCGGATGGCCTCGGTGACCATGCGCAGAGAGCCCTGGCTGCAGTCGACGTCGTTCACGCTGAGGATGTAGTCGTTCGGGTAGAGTTTGCCTTCGGCCGTCGAGCCGGAGGCTACCGAGGATACGAACACGTAGCCGTTACCTGTAGGGGATAATTGAATATTCTCACGAATTGTACAGGGTTTCTATAAATGATCGTAACATCGTAGTATCCGTTGAAATGTTTTCTCCTTTTGCCGCCTTTCATTTATGGAGATTCACACATTCGAATTTTATTTCTGACATCAATCATTATACTGTCATAGCTGATAAACTCAATGTACAGATCCAAGCATCTTCTTTGAAAGCCCACATCGGAACAGTGATCAACAGATTCATCCAAACTGGAAACGTTAATAAAAAGAAATCAACAGGAAGGCCCCAAATATCGGAAGAAGTTGTCGAAAATCTAAGGGCGCGTGTTGAGCAAAATCCTCAAACGTCTTTGAAGAGATTATCTTTACAATCTAGTGTGCCACTAAGTATATGCCATAAAGTGCTCAAGAAAAGATTGCATATGCACCCTTACAAGACCAGTGTACTACAGCAACTTCTGCCAATAGATATGCCACGTCGTCTGGAGTACTGCCAATGGTTCGAAAATAATCTCGACCAGCTATTGGACCTAACATTTTTCAGCGATGAGGCTGGGTTTCATTTGTCGGGATACGTTTGGAGATCTGAGAATCCCCACCAATTTCATTGAGACTCCACGACATTCTCAAAAAATTGGGGTGTGGTTAGCAGTTTCTCGTAGGCGAATATATGGACCGATTTTCTTCGATGGCACTATCAATGGTGAAAGGTACAGACGAGTGATGTTAGAACATTCATCAATCAACTTGATGATGAAGAAATTCGAGTTGGCTATTTTCAGCAAGATGGGTCCACTAAAAAAATGTCAACAGCCACTAACGATCATTTATTGAGACCCTGTATTTTTTCTACAAGCGTACGTGATTCACCCTATACCGGTACGCAATTTAGTTTGGGAAGTGTCATTTTCCCTCAGTAGTGCGGGAAAAACATGTATATAATATTCTCGCAAAATATGAGTGGTGGGTGACACAATATGGAAATTTTAGTTTTTTTGCAGTATTTAGTGAGTTTGTACAAAATCATCCATCAAATTTCACTATTTATTGTGAAAATGAAGAAATATTGAAAAATAATAGTTGATTGTTATATAAATCCCTCTATAGCCTTTGATTGATCTGATGTGGGAAACAATTGTTGTCATGTCAATCAAAACACAAATTAGTTAGTGTAATTCTCAGAGTGACAGACAGACCATTACTGTCATTTTTGATTCAGTGGAATTGCGATGAAAAACTTCCAGCTACAGATGCGATGAAGATGAATTATTGCCAATGAAGTTTCAAGAAATGTATGAAAAGCACTACACGGGATTTATTGAATAGTGCAACAGTAAAAAAGTGAAAACACCAAATGAAGAAGTATTTTTGCCTCATTTCCTAGAAATGTCTGAAACCTAGAGGCCAAACACCATGGGCATGCTGGCTTCCGCAATAAGCTTACCTACATAATGCTTCAATCGGTACACCCAGTGGCGGCTCCTCAGAGGAGGCAACGGAGGCTGAGCCTCCTCAGAGATTCTCCTTAAACTGATATTATCTATACCTTCTCATTAAGAGGACACCAAAATACATGGATTTTGATTTTATTTCCTGTTTTCAGGTAAAAATTTTTGAATTGGCAACAGTGCTTGCCCACGCATCACACGTTGAAGTCTGCAAATCACGCGTAAAATATTCAAATTGGCAACATCTATAGGAGGCTAGACTCCTTCACAATGCGCAACCCGAATACACCCGAATAGCACGTGTTTGTCGTGTCGCGTCGCGAATTGCGGACAATCTGGTGCGAATTCATCGTTTATGTTTATGTTATTATGTTAGGTTAATGGTTAGGGGCTCTAAAAATTTCTGAAAATGAGTGTTTCAAACGATTGCGATTTAGTGGAATACTTTTTGGTGAACCCATTCAGTGCTTTGTCTTATGAAGATAAATTGATTGTGAAAAACAAACGTCCGACACCGGAATTAAAAAATCTGATTGTAACAGGTAACAAACAAAATCGTTCGTTCAATTCTGATAATTATAAAAAATATATCTGGTTGATGGGATCTGAGGTAAGGAATAAGCTATTTTGTTGGTACTGCGTATTATTTTCAACCGATAAGTCATCATGTTGGGGGCAATTAGGATATAATGATTTGAAAAATTTGCCTCGTGGATTGGATAGACACTGCAAATCATAGGAACACATCTCTTCAAGTATTGAGTTCAGGTTAACTGGCAAACAGAATGTCATCAAAGCTATCGATTTGGGTGAGTCGTAGAGAGTTGTTTTTCACAATAAATTTCATATCATTCAGCCTCCTCTGTCATGAAAGTCACGAGCCGCCACTGGTACACACAATAGATATATAACTAATTATTAAAAGATAGAGAATATATCACTATTGTTGGTTGTTCCTATTTGCAGGAATAATTGATTGAACAAATCAATCAATTTCCTACGCTTGTAGAAAACATTTTGTTCCTTACTCATGCGGAAAGTGTCTTTCCCGCACTCGACTGCTTTCGCGAACGGAAAGTAATCATTCTCTAGATGGCTTTGAAGAATCGTGTGTGATATTTGTCAAAGAAGATAATTGATTAATCAATTGAGGAAAAGGAAAAATCTGTAAATTACCCTAATCTTAAAATATGTGACCTAATAAATGTGTCTGTGCCTGAGTGCTATATTTCTATGTCTTTATTTATTGACTTATTGTAGATTTTACTTTAATGAAGAGCACTGTGCTAATAAAGTTTGATATAAATATAATATAATTGAGAATTTATGAATTATTGAATAAGTAATATTTCTGAAGTTGCCAATTGTATTTCAACATATGAGCTATGGTCTGCTCCTACTTAGGAAATCGTGACGTCAGTTTTTAATTGCGGTAAATTTTTGGCCGTTCGAATATTACCGTGGCATTATTGATGATTTAAGCACCTGGAAATCGACCGAGAAATTCTAAAAAATATGGAATTGAAAGGTATTTATCTACGACTGGTTTCAAAATTATTTGAGTGATAGGAAACAATTCGTATATTTAAGAGAATCATTCAGTAAGAGCGATGAAATAGTATGCGGTGTACCGCAAGGATCAGTATTGGGCCCTATTCTATTTCTTATTTATATCAACTCTATTGCAAATTTGAAGTTGAAAGGTAAAATTTATATGTTTGCCGATGACACAACCTTAATCTATTCAGCAGGTTCAGCAAAACAAATTAGGGATGATATTTCAAGTGATTTGAAAATATTATTATCATGGTTATCATGTTATAAATTGAGTATAAATTATAGTAAATCAGCATTTATGATAATTTCAAAAAAATCAAGATATAATGAGTACAAATTTCCAATTGCATGTAATAATGAAGTCATCAAATATTCAAATTATATCAAGTTTCTTGGTCTGTACATAGATGAACATTTGTCATGGTCAAAACATATTGAAATACTTAGGAAAAAAATATCTCCAATAATTGGTATACTTTTTAGGGTACGGAACCAAGTTCCTATAAAATGTCTCAAATCTATATACTTCTCTTTGATCTATTCTAAACTTGAATATTTGATTTCTGTATGGGGTTCAACAAAACTATCAATTATAAAGCCTCTCAAAACTCTTCAAAATAAAATTATCAAATGTATATACAGACTAAATTATTCGGAACCTACTATGAACCTTTACAGAAGAAGAGAATTATTAGATATAGATTCCTTATATAAATTCAAATTAATGTCGTTCATTCATTCAGTTAAACATTGTCAAAAGCATTCAAATTTGGTTTTCCAAGTCAATAGTAATCACCACAACCATACAACCAGACAAGCAGATCATTTTTCTGTCAAGAAAATTAAATCAGTTATTGGTAAAAAATCAATCTATCACAATGGAATGATACAATACAATTCACTACCAAATAACTTGAAGCTGATTAATAGGATTGAAAAATTTAAGAGAATTCAAGAAACATCTACTCCTGTAATATTGACATCTTATCTCATTTTTATAGTTTTCTTGTACAACTACTATAGTTTTCAATTGTGTACCTAACAGCTGAGTCAATTGAGGATCATATTCATTTGAACTTGAAAAAAAAAAAAGATTCTTTTTGAGTGTGAGTCTTATTTTACTGTCTTCTTTATTTTATTTTGTCAAATATATTTATGTATTCACTATGTTCCCTGCTATAAACAAATGTTGTTTCTTGGGAATAATAAAGTTGATTGATTGATTGATTAAATGCTCCCTCATTTAAAGACACAAACTGGCCAATTAACTCCCACGGGAGCAAATAAATTGGCTTCAGCTGACTTCTTTTGTAGATATATAGGTATAAGATCTGTGCTACCCAAGTACCTAATCAGTGTCGATAGCTCCAACGTACTTACATTCCACACCTTATGGCGGGTAATTCAAACCAAACCACCACACTTGATATAGAAATAGCTATTGAATGATGATTCTATTCAAGCAATAAAAAAAATATTCCACTTGTCTATTCTCGAAGTTATTCACTCACCGGAAAAGTCTCTCCCGCCGCCGAACTCCAGTCCCTCCTCGTCGGTGGCAGTGAGTTCGAGTTCCACCACCTCGGTGCGCCCCCTCGCCTGGAACTCCTGCAGCCTGTCGTAGCCCCCCTGCGACGGCAGTCTGCTCAGAGACAAAGTCCAAAGTATATCTCGTCAGATTGTGTTTAGAATTCAACTGTCAGTACTGAATTTCATCAAAATAAAATATAGCTTCGATATGAATCAGTTTGGTTATCAAGAAAATAGTGGCACTCAAGCGGCAGTATTACAAGTGATAGAAGCATAAAAATCGGTACCACTACGTTAAACGTCATCAAAAGTTGCTATGAGAAAGTATTTTCAGTTTTTCCGTATCTCCAATAATGAGGGAGAAAAAAAAATATTGATGAAAAGTTAAGATTCGAAAGCCACATTAACAAGTTGTGTAAAAGTTTAGCATCGGGTTGCTTTGCTGTACGTAGTGTTTCTCACGAATTGGATATTGCTGATGCTAGGCAGGTTTATTTTTCATTAGTAGAGTCACATCTACGCTATGGCATTTGCTTTTGGGGTATATGTTCACAGCAACTGTTTGAAATGGTCTTTACCCTTCAAAAAAGAGCCATTAGATATTTATGTAAAGCCAAATGCCGCGATTCAGGTAGACCATTGTTTTTAGAGCAAAGGATTTTAACACTGGCATGTCTTTTTATTTTAGAGACAGTATGTCTAATTCACAAGAGATACAGAAATGATATAAACAACTCGTCAGTATATAATACACGTTTAAGACACCATATTGCACTCCCCATCCCTACGTCAGCTCTTACTCAAAATTCTCTTATTTACAAGAGCAGAAAATTGTTCAATCACCTACCCAGCAATTTGAAAGAAATACAGAGTGTATCCAGATTCAGAAAAGAAGTGAAAGAGTTCTTGGTTGTGAGGGCCTATTATACTACAGAGGAATTTTACGAAGATCAATTTAGCTGAGTTTTTATTAATCTGATCAAGTAGGATACAACTTTTTGGACTTTCCATTTTAGTTTAAATCATTAGCTGTCAATGTATTTTACCTGACCTTACCAATATTTATACTAAATTTAAATTTTACGCCCATTACACACTGTGCAATGTATATATATATATATATATATATATATATATATTTAATGATTTTTTATTTTTTATTTTTTTTTATTTGTCTTGTCTTGTGTATTGTCCAAAAAACTGATTTCAACATTTGTGTGTATATCGGAACTATAAACTTTTAAATTTAAATTTAGGATTCCAGACTTTGTCAATAAGATGTATCTATCTTCAGACAATAAAGTATTTTGATGATGATGATGATGATGATGATATTCCAAAAAGTAACTTTTTTCGATATAACTCAAAAACTGAAGATGACTTTAAAAAATTTAAAAGGCTCTTGGTATGAGCCTCCGAATGCGCAACTTTTTCCCCAATCAACCGACTCCGTATCTCCTACCGTTTTAGAGATCCCCATGCTGCTCAACCTTATCTTGGACAGACTGTATACTTACAGGGTCAGAAAGTGAATGATGTGTCTTTCAAATATAAACGACGAAGCCCTTGCGGAAATGTCGATGTCTTTTATAAAAAACGACACTCGCAATGTGTTAATAAAGGCCTGGTTTCTCTGACCAGATCGTACCGAAATATTTCGGCAAATATCAGCGTACAGAAAGTTGATATTCGCCGGATTCAGTTCGTTCAGAAGTTTCGTCTATGTGTGGTTTGTCTGAAGAAATTTTTCGTAAACTTTCGTTCCGATATATTTCAGTCTTCTCGTAGGGCGTTTGCGGCAAAGTCAAAATAAAAAATGGATTATTTTATTGCTATGATTTTAGGAGAAGAACATGACGACGATGATGAGTATGCGTTATTAGGAGTAGGTATGTACTAAAAATAATAAAGTTAAAGTTTTGAACATGTTTGAGAAAAGGACCAAAGAAGGTGTTTAGGAGTTGTTAGTGTTGAAGCATCTTTCGGATAATGATACAATATTCAATAGTTATTTATTATACAAGGGAAAAAAGTAGTAGACTTTAGCTCCAGGTTGTGTTGTGAGCCGTGAGCTGAAATCTAATATTTTTCCCGTATATAATACAATATTTTTTTCTGTGACAGAAAAAAGGACGAATCAATATTGAGAAGATATTACATTATCGACGTAAAATTTCAAGTTTTCAACAGTAGGGACACCTGCGTTGTAGGCATCTTTATCATTCTTTTGAAGTAATCACATATCTGATATCACTTCTGCCAGTCCAATTCTGTAATTTGATTTAAAAAAATTGCGAATTTAGTGGTTGTTTAGTAATATACGTAGCCGCAAATTCGAATGGAAGATAAAAGGACTTGCACTTCTTTCTCGGAGACGGTATTATTGACTCATTTTTCGGAACTATAGCACAACAAAAGCCATCAACAGTGTATATATTTGTGATATAATTATATCCGGGAAAAAAGTACTCAATTTTTTCCCACGGGAAAAAAGTAATTTATGAAAAGTGACATTTTATAACCTGCAAACACCAAACCAAACTTTTTTACCGTCACAGAAAAAATACTTTGTTTGTTTGTCTAGGTCTGAAAACAAACAAACTACACTATTTTGGCGAACTGTGCCGTTTTGTAATGGTTCAAATCAAACACTGGGTGATTCCGACGAACTGCTAACCGTTCACTTTCCCGAAATTTCGGTCCGATCTTTTATACAAACCACCACTACGTACTACAAATACGCTCGGTTTCACCGGAAACGCTAACGAACTGTCTGCGCTATATCACCGAAATATTTCGGGCCGATCTGGTCAGAGAAACCAGAATTTAATAGGGAAATCATTGATTTTATATAACCTGTTGCTGTCGCAGTCCAGATGCGAGTCGAGCGCCTCGCGTAGCTCCTTCGTCTCGTTGAGCAGCTCGTTGCGCTGCTTTTTGACAGCGTCAGACTCGCGCAGCGACTCGGCTAGCTCCGACACGGCGCGATCACGTTCTTTACGCATGTTGTCGCAAAGCGTCCTTAAAACAGAAACATTTCATTTGATATTAATAAGACGCATTGTAATATTTTCATCTGCAATACAGTTTTTCGATTATGAGTCTTTATTTAATTCAGTCTAATTCTATTAGCCACATCAGTCAGTTTTAGGCCAAACATTGGTGCTGAAACCAGGGAACAGCAGGGAATAATAGTGGATTTATAAACTCAACTAAACTAAGAACTTGAATTAACAATTAACAACTATAAGGAGGCGTTTATAAACATTATTTACTGAAAATTTAGAATTAAAGTGATTAGAGTAAAGAAACTGTTCTGGGCATTCTTCATTCTTGTTTTTGGTTATGTTATGTGTGATAAAAAGGGTTGATTTCCTTCCTGATGAAAAATATTTTATATTCTTTGGCCTTATCTTGAATCTCCGATTTATTCTCTTCTTGATGACTACTTTCTTTCCTAATGCCATGCAGAACATTGAATTACATCCTCCCGAAATCTATGCATCGACTCGTATGAACTAATATTGATACAAGTGAATCTTTCCTGAATGCCTATTGATTTGATTTGAAAAGTTGATTTGATTTCGATTTAGCCAGGCCACGCTAGACACCTACAGACTGGTTTCGAGCTCTTTGACTCTCCTCAGTATCGATAAATTTACCCAATGTGACGCCACTGGAAATATTATTTCGAATCTAATTGCACTAGAAGAAGCTCTATATTACTATTAACAAAACCACAACGTTTTATTGAAATTGATGGAAAGACAATTGAGAAATGAATAGAGAATTGATTTTTCATGAAAATATTAATACCCTGTATCTCGAAAACGAAGCAAGTTAGGACACATGTTTATATGAACTTTATTTCCTAAAATATCACAAGGAGAATCACCCCTTGAATTTTTTCGGTGTTATTTAGATACACCCTGTATAAGTTTCCCAAGTATTTTCGGGAAAAATCTAAATAAATGAAGATGTTAAGTATTCAACAAGTTCTGTGTTACTAACCTGATGCTTTCTCTTTCCTGTACTATCTTGTCTCTTTCACCAAACGCCCAATCCCTGCGTCGTTTAGATACCTGATGAAATAGTACGAACATAATTAATTTTTATAATAGGTTGATCAAACAGTTAAATCAAAGGTATCCCAGAAAATTTAAGTAATTTTCAGCTCATTAATCCTTGATTAATTATTATTTTTACTCCAGGGTTTTTTAACAAGAAACATTCAATAATACATAGGATTGCTACATATGTCAAGTTTCAACCCTCGAATTCGTCAATGTATTGAAGGCAAAAACATGTATTATAACTTTAGCATATATATACATTTTCAATTTACAATCACTAATGACTTGTATTGATAAGGATGATGCCTTGTCGACTCGGGTACTATTTATATTCGGAATCAATGCTAGGGTTCGCAATTTTTCCCAATGGGAATGACCGCCTTTCGATATTGCTTACCTAGGTATTATCGCTGCGTAAGCGTTGTTTTTGCAAATTTTTAAGGAACTGACGTCTATGAACTCCGCTGACCTGATCAAAACTACAATGTACGGGATGTTTCAATTTGGAAAAGTTAACTTATGATGAAAGATCTAACCTTTCTAAAGCTTTTGTGAGGTATTCTGTGGTTGTGGTAAAGCCGAACACTGTTGAGTCTCTTCAGTTATTTGAAGTATACCCATATGTGTCTAGCGTATAGGGAAATAGAAAAATTGACACGACACTGAATGATGTGATGTGAACTGTATGCTTGACCGATGACTCGTAGATACTCACTATCACCGACCGACGAAGTGACGAACTGTCTTCTTAAAAGAGATATCTATTTACCGTAATAAAGATTCGTGGGACAGCAGATAAATTTTGTGTTTTAGTTCTGATTTCTTCTTTTTATATTCAAAGTGAAGTGTTTTTCTGCAAAACATAGTCAGTTGAAGGTAGTCAAGAGGTATCAAATGAAATCACTAACTTTCTGCATACACAGTATAGATCGCATTGCATACTTCCATTTTCAAATCATCATCCAGATCTACTGTCTTGTGTTTTCTAGTCCTAAATTTTCCTGGCGTACTCAAACTTTCGATTCTCTCCGAAGGTATTTTAATACTCGAAAATTATGTAAGTGCATCATGTTGTAAGGTCTGACTATTTTTATTATTGATCAGGAAGAATTATGATTCACAATACTTTTGAGACAATTCGGAGTGCATAACATCATGATGCCAATTTTTTTGTTAAAGCTGAAATATGCTGGTCAAATTTTAATCTATAATCAATACAGATTCCCAGGAATTTGGATTGGTTCTTATTCTCAATAAAATGCCCATTCAAGTACAAATCGTCGATATTAGAGTTGAAGGTGAGTAAGTTTGTTTTTTTGATGTAAAAGCTCAAGTAGTTTACGTCATACCATTTTTTAACAACATCCAAGTCCCCAGATACAGTATCTTTCATACGATCAGTATCTTTTCCATGCCAAAGGAGCGTTGTATCATCCGCAAAGAACGTAAAAATTCCTTCAATTGAAGGAGTAACCAGGTCGTTCAGATATATAAGGAAAAGAATCGGGCCTAGAACTGATCCTTGTGGAACACCCCATAAGATTTCCCTTGTGTGTGATAGTTTTTCATTTGATTTCACTACTCGTTTTCTATCACTAATGTAAGACCTAAACCAGTCATTACACACTCCTCTGAAGCCATAGCAGTCCAACTTTTGCAAAACAAGTTCATGATTTACACAATCAAAGGCTTTAGAGAAGTCGCAGAATACTGCAGCTGCGACTTCCCCATTGTTGAGATGTGTGTAGACATGTTCCAGAAAGGAAAAGATTGCATCGTTTGTGCCCTTTGCATTCTGAAAGCCAAATTGACAGTTGGTTAAAATTTTATGTGAGTCAAGAAAAGCTAATATTCTCTTTTTAACCAGTTTTTCTATGATTTTCGAGAGGGTTGAGAGCAGGGAGATTGGTCTAAAGTTACTCGGATCTTCAGAATTACCACCTTTGAATAGAGGAATTACAAGGGCTGTTTTTAGACACGGAGGGAATTTTCCAAGAGCAAAAGATTTATTTATAGCCATAACTAGTGTAATCAATGCGGAATCGGGAAGCTTATTCAAAATTTTAACAGAAATTTCGTGAATGCCTGTTGAATTTTTGTTTATAATTTCATGTAAGATTTCTTTCAGCTCCGGTAAATTTGTATCTTCAAAATGAAAATTGTTGGGTATATTCACATTATTTAAATAATCAATTGGATTTGAAGTAGGTACAAGGGATGAGGTAAGTTTTTCAGCTATTGTGCAGTAAAAGTCATTGAGGGTTTCAGGATCTATATTGACGGGTTCTGGAAGTGGTTTTGATTTACCTCTCAGACTATTCACTAACTAACCCGTTGAGTTCAAAATCGTTGTCGTAACTTATGTCAATGAACGCCATGATATACATTGCTGCTCTGACACCATAATATTGTGGCGTGCCAAGAGCAGTATTGAACTCAAAGAGATGATATACAATGATATAAACAGTGTTAAAGTTTGATGTGATTCTAATCTACTTTTTTCTCAATATTTCAAAAACAAACTCATTAACCTGCCGATGCTCACTTGAGGACATATCCCTTGGGTCAAATATTATTGAAAGTGAACTCAACACAAAATTCCTAGGATTGTTTATTGATACTCGGTTGGGATTCGAGGAACACATTCAGGTCTTGAGGAAAAAATATCTGGGTGTTTTGCAGTCAAGATTGTCTCAAAGGAGTTGGGATTGGGTGCTGGTACAATCGTTTACTATTCCCCAATTGAGTCTCATCTCAGGTATGGCATCCCATTCTGGGGTGCATGTAATGCATACTGCATGAACAGTATTCTTGTTCTTCAAAAAACGAGGGATAAGATTTATGTGCAAAGTTAAAATTCATGACTCCTGTAAGCCTTCAATCATTGAACATAAAATATTCACGATAATTGCAATTTTTATATCAGAAACCGTTTGTTTGATAAGGAAACATCTGAACACGTTCAACAAACTTCCTTCACACTATGTCACTCGACAAGCTATGAACGTAACTCTGCCACTTCCTAAATCATCACTGATTAAAGACTGTTATCTACAACGGCTGCAAGATGTACAATCATTTACCTAGTTATGTCAAAAACACTGCCAATTTGAACATTCTTAGAAAATCTGTGAAAAACTTCCTATTACATAAAGCTTATTATAATTTACAGGAATTTCACTCAGATACTTTAACACTTTTATGATTTCTATTTACTTGTAATCTGTTTTTTATATACAGTTGTTGCGGTTCGTTTTTTTTTTCAAATTCATTTTACATACTAATGTATGAAATTGACATATACTATTTTAGTATCACATTTTCATTATTATTATCAACAAGAATACAATTTCTTACGGTAATTGAGTATATTTTGTCTCTCTCTATATGCAAGACTGAAGAAGATAGCAATTTGCACGTAGGCCTATGCTAATTTCATTCAGACGCGAAGAAATATTATACAGACTGTAACTAAAAATCGAAAAAAAAATCGGATGAAAAGATTTAATTCAAAAAATAAATTCATAGTATGAATGAGGATTACAAGAGTAGATATTGGGTCTTTGCGGCAGAGCGGTAGTTCACACTATGAAAACGGTAGATCTAGCGCTACTCTCCGTAACTGATGTCTCCAAATGAAGACCACAGGAAAAAAAAGAGAATGTCACAATATTGTGGAAATTGACTTGACACCGCCATCTGATAGCCTAACCACTATATTTCAGTATAAACAGAAGTCCATAGCAATAATGCAGCATAGTCAGCTAATATGCTCGTTCAAAAATACGTTCACATGGAGAAAACTTGGAATGTTTGATTGATTGATTGTCTTTATTACCCCAAGAAACATTTCTGTTTATGATAGGGATACATAAATACATATAAAAAAAAATAATAATAAAGGGTTAACTATAATGAATTTCACTCAGTGGAAACGAATTAATATTGTCCATTTCAAAAATGCGAAGAAAGGGGAACGTCCAAGCTTATTGCTTGCTTGAATACAGATTCCATTGTGATTTCAATGGGTTGTTTTCACACTGTCGAAAAGTCAAAGTGAACTCTCAGTCATACAAAATAAGAGAAGTTTAAAAGATACGGCCACCATTCTTTCATCTCTTGGAGCGTACCAAAGGGAATTCCTATAATGTTCGAACATTGTAGGTACCTAGGAAGGATGAGGAGAGGAGGTAGGTATTGGGATTTTTTTCAACTTTTGGAGATTATAAGTTCTTGGCGAAAAATTTCAAAGCTGTGCCGTTCTGTGTACAAACGAGTTTTGGTAAAGAGTTGTTCGACATGTTTCGAGGTTGACTACAAAAAGGTGTGTTGACTGGGCTTGTCGAGTACTCCTGAGTGGTGGTAATAAAATAATGAGATTGCTACATGATGATTCCTACTCATATCACGTAGAATTTATAGAAAATGATCAAATTATAGAGATGCTAGCTGTACTATATGACAACTTACCGCTCATTAGGTAGTCAGGCAAGAATCAAGAAAAGTACCAGAGCAATTGCGAATAAACAATCCAGTTTTCTGACAATTTATTCGGACATTCCCCATTTTTTCCTTGAATCTTTGGACTTATTTTTTTGGTGTCGATGATTTTCCATTCAAATATGATTTTCATTTCTAGTTGTTCAACTTTATTGCTCATTATACTCCATCAAATGAATCCAGGTGGTTTGATGTCAGTTTCCTTTAACTTCCAAAAAGTAAGGAGATTTTAAACTTTGGAATACGTTCATTTCGAAACTTACTTTTTGTGACATTCCCCTTTTCCCCTGTGGTCTTCAAATGCCATTATTTCTTAGAACTCCTATAGTACAATGTAAAGATTTGCTAATGTAAAAACGTCACAAACGATAAGATTTCCACAAACTTCTCAAGCACACGACATGTTTCGCTAACACAGTAGCTTCGTCAGTTGGTATCACCGTATGTTTGAGAATTTTGTGAAAATCTTATCGCTTGTGAAGTTTTTACATTTGCCAAGAATTTCCATCAAGTAACGTCCGAGTCAATTCAAAAAAAAGATTCGCTAAGGACAGAGATATTCGAACTGACCGCCATAGAAGGAATCGTGATTGTGATACTAAAAATGCATCCATTTTGAGTTCGATAAAATGAAAAATGGTATTTAGAAACTCATATTGTTTTTGTTCCAAGGAATATAGGGTTAATGGATTGACCTTCTTTTAACGGACACACTGTATATTCCGGACATTTTCGGAAGTAAATACGGAAATAAATACCTCCGCCTCCTGCGAGGCGGCCGCCAACTCGGCCTGCGCCTCGTCCATCGCCTGCCGCATCGCCTCCAGCTCGACGTTCGCCTGATCGAGGTTGTCCAGCCGCCGCCTCCTCTGTCCAATGGACCGAGCCTCCCCGCCGCGCCCGTCCCCCGGCGCCCCGCCCCCGTCCGCCGTCCCGCCCCCACCAGCAAGGTTGTCCAGGTGACGGCCGCGCGACCGCTTCGTTTGGTCGCTGGCGACCAGGTGGCGCTGGTCAGAGGCCGAGGCGCCGAACTTCTCGCGCAGTTCGTTGCATTCTCTGTTCGGATGGAAAAATAGCTATTCATCCCATATACGTATTAATAAACAATACGGATCATAACAAGTGCCAGGATGAAGCCAAAAATATGAAACAAATGAATATCCATAAGGATTTGGTGGCATGATACGCATGCGCCATGCGCTATTATAGTAGTCATCAAAGACATGCGTTTCGGTGGACAATGACGTTTTCTAGCCTTTCAATCAAAGCAGTATATGTCTGATCGTTTCAAAACTTTTCCTTATGGATAGTCATTTGTCTTCAAAAATCGGCTTCATGTTTCGCTATGGAAACAGATAGAGATTATCCGTATTGATTATTAATACGTATATGATTCATCCAGGATGTTTCCGAAAAAGGCAATAGTAATATACAGTCTGTCCAAGATAAGGTTGAACAGCATGGGGATCTCGGAAACGGTAGGAGATACGAAGTCACTTAAATAGGGAAAAAGTCGCGCATTCGGAGGCTCATATCAAGAGCCTTCGAAAATTTTGAAAATTATTTTTAGTTTTTGAGTTATATCGAAAAAAGTGAATTTTTGGAATTTCTATTTTATTTTTTTTCTCCGTTATTATCAGAGATACAGAAAAACTGAAAATACTTTTTTAAAGCAAGTTTTGATGAGGTTTAACGTGGTGATATGCGACGTTTCGTATTCGTGGAACCATCATCAACTTTTGTTTTTTAAATACGGTCCTGATAATTTTTTCACAGATTCTAAAAGGTTTTTTTTATTCTGAATTCAACCATGTACTATACAAGGTGATTCGAATGTGTTTCGACCTATTTCTATCGATCATCAATGTTTTTTCGAACTTCCAAAGGAAAAAAGCCATCAGTTCCACTTATTTCTGATCATTTAGTGTCAAACTTGATGGATTAGTTATTCAATACTGAAAAGTGAATGAAAAATATTTCACTACATCATTCGATCAATGCAGCGTTTAAAATTGTTGATGAATTCTTACACGAATTACTTCAACAACTCAACTTTGACAATACCTACAGAGACATTCATAACAAATGTTCAAAATGATCATTATTTTCTGAACAAAGATATCCTCTTCTCACAGTTGCTTCTGAGACATTGCTAAGCATTTCTGGGGTTATTCTATTGAATGCTTCGAAGACACTGTCCCTTAGTTCTTCTTCATCATCAAAGTTATTTGCGTGTACAAAGTTCGATATATCCCCTAAGAAAAAATCCAGCTGTGTCAAATCACGGACTTCTCTGGAATTATGTACCGGAGCGCCATCTTATTGAAACCAACAGTTCTGAACTTCCGCAATCGGTAAATCATCCAGAGCTTCCTCAAGATGATTCTCAAGCAAATTTCTATAACGTTCGGAAGTCTGTGTTTCATGTTAATTAAAAGGACCAATAATTCGTGTACCAAATATTGCAACCCACATATTGAAGCCGAAACGGTTTTGGTGTCTTGCTGTAATGTATAAATGTTCATTTTCTCGTGAACAATAATGTGTATTATTTCTATCGAAGATACCATGATTAGTAACCATGCTTTCATCAGTCCAGATGATTGTTCGAGGGATATCTGCAAAATTTTGACATTTCCTGGTATACCACTCACAGAATGTCCTACGCCTTTCGTCATCGCCTGGTTTTAGCGCTTGACATATTCTGAATTTGTATGGATGGAATTTTTGTTTCCGCAAAATGAAATGGGTTGTTGATTGAAACCAGTTGATGAGGTATTAGTGTGTTGACTAATTTTCCTTCAAAATAAGTGGAACTGATGGCATTTTTCCTTTGGAGTTTCGAAAAAACATTGATGATGGCCAAAAATAGGTCGAAACACAAATAAACCACCTTGTATAATACATGGTTGAATTCTGAATAAAAAAACCTTTTAGAATTTGTGAAAAAATTATCAGGACCGTATTTAAAAAACAAAAGTTGATGATGGTTCCACGAATACGAAACGTCGCATGAAAAAATCGGTATCACCACGTTGACCGTCATCAAAAGTTGCTATAAAAAAGTATTCTCAGTTTTGCTGTATCTCTAATAATAACGGAGAAAAAAAAATAAAATAGAAATTCCAAAAATTCACTTTTTTCGATATAACTCAAAAACTAAAAATAATTTTCAAAATTTTCGAAGGCTCTTGATATGAGCCTCCGAATGCGCAACTTTTTCCCCATTTAACCGACTTTGTATCTCTTACCGTTTTCGAGATCCCCATGCTGTTCAACCTTATCTTGGACAAACTATATAATCCGCCCAAGTTACACCGAAAAATACGAGAGATGGTTACAAAAATTAGCAACAAGCTGAAAAATGGTAGGTTTGTTCAGAACACCATAATAAATCTCTTGATAAATGACATTTCCGATGTAATAAAAAGTGCAAGCTTCTTAGTTTTTGCTGATGACCTAAAAATGTTTCGCATCATTAGAGATATCCTAGACAGTCAAATTCTTCAAAATGACCTGCGTCCGTAACAATCTCGACCTAAATACCGATAAATATCTTACAATATCGTTTTCCCGTTCTCATAATGTTGCCCTATATAATTACAATATTAACAATATATTCTTGAAAAAAGTAACCGAGATTAAAGATCTTGGAATCATCTTTGATGAACGTCTCACCTTCAAGAGCCATATACTGAAAGTATCAGCATCCGCCAATAGAATGGTAGGTTTTCTATCGCGTAATACAAAAAATTTTTCATACAACACATCATATATTTTGTACTGCTCCCTTGTACGTTTCTTATTGGACTATGGTTGTATGATTTGGTCACCATACTATGCATGTGATATTACACTAATTGAACAAGCCCAAGTTAGATTCGCCAAACACATATCCTACAAAATGGGAACTTACCATCATTGTCTGGAAGTTATTTGTTCAATAAATAAATAAATAAATAAATAAATAATTTCAACTATTCGGATACTCTTGATACCCTCAACCCAACTAATTTATTTGTCCGTCGATTCAGGCTAGGTTCAAGATTATCTCAGGTGAAATTGATTGCTATGAACTTCTCAATAAGATTAACTTTAATGTCCCCTCATATTTTACTAGAAACACAGAATTATTTATTATGAATAATCATAGAACCAACTATGGGTTCTTCAGTCCTTTTTCCCGCATTTTGCGTAATTTCAATGCATTTAACATTGACCCATTCGTTCAGTCTTTAGCCATATTTAAAAATAGAATCGGTAAAATTAATCATAGGTTAATCAGTCGCCATTAATTTAGTCGATACTTTTTATTTTTTTCTCCCCTTTTTTTCATTCTCTTTGGACAGAATGTAATTGTTCAACCTAATGGCTGTGAATAGGTAATAGTTTCAACAACAAGATGTAGTGTTTAAATAAAAAGTTACATTTATTTTATTGTTGAATTTCATCTGTTGATGCTGTGATGTTATTGTCCTTATGCCCTCTTCATTATATATGATTAATTTCTATTGTAAAGGTGAATCCGTTCATTATTAAATAAATAATTGAAATCTACTCGGGGTCAAGGGTCACAAAAACGGATTTCTTGCGAGTTTTAGCAAAATGGTGAGTTCAATCATAAAATTAGAAGAGACAAAAATTGTAGATCAGATAATTATCTATAAAATATGTTCAATTACTTTTTTCCTTTCAGCCATCGTTTTTGAGATATAACGTAGTATGTACTTAGCGCGTTTTCTCAATGTGGTTTCTCCGGTAGGCCTATTCCACAAATATGTTGTGATCTTGTTCAATTTGAAATTGTTGCATATATTGGCAAGGGTTGAAATTGATAAAAGTGATGAGAGCGTTGTAAATTAAAAAAAAAAGGGAAATTTGTTCATCTGATTCATCATTATCTATTACTTCTGCTTCCTCTTCTTGTTCTTCTCCATCTCCTTGTTCTTCTTCTTCATCCTTGGTGCAAGTAAATTGCCCCAATAATGACATATCGCATGTCTCTTCGTTTGTATCAAATGAATCCTCAATTGTTGGTGATTCAACATTGGAGCACGACCAGTCTTGACAATTTGAACATGTTACAGAACAAAATAATCCAACTTTTTTGCAACCACATTCAGCACTACATCCCTTTTTACAGTTACAAAAAATTGTGTTTTGTGTTCAGAAAAATTACTGCAGTCACAGGGAATTGAACCCACGACCAGCAAGCGAATACGGATAAGAATACTGACAGTCTATCCGCACAGCTACATGGCCCTCTGGTATTGGTTTTAATGAAGAATAAACACACATCATCATTATTATATAATTTCAATGTTATTATGTCGGACTTTTGACGTTGGATGTAACACTCAAAATGACGTTCAGATTTTTTCATTCGAACAAAATTTGAGGATTCAAAAAAGGTCAAAATGTTGATAGAGAATAAAAATTCGCGTGTTCAAAGACGTAAACATGTTTGTTCAGTGATATGTCGCTAAAATTTGTTAGTAATCATCATATGGAACAAATCAAATTCAACATGAATTCATCCTACCTGAGGGCCTTGTCTCGCTCGTGCAAGGCGCTAGTGATTTCGCGCCTGAGAGATTCCAGTTGGTAGGTGAAGTTTCGTTTTTCTTCTTGCAGCTCTTGATTGCTCGCCGTCAGCAACTTCATTTTCTTCATTGCTTGCGCCAGGTCGTCACTTAGTTTCTCCATTTCCTTGTGGACAGTATCCCTGAAATCAGTACAGGGTGATTGGTTATATTTTACTCAATAGCTAAATCACCTAATATTGGTAACACAAAAATGTGCAATGGGCAAAAGTGGAGTATTTTCTATGGGCATTCAGAATCTTCAAATAGAAAATGCAAAAAAGCATCATGTACCCCAAAATTTCACATAAGATGATATTTTTTAAATGGAACATTCTGTATTTTATTTTCCCAATTGATAGAGCTCTTTCTTCTGATTTCAAATATAAAGGGTATTCCAATGAGAGGTGTTATTTTGAATAGCCCGCTATTTAATAATAATAATAATAATAAACGTCTTTATTACTTCTGAATAGAAAATGATATATAAAGTATGGGTGGATAATAATTTTCAGAAGCAAAGGGCGAAGTTCAACTCAGTTTCTAGATGACTCCGTCCACTGAATTGCTCTACCACTTAACCCTCAAATACCTCTACAAATCAACATATAGGAACAACAGAGGAAGAAATTAGAAAAAGTGAAAAAATAGTACATATGGATGATAACATATAATAGGAAGTCTGAATGTTGTTATTGATTTGAATTAAACAGATGTGAAAATATATTCGTTTTGAATTTATGAAACACTGCTGATTTCAATTGATGTGGAATATTATTGTAAATATGGCATATTTGATAACTGAAGCATCTTCGGAAAAGTTCTGTTTTGAAAGGGGGAAGACAATACTCCTCTAAACCTAATATTCACATTGTGAACGTCCGTACGGAAAACAATTTTTTTATGGAGATAGGAAGGTTTTTTACTGATGATAATTTTATGAAAGAGGTTAGCGGTCTGATGAAGTCTCCTGTTTTCCATAGTCAGCCAACCAGCATCTTTCATCTTATGAGAGATTCTCTGGCCTCTTCTTATCCCATACATCAATCTCAAGCATGAATTCTGGAGCTTTTGTATCTTATTTTTGTAAAGTTTTGTTAAATGTGGTCCATAGACACAATTGGCATAATTGAAATGTGATAAAACGAGAGTTTCACACATAATAACTTTCAATTTAAAAGGAAGAACATGCCTAACACCATAAATAGTTTTCAGCGAAGAATATGCACGTCGCAAAAGATTATCAACATTCTTTTCAAATCTAAGAGTATGATCAATGATGACCCCAAGATTTTTAGCTTCCTCTACCAGCTGAATTGGTTCAACATTTATTGATATATTTACGGATTCTAGTACTGCAGATCGTTTGGTTTTGGGTCCAAACAGTAACACATTAGATTTACGAGAGTAATAAAACAGGCCAATGTAATGTAATATGGATATCAACAACTCATGATTTATAGTATCAAAGGCTCTGCTGAAGTCGAGTAGTACCAGAGCGGTACAATTCCCGTCATCTGTTGCTCTGACAATATCATCTACAACATGTAGCAGTGCTGTTGCACAACTGAACCCTTTTCTGAATCCAGATTGAACAGATGGTAGCACATTATATTTCTCAGTATGTTCCAAAAGTTGAAACTCGATGGCCCTCTCCAATATTTTAGAAATAGCTGGAAGTAGATGTCACTTTTGAAGCTGTCTTTTATTGATATTTGACATGTAGAAACTATGCCATTAATAAAAATGGAATGATACACGCTCCAACAACGCACTGAAATTATTAAAGGCGAGTTCGGAATTGTAAAAAGAGTCACTCCAAGTGACTTCGGGTAACTCCTATACGTTCGGTATTGACGAAACAGTTCACTCTGTGTTCATGTAGAGTCGATTTTCGATCGGTCGAAATCTAAAAACTGGGCAAATAGAACCTCACTCTGATGACTCTTTCACAAATCAGGAGTTTCCAAGAGTTCCTCCTTTCTTACGTCAAAATAAACGTCAGTCGTTGCCGATTTTGACGCTCATCCTGCCTGGCCTTCCGCCTTTTTTTCAAATTCGAATTTCATTCATAGTTAATTGAGTTGAAAATTGTGTTCATATGGTAACTAAAGCACTTTTCTCAACATTAATTTCTGGATGACCCTTAGGTGTAACATGAAATTCATGTAGTCTTTCCAATAAATGTTCGAAAGTATTGGAGTCCATTCGAAAATGGATTTTGAATTGATCCGAAGTCATACGTCCCATTCCGCGTTCAAGATATAACAATATCTTCTTTGGGTTGTTCATGATCTTCTTCATCATTATCACAAAAGAAGTAAAAAGCAAATCTTACTACACAACCGATCGCTCTCATTTTATTATTTCTTATATCCATATTATTGTCCATTCGGCAAGTGCGAGGGTTTCACAAACACAAAATCCATCAAATCTGGCTGCGGCAGGAGCACTGAAGGTTCGCGACATGGGTTTGATCCGAATGATCTATAACGCCTAACGCGACTAATGAAACTAAAATATTGATAGGGAACAAATTGATGTGTTAGAGACCACAATAAATGTGTTTGTAAGGTAAGGTTAGGAGCTGTCAGTGTCATGGAGCCAGGGGAACAGCGAAAGCGTTCGGATTTGCTTGAAGTACCCCAACCTGATCTCTCGACTCTTCAAATCAAGTGGTCTGAATCCATGCAAATGCTACTCTAACCCTACTCTGACTCCACTCCGTATTTCCGAACTCGCCTATAAAAAAGGTGAAAATTTGGCAGAGACGGTTCGTAAAACTCGAACATTTTTGGGTCGTCGTGAAGCACCTTTGTCTCACCGCAATTGGTGAGAAAATTCGAGCTGTTGGGACAACTTAGTGATGAAGAATAAAACCCGTGCACGTCGCTCAAGAGCAGCCGAGAATATTACTGCTGTAGCCGAAAGTGTTGCAGAGAACCCAGGTTTGTCAAATCCTCGTCGTTCTTCCGAATAAGGCATTCCACAAACGTCATTACACCGTATTTTGCATAAAGATTTGGGTCTTAAGGCTTATAAAGTTCAGTTATCACAAGAACTCAAGCCGACCGATCATCAACAACGCCGTGTCTTTGCTGATTGGGTCCTTGAAATGCATGAAAATGATCCGGAATTCCATCGAAAAATCATCTTGATGAAGGCCCATTTCCACCTCGGTGGCTTCTTCAACAAGCAAAATTGTCGCATCTGGGGCTCGGAAAACCCAAGAGTTATTGTTGGAAAGCCACTCTATCCTCAACATTTTTTGCGGTTTATGGTCTGGCGTCCGGAGTCATTGGACCTTACTTTTTCGAAAATGAGGCTGGAGCAACAGTTACGGTGAATGGATTGCGCTATCGAGAGATGATTAATGATTTTTTTATGGCCGGAATTGGATGGCATTGATCTAGACAACGTTTACTGTCAACAAGACGGCACTACCTGCCACACAATCAATGAAACCATTGATCTTTTATGGGAAAAGTTTCCGAACCGTGTTATCTCTGGAAGAGGTGATCACAATTGGCCACCGAGATCTTGTGATTTAACACTTTGCGACTTCTTCCTTTGGGGCCACGTGGAAGAGAAAGTCTACGCCAACAGCCCAGCGTCGTTTCAAGACCTCAAAAATGGAATTCGTGGGTCTATCGATGACATATAGGGCAACCACTTTGCGATTTGACTGATTTTATTTTTCACTATTAACGGCATACCTTCCTCTTTATAATGAAATGAACATTTGATTATACAAAAAAATGGCATTTTTCTTTGAATATCAAAAATAAAACCTCTTATTGAAAGACCCTATATACTTTATTGAGGTTATCTTTTATCAGTTTTTAAAAAGTTTTGATATTCTGGTACAGATCTAAGGCAGATGTTGAACACAAGATGAGAATGCTGCGATTTCTGGCGTTCAACAGCTGCCTTAGCATCTATATTTCTCGAAAACTGACAATGGTTACCTCAATAAAGTATATTCATTCGAAATCAGGAGAGAGCTCTATCGATTGGGAAAATAAAAAATACCATCTTGTGTAACATTTTTAGGTTTACGATGCTTTTCTGGATTTTCTACTAGGGTAGGTGCAGGCAAAAAGGCCTAGCTAAGGGAAACTTGGAATAAAATGGAAAATATTCATCCGAATCAATGAATTGTAGTGTTAATGATATCCAGAGATCAAGTACTATGAAAAATAATCAGAAGATGGCAACTTCTGCCGTTAACAAAAAAAAATTCAAACATTTTAGACCTTATTATACTATGGTAGGATAATAAGGCCTGAGACTTTGACATTCATAAAAAATCAAAATAGGCGCCCAACTATAGCGCAAAATTATATGAATTAGTGTAATATTACAAACAAAACTCACGATTTACGATAACGATTTTTTATCATTTGAGCGAATTAACACATCGCTGAAAGTTTGAGACGCCATCTATGAATGTTTGAGATGGCATCTATGAATGTTGGCAACCTGCCAGTGTGAACTTGAACGATATGGATGATTTCAACTTGCATTATTATTGCTAAGGCCTCATTAGTCGACAGGCTTTATTACTCGCACCCACTTTAATAGATTCTGAATGCCCAAAGAAAATACTACACTTTTGCCCATTTGAACGTTTCTGTAAGACCAATATTAACTGAGATAGCTATTGAGTAAAATATAACCAATAACCCTGTACATATCGTTGAAATCTTGTATCTGACGTTTTTGATTTCAGACAATGGAGGATTTATAGTGTCAAAAAGGAAATGAATTTTATTCGAACATCAGCAAGCTATATTTTATTCAAATACAAAGATCTTTGATTCAAGGTGTATTTCTGGGAATTTTCTGAATGTATATGGAAACCATACAGTATCAAAGAAGACGAAATAAACTAGTAACTTACCGTTCACTCATTATGAGAGTATACTCAGCAGTGGTGGCATTTCTTTCATCTGTGAGCCTTTTGACTTCCTTGTTGGCTTTTATAGTACAGTTAACCGCTTCTTCATACTGTTGCTGTAGTTTTTGATGGGCTTCTCTGAATTTTGCATTATCCTAAATTGAAAAAAAAAAACTATTTCTACAAGGAAAAGTTTTTTATAGTTACACAAAATTATACCTTAGGTTATTTACACACGTGGAAATGAAAAAAAAGGGGCAACAATAATATTATTCAATATGAATTGCCTTTTTTTTTCAATTAATAGAGGGCAAATAGCCCATAGCCCAAAGGGCTTTATGGAGGATACCAACACTTTGTCATCCAAGTAATTAAAAATCGAATCCCCGAACATGAAAATATCATGCAATCTATGTCCATGACAGCTAGCTGCATAGTAATTTTGTTTTATATTTTGATCAAACTATAGTTGCCTTTTATTTGTTTTATTCCGGTAGCGGTGGTGGGAACAGAATGACTTTTACAAATAAAACTAGTCCCTAATGAGACCTTTTTGCAAACCCCAAGTGTTTTCAATGACTGATGTAATCGCTCAAGAGGGCTGGCTAACATCCTTTTCAGGCACCGCCCATCAGCTCTCTTTCAGAGTTTTTTCAGAGTTTCACAGTGTGTTTTGTAGGCTAGTAATGTACTCACTACCATATGCGCAGTGGCAGGCCTGCTAACTATCCTCGTTAACCCCCGAGACCGAGGTCTACTAAGCAGCTGGCCCGCTCTCACGCTCAGCTGGTAGTTTTCCCACACCTACCTACATACACCGTCCTACTTCTTCTCTGATGCTCACAACCACATCATCATATCTTTCTGCGTGTTCTGTGTAGGCTTTGTTACTAACTCCATGCGCCTCTTTAGGAGCAGCACTGTTAATTGGAACGCAACAGCGAATCGTGCAGGACTATCCCCAGCCAATGCTCCGAAACTTCACAATATTTAATTCGTAAATAAAATATTGAAAAAAGTTCCTTGCTCGTGCTGGGAATCGAACCCACGACCCTGCGATCGTGAGACGGATGCTCTTTCACTGCGCCAATCCCGGCCCCAAATGGGGGATCTAAATAATTTCAAAATCATAATACAATAAGAGTTAAGAATGTAGAAAATGAATCAACCTGGGAATCAACTAATATTTGGAGCAGTGATTGTGGTGATTAAAGAAACTTCTCTGAGATTGAGAGAATCCATTTTATCTGGGAATGAAAATATTATTAACCCTGTCTTACTTGAAAGAATCATGAACAAGTGAAACTCGCGATGAAAATGTCTTCTAGATGTCTTAGATGTCTCTTACTTTCAATAAGATTCTTTTTTCGCCAACCTTATTTGATTTCTTGACACCTGTCAACAGTAATTCCTCGTCATTCCTTGTAGTGAGACGGAATGAAAAGTAGCAACCGGAATCAGAAAAGTTGCAAATAAAACGACATATTAAACTGATTCCGGTGGCGGAATCGGATAAATAAAACGCAATGAGGAAGCGAAAAACAAAATCGAAAACACAGCCATGTAGGTATCCAGTAGCCAATCAACAGCCGAAACACATAAACAAAAACATCATGTTTTCGATCATCAACACAGATATTTCAACCAACCATAAACGCGTATTTCAGAATGAGTGGAATAATCATTAAAACCATGGTTTCTTTACCTTGAATAACTTGACCAGCTGCTGCTTCAACCCGGCGACGTCCCGTTGCGCTTGTCCCCTCTCCTGGGCGAGCACCTCGCACTGCTTCGCCAGCCTCGCGTTCTCGTCCTGTGCCATCTCCAATTTCGAGAGGGCCTGCGAATATCCGGGTGAATATCTTTAATATTCGCAAACATCACAAGTGCGCGCGCAACCTCTGGTGTCGAACCGGTCGAACTCGAGATCCACCAACAATAATGGGCGTGTACACCTTAGTAGAACTTTCAACTCAAACCATGTTTATAATGACCCTTTTATACATAAATAACGATTGACGACATAATTCCATATAAAAATTAACTGGAATATTTTATTTTTGGACATAAATAATAGTACCTTCTGAAAACGGACCCTATTTATGACGTAGAAACCTCATCTCGCCTGGAACCAATGAGCGTGACCCATAGAGTGACCCATGTGTGACACTTATGACTGTTGCCATATCATCTAAACAAAATATCCGAGAGATCGAAATTGATATTGAAATATCTTTTGATATCAACTACCACTACTGCAGAAAAATACATTCAACTTGTCGATGGTAGGTTGAATCATTAGAATATAAACAATCTCTAAACAACGAAATGTCACAATCTCAAAACCATTTGCACCATGACAATTTCACAATAATCCAATATATTTCATGAACGCAGCAACATTGCTTTGTTGACCCGTTTCACATGGAGCTGCATTTGCATCGAGTCTCGAATTCCGATTCCGAAGTTATTTATGTCGTCTAAAATGAGAAGAGAAGACACGTAATGAAATTAACCTCCAAATCTTGCTGTATGTCATATTAAAACATATTATTGATATATTGAATATAAACATGAACGTTGAATCAGGATTTGTAAAAGGCTCATCAGATAATCTACCAAAAATTGATTTGGAAATGGTTAATTATTTTTATGTCTCTAACATACTAGAAAATCTCCACAGTTCCTCAGTGCTGAAATGAGGAATAGAAAATCAGAAAGGTAAGTTCCACAATATTCATTCAATTTTCATTGCTTGTACCTAGTATAGTTGCATTGGAAAATTGTTCACCTGAAAGGATATTTAACATCAGAATACCCATCATATGGAGATTCCAAGGGAGAATCCTCATTAAATCAGTCACTGATCGATATGTTTACCTATGCAACAATATGATCAATTGGTATGAAACAATGTTATTTCCAAGACTAGATACTGCTTGCATCTCCCCCTGAATGTTCTTCTAGGAGATGGATCATTCATTCTTCAAGCAATTTCCCTATGAATTTCTGCAAAGCAAAACTACTACTATAATATTGTGTTCACCCAGTGAGGGGAGAGATTTGTTCTCAAAATTCCCAGCTAAATGATGTTTTTTTAATTGCAATTAGGCACAGAACATTTCTCAATCATACTTTTGTCGAAATATTTCAATTTAATATTCGAAAGTTCCAGAAACTTAATATAGGTTAGAATTGATCTTCTTCTTGTTCTTATCATCTATGTCCCAAAAATCAACTTGCCGATTCATCAATCTTGGTGCTTTGTGAGAAATCATGTATCATTCATCTCTGTCTGGAATAGTCTTGTTTCAGTATTAGGGTTTTGACGTCACATCATCGCCTCGTTTTCAGAGGTCCGAAAAATCGGGGATTTCAATAATTTTTTATAAAACGTAGGGAGCTCACAGAAAGAAACGGTTTGCGGTGGTGAGCTAGTTTGGGTGAGTTCTATCGAATTATGAAATAAAAATTTTTTGTGATATAAGCCCATTATCGACCATTAAACAACGAGCGGATATTTAGCATGCGATCAGAATTATCGATCGGATTGACATAAATCCTAACCTTTATTAATTTGATATATGTTATACTCGTGATAAAACGAAATGGAAAACAGAACACCAACAGTTTTGTTTACAAACCGAATTTTGACAGTTCAATTGAATATGCGAACAGAACTGTTGAATTCTTAAGCTTATCCACATAACGCAAGAAGGGTTGCCGAGGGTCTGTCAGATATGTTCCCTGACAAGGTAATTTCCAGCAACGGAGACATACTTTGGCCAGCGCGTACACCTGATCTCTCTCCGCTGGATTATTATTCATTGGGAACTATGAAAGATTTGATTTTCAAAACTGTACCGATCGATATCTATGAGCTGAGAAGAGCCATAATCACCACTTTCAGGACTAAGATAAAAAGACGGGACATCTCGCGAGCAATTCAGAATCTGAGGAAACGCGTAGAATTGTGTTTAGAAGTGGAAGGTGTAGTATTTGAGCATATTTTATTACTTTGTTTTGTTTCGCGAAGAATAAACTACTAGCTCATCACGTCGTTCCTAATTCAAAACCATAGTTTTTAAGTAGCTGAGCTTGACGAAAATGTGGACGTTCCAGATCCACATTCAAATAAACTGTCGAAATTCATCTTGTTGAAAAAAACTGTTGGCGTTCTTCCCAAAGCACTCTTTGCAAAAATGTTTTTTTCCAATTTTGGTAAACAGGAAAGATTCGATTCTATCGTGTGATACATCATTGTAATACAAAAGAAAAAGAGTTTTCAAAAACGCAAAAATCCAATATGGCGCCCATAAGAGAAAACAAAGTTGCGTGTTGTGATTTCGGCATAAGAACGTCATGGAAAATACAATGATTCAGATTCCTTGTAGAAAAGTGCCTCGAGAATGTCTCAATCAGAAACGTCTGGGTTTTTTGGTTTCCGCTTGAGAAAATAACGAAAATTATAAATTTTCTCCAATAATTCAAAAACTGAAAATGACATCATTTCCGGCAGATAAATGTTCAGCATGAAAATGCGCAGCTCTGCCCTGATTTAACCGACCTCGTATCTCTTATAATAGATGAGATCCTCATGGTGGAGCTCGAAAAACGGACACCCTGTATATTCACCCAGAATGCATTTTGAAGAACGCATAGACTTATTATTTACATGAAAAAAGCGTGAGAAGTGTTGCAAAAATTGATTTAGGTTCCTAACGACAGAGTGGAGTTGAAATTGACGTTAAAGTTCTCTTGACAGGGTACGAACAGATCATAGCTGCATTCTTTTTTAATGATCTAGAGACTTTAGTTTTGTCTACTGGCATCCCTGACATCGCTGTCACGTCACATCCATGGGCGCTACAGAAAATCATTCAAAATTTTAATAATAGGTATGTACAGGGTATTAACTTGTTGAGGAAGGTCATATGGCGAACGAGTTTTGTAATTATGATCCGATTCTATTCAAAATTGGAAGGTATGTGGGGTTTTCCGGGGTTGGAGATGATGATTGTTTCGTCAAACTTGGAAAATTCAAGATGACGGATCCAATATGGCGAAAGACATTAGTTTATATAATTATTACTCTACCACAAATAGAAAATATGTAGGATGCAAGAGTGAAAATAACGCGCCTATAAATTATACTGCGTATACTTAGTGTATACCTACCTCTTTGTTACTTTCATCAATAAATTTTTCGAAAATTACTTTTTTTTAAAGAGACGGAAAAATCATGTTTATAACTTGGGGGTGAAGTATATTCTATTCTTTATTTTCCTGCACATTTTACTTATTAATTTTTTCAGCCTACTTTTCGTCCTAGACGAAGTTTTATACATGGTGTGATTGTGATATTAGTAACTATAAATTCTTCTCCGAGTTGGATTTCTGAAAATATATTCAGCACACATCGAGGTTTCCACCATTTCTCAATCATAAGGCTCAGCTAATTCAGCTCATAGATAAACTACTGCTCAAGTGCTCAGCTTGAAATCAGAATTCATTCAGTCAATTTAGTAAACCCTGGTATACAGTCTAAGAACAGTCTCTTTTATTGAAATATATCAAGCTTTCAGTACAATTTATATGTTCCCCAAATCGCGAAGATTATGCTGGAGTAGTAAACTCTAAAAGTAGAGGATTGTTCATCTATATCTTGGTATAGTTGAATCAGGAATTCCATATAGAAATCACGTATGATACGCCAGTGACCTCAATATAACCTAAAAAACAACGAGTATCAAAAATCTAGTGTTTATCCCCAGAATTGAATAAGGATGGAACTATATAACTGTTTCACAAACACTTTAGAGTGAGAGGAGACGAGCATCTGTCCGTACCCTGTTAAGATGACTTTAACGTCAATTTCCATCAAGGGACCCTAATCATGCTAACTCAACCATGCAGTCCCTGGATCTTCAAGCATTCTACTGTGTGTAGGTTATGTAAGTATAAGTAAGTAAATAAGTTATTTATTTGACTATGTTATACACAACTGCATATTAATAGCACGTCACAAAAAATGTTTGTATATAGTTTGAATTTAAGATACAAATAAAAATGCACACAGTTATTATAGTAAAGTAAGTAGAAATGAAAACAAATTAAAATAGTCAATACATTAAAAAATTTGGTTTAATTAGAGTGAGAAATCAAACCACCTTCTTCAACATATTTCTGATATTCCTCTATGGAGTAGAGAGAATTGTACAACAGACATGATTTTATAGCTTTCTTGAAGCAGTACATGGTTAATTTCTACAATGATTCGATATGTACCTGCGAGTGGGAGGCGAAGAGCGCCTCGGAAGTGTCCCCGTCGCGCTCCGCCGCTTGCTGACGCAGCCGCTGATGGTCCGCTTGCAGCTGCTTGTGGTCGTTGAGCAGCTCGGCGTACTTGGTGCGCAGCGAGGCGGAGTCCTGCGAGGACACCTCCAGCTGGTTCATGACGGCCCTGTGCTGCTCGCGGTAGTAGTCTAGATCCTGGAACAGCCCAACAGAGCGATCCGAATAATCCTCATTGACTTCTTTGTTTAATGTCTATTGTTTTAAAAGAGAATGAGAAGGTCTACGTTTACACGAATTTACCTAATGTGATTCCAATTATCAGGGTATACAATGTTTCATTTGTCATGTTGAATATTGCGAAATATTAGCGATTTTTTTTTCAATATTCCACCACTGCATTCAGCGTCCTTCAAAAAGGTTAAATGCAAGATTTCATTGAAAAATGTTGATTAGCAACAACATGACAATATTAATTTGCGTACCACAACATTTTTATGAATAATTCAATCAAATTCTGGGAAGCATCAACATTGTCAACGCAAAGGATATCTGGATATCTTAGAATTCATAATAAACATTATTTTCGAGTTGTAACTCTTCTATCTCCTTTACATAATTATGAAATAGATTCCCTTCACTCTCCCTAATTCCCCACTTCACAAATTCCACAACTCAAATCGCGGTGTCCCTCTTTGGATCTTAGGCTCCGCCCATCGCGTTCTAAGCGCGCCGATTGGTTAATTGCTCAATAATCTTAGGCTCCGCCCACTGTGTCTTTCACAGTTTGGAACGTGCTGATTGGTTTCCAAGTCTGAATGCCTTGGAAGCTTGCTGAGGAGTAATGATATTGTTTTCATTTCATTATTGCTATTCCCGATATTCGTTCCACCTGACGGCAACAACTTGAACACTTCTAAGAGGTTTGTTTCGATGATATGACCAATAAACACGAATAAAAACAAATGTGAACCAATGAAAACAAAGTGAACAGGCCGCTTTGACAGTTTTCAAGTCCGATAGGTGGCGGATTATTACAAATTCTGGTATGATCTTTGATCGTTACTGAATATCAATATTTGTGCCTTGTACTGCTAGTGATAGTAATCTAGATCCTGAAACAGGCAGACGATTCGATCCAATATAACCTCCATTGACTTTTGTGATTATTGTTACTTTTTATTTAGATAATAGCTACTATATAATACCCGAAATCATCTCAAGGATATTTTAATATGATCAAACGATCAAACCGATTGGTACATGTTTCAGGCATATATTATTATGTACATTCTCAGCCTAATCAAAATTACTACATTAATAATGTCCTGGAATGAATGTGAATAAGTGCAGAAAAATTAAATAAAAAAGGAATTGGTTACAGCTTCATACTGAAGATTGAAATAACAAAAATCGAAAAAATTCTATGGAGGCATTTATTGGTTTGTCCGATTGTGATTCGCTATTTCAATTATGTTTATTCACAGGATCGGCCGGAAATTTTCAGTTTTTCGCGCCCAGCGAGCAGCGAGCGAGGCGCAATATTACCTTGCTATGGCTAGACTCTAGTGGTTTAGTAAGCACGTCGGCAATCATCTCAGTTGTTGGACAATCTCTGGTATCACTTTTGGTCCAATCAGAAATGTCATATAGATACTCTATGCCACATGAATTTGATAACCTATTCAATTCCATGAAATAAAGCAAGGAGGGTGAGGTCCACGAGTACCTATATTATGATGTTCAAAGAATCAAAACTGATTTTTATTCTAGAGAAAACCGAAAACCCTGTTTATCATAAATCATTATGGAGTAAACATTAGAGTTGGTTAATTTTTGCACATATTGAACATTTATATCTCTGCAAACAAACAAAAGGAGGTCCAAAATATGAAAATACAACTGAACAGCTTTCTAAAAAATCTTGGGACAGATCACTTCAATTTTTTGGAGGCACATTTCTTCAACTATAGCGATTTTCTATGTGAATTCCATTTGGACGTGGATAAAATAAATCACCTAATTCACTGACACTGTGTATCATGAATTCAATGACTGGTCTTTCCAAATTATTATGATTGATAGAAAGGGATCTTGAAGGTTAATTGATTTTTTTCTACTTGAAAACTGGACAGGTAGGAGAAGTGTAATGTCATTTGGTATCTCTAAGGAGATTGGTATTTTTAAGAGCTATGAACCTAAAGATATACTTCACAGTGTTTATAATTAAAAAAATTTAAATAGTTGCGCAATACTTGGTAACAAAGTCGTGCCAAAACTGCACAACGAAAAATATTCGGGAGGTTGGTCATTTAGTCATTACCTTTCAACTAGCACCACTGCATGCGTTGACGTTTGACGTCACTATCAACTTAGCTTGAATGCCCTTTAATTTTCTACATACATAAATTCAATCTCATTCAAAATTGAAAAAAAAACTGATCATTTTGTATAAAAATCTGGAAGATCTAGGGATGCTGGTGCAGGTAGAGAAAAGTTAATGTCTAGTCAAGAACAATAGGTATAGTACACATTGGTCACAATTCATTTTGAATATTTATTAAATAAATTACAGGGTGCATAAATTTAATGGTCAATAAACAGATGTTTCTTGGGGTATTAAAGTCAATCAATTAATCAAAGTCAATGTCATCAAAGGAGATATTGTCATGGTATTTGCATCTTTGAATATTGTGCATTTTTAATAAAACTGCTGCATCAATAGGTACCTTCCAAATCAAACTTTCTTATGGAGAAGTTATTTGCCAAATACTTACACTAAGTGCATGATCACATCTTCTTCTGGATGTATTCAGTTCATTGTTAGTTTTTTCAATTTGCAGCTTGAGAGAATCATATTCTCTTGTAGGAAAATTTCGGGAAATAGTTCCTGGAAAAAATTGTAAGTCAGTTCTTGAAAATTGTGATATGATTGATGATATGTGATATAGAAGGGTATATCACAGGGTTGGCATGAATTTGAGTATTTGAGTATTTGAGTATTTTATTCAATATCCATGAACAGTCAAATGGTTTACATACATTCAGGTACAAAATGAGCTTTAAAAGCTTGTGTGTGCACCAGTCACATTTATAACACAATTCACCTATGAGTGAATTTGCTAATGAATCGTCTTATAGACTATATATATACTATACTATCTGGACTAATATGTACTAATGTAATATACAATCTGAATATATACAATATATGCAATATTATGTCAAACTAATAACTAGATATTGGGTTTGCTTTTTAAAATCCAAGATGATATTTTATTTTTGATTTTTTTGTATGGTTTGCCTTTGAGTTCGTTTGGCAGTATGTTATATATTTTTGGTCCTATATAAAATATACTTCGTTGAATGGTTACATAAGATGTAGTAGGAACAATTACATTTTCATTTGTTACTGATCTAGTTGTTATAACATGATTAACTTTCGGTATATTCATTTTTGATAGATATCTTACAACAGATTTTAAGTATAATTGCGAAATGTCAAGAACACCTGCATCTTCAAAGAGTTTGTCAGTAGGAAATGATTTATTTCTGAACATTATAATTTTTAGAATGTATTTTTGTGCTACATTTAAAGGAGTCATGGCATTAGCATAAGCTGAACCCCAGACTGAGATTCCATGTGATAACACAGACTCTACCAAAGCCCTATAAATATTGATAATGCTGTTCCTATCCAAAATTTGTCGAAGTTGATAGAATTTATAATATAACTTTCTAATTTTTAATACAACATATTCAATGTGATAGTTCCATTTCATGTGTGGGTCAAAGTAAGTTCCCAAATACTTGATTTTATTATTAAATTTAATTTTTAAATTACATTGACAATTATTCATTTCTTCACAATTGGGTTTATGAAATATCAGCGATTCTTTTTCAGGGAGGTTCTTTTTTGTTAAAGCAAAATACATGAAGTTGGACTTATCAACATTTAGGGTTAAAAGGTTCTTATCAAGCCATTTTTTCACTAAACATAAGGCGGTCTCAGCTTTATTAAACACCAAATTCCAAGAGTCATCCTCAAACAGCAAAGCAGTGTCGTCTGCATAGCAAATCACCTTTCCCTCAGATAAGACTCTGGTCAAGCTGTCTATATATATTATAAAAAGAATTGGCCCCAGCACAGTGCCCTGTGGCACACCACACTCTACCGAACAAGGATCACTGAGATATTCATTTATTTTAACTTGTTGATGCCTGTTGTTTAGATATGATTTGAAAAGGTCGTTTGGTATACCTCTGATACCTATTTGCTCCAGTTTGTTCAGTAGAATGTGGTGTGACACAGTATCAAAGGCTTTGGCCAAGTCCAGAAAGATTGCAAGACATTTTTTGTCATTGTTCAAACTTTTTGTAATGTGTTCTGTTACTTTAAGAATAGCAGCTTCTGTGTTACAGTTCTGTCTGAATCCAAATTCACATGAATTAAGAAACAATTCTTGAATTAATTCAAATATTTCAATGGGAACAAATAGCATCATCACCTTCAATTCAAACTAGTTTAAACTGATATCCTCAGGCAAAGAACTAAATTTTCTAAGAGCTGCATCATAGTTTCCAATTTTTCATAGCATGCAGTTGATTGCAGTTCATATCACAGTTCATATTTCTGGCAGAAATATTATGTGGGCTATTTAACACTGAATCGGAATTACCGACTTGCAATTTCTTTTTGTATGGGTTTTGATTTGGGTAGAAGAAACCCTGAGAATACTAACATTCAATGTGCATCTAATGATGCATGCATATAATGCATGAAATTCAGAAAATCTATCATTTTATCACTAGAATTTCACCAGCAATACAAATTGATGCAATATAAATAGGTCCGGGCCCATTGCAAAGAAAAATTGGTCCTGAATGACATTAATGCACAGACGTGCAATGAAAATTGTTGATTTTTTTTCAATCATTGAACTGTAAAGCGCCTCTAATGAGATTCTGAATAGTGAGTTGCCGAGTAGATGCAATGTAAGTAGGTCCGGACCCATTGCAAGAAAAAATTGGTCCAGAATGACATTAATGCATGGGCGTGCAATGAAAATTGCTGATTTTTTTAAATCATTGAATTGTAAAGTGCCATTGATGAAGATTCTCAATAAGTAGTAAGTTACATAAGCAATTATAATTTTCATTCTATCAATAGTTCCCTTGATAGCTCCAGTTTGTTTTGCAAAAAAATGCATGTTTTATCATGTTACATGCTTTGAGATTTGTAAGGAAAATAAAAACCTAGTTTTTTTGTTATGTTTTTGTATTTTCTATAGCTAAATAAAATTGAAAATGTATAGGCTGCCGACCAGTCAGCAAATTCTACTTTTTCTCTAGACTGCCGACCATTCAGTGGAATACATTCTTTCTGTAAAACAAAAAGATCCAAGATGATTAGTAGCTTAGTGGTTTGTCAATCCTGTGGTCCTGTGCTCAAATCCCACATGTTTTTTTTTATTTTTTTTATTCAATTTTTTTATCAAATTTTTGTTTCACATATTGGTTATTCTGTTTGGGTTGAGTAAATCACTTTCATTTGATATTCTATTTTTTTCTAATCTAGTTTTTCCTCCTTCCATTGTTAGTTCACAAGATTTTTGTGATCATGTTTTTGTTCCACCAATAGGTAGTTTGTTTGTGTAAATATATCTCATTTTTTCAGAAGTTCTTTCATCAAAACATGTTTTTTCTTCCTTAAAATTGATAATTTCAGTCTACTGGTCAGCATCCTAAACAATGAACACAATGTCACATGGTCGGCAGCCTAAAAAAAGTTTAGATTTCCGACTGGTCAGTAGTCTTGTGTAGTTCGCGAACGAACTAGTTCGAAAGAGCGCTCCCCGAGGTGAACTACGCGAACTAGTTCGTTGTCAATCTGGGTTTCAGTTCGTTAGTTCACTGAAAAATGCAAACGTTGACCGACCAGACCGACCGATCATCTCTCTGTCACTGCCGAGCGTGCGAGCGTCGAGCGAGAGGACCGAGACTTGCATCGTTGATTGATATATTACGCTTACGCTGGGAAGATGCCCAACCTGTGTTATTTGCGAGTCGATGCCCCTCTCATCCCCTCGTCTATCGTTTAGCCACTGTGAGGTAGCGACTCCACTAGGCACACAGAACATGTCTGAACTAATTGTACAGATTACTACACTTTTGTACAGAATTACAGATCCCATCCCACCGCGTGCTATCGCTCCAGAAATTCTTGTTTATCCTTGTCTTCTTCGATGAGACCCGACCCGCCCGACCGGTTCCGATAAAAAAATGTTTGCTACGGTCGGTGAATCCCATGGACAGTATTGATTTTTTCCTCGGTTCCTTGCGGAGGAGAGAAGAACAGAACATATTATGATCTCTCACTCATTTGGGTTCCTACTCCGTGGCGTTTTTTTAAATTCCCTTCCCTTGTGAATAACTTGCTATACTTTGCCTATACCCTAGACCAATATAATTTGTATATTATCTGGAAAAACATCTCACGCCTTTTTCGTTGATTATTTTTTTTACTCAATTTGTATCCATTTTGAAATTTTGTATTAATAAGACATTACAAAATATTGATAATATAATCAATCTGAATGTGATAATTTCTTAGAGTCCCATCAGTTGATCGAAAATAAATAGTCAGATATCTTTGAATCTTTGATTGTTAATGGTTCACTATGAAAATGAAATAAAATACATCATCTATAATAGGCATAATATACAGAGTGAGTCATAACTATTGGAACATATATAGAATTCATTAATTTATTGGATTACAAGAGTTGATGCTGCAAGCTTATGAACCATTTTTTACAGTATCTAGTTGTTGAAAAATATGAACTCTTTTTTGGTATATTTGAGATAAAAACAAAATCAACAGAAAACAACTACATTTCCAGTCTATATATAATATAATCATGAAATCGGCGTTGATATTTTGTGATACCAGTAACCTTTTCTGAGTAGAATCGATTTTGTCGCTCCAAAACAAACGGAGTACAGACTACGGAACGCTCAGAATCTCCGCCCTAACAACACAGGGACAGGGATGTACTAGGTACTTCCCCTCTTTGTCACACGGTACAAGGACATAATTGGGGTATCCAGGGAATGTCCCGCACATCCATAGGTTATCCAATTCGTGTCCTTGGTATATCTGATATCTATTCACATCAGAGTCATTGACTTTCATCAAAATATTGAGTTGAATTTTTATGAAAATGTTTGGTTTTTTTCCGGTAAATAATTGTAATGAAAATAAAGAAAGTCAGAACTTCTCAAGAAATGACCATTTTTCGCAAACAGAAATCGTAAATGCATATAATGCCCCTCATTTTTAAACATCCACGAATGATAATAATTATACCCAAATCCTAACAAAGTATTGTATTTATTCAGGTTTCTGCAGTTTGGTCCTGTTTAAAAATCTGTTTGGTACATAAATCTTCAGAAGGCATATCAGCCAATGGAGTAAGGTGCGTGCCTGAAAAAGCTGAAGGTCCCGGGTTCAAGCCCTACTCGACCTACATTTTTTTCTTTTGTCGAAGGGATGTCCCTGGAATATCCTTGGGACCTCCTAGGGATATCCTTTCTTCGTACTTGGTACATCCCAGGGACGTACCAGACGGAAATCCCTTGGATGCTTTTTTTGTCAGCCAGCTGATGTCCCTGGGGCGTCCCTAGTATGTACTCTGTCCCGACAAAGAATATCTCTGGGATGTCCTTGTATAAAATCAGGGACGTCCCTGGGAAGTCCCCAGGATGTAATTGTGTTGTTAGGGCGACAATAAAGGACGACTTGGCATCCCTATCGCCGACAAACGCACCGAGTCGGCCGCCCCACATAAATCAAAGGAAATTATTGGCACTCCAAGTTTCAGCAATACATAGGTCGGATCATATACCAGTATAAAATACTTTGGACTGATAGCGGTATAGAATTGTCACGCAATGTTCCGCGTTTTTCATGTGATAAATATCAGTAATTTCAATAATAAAAATTTCAAAAATTGTACATAGCTCTGACAAGAAAATGATTTGCGACAGTGAATTATCGTTTGATTTAGTAATTCGACATAATGAAATATGGAATTCCACTCAAACAGACCCATTTTAGATTCAGTTCTAGGGTAAAATACACTAAGGTGACAACACTGGTCCGGGTTCGTGAATTTCAATCAAATTTATGAGCAGTTTATATATTGATATCCGCTGACCAGTTTATTCCACAATCGCATGATCTCACGTCCGTGATGCGCTCGTTAGAAGCCTCAGACGAATAAAAGAAATACAACTAATACTAACAAATTCGAATTTACCGCCATATTAGTCAGAATCGTACTGATTGATCATGGATTCGATATACAAGCGTTCCGGATTATGGATTGTTTAATTGTTCCAAGTCGCACGCCATCTGCATTCCAATAGATTCTCTTCGTAAGTGGCGCACCTGCCCGTCAAATTACGAACTATTGCTCCGACATCGTTCGACACTATCGCCGCCACTATGTGAGATTTCGAACTATGGTACGCCATCTAGTTGTGAGATTTTTTTGGACCTCGTTTTGCCCCATAAGGTTGGGCATCTTCCCAGCGTAAGCGTAATATATCAATCAACGCTTGCATCAAATGAACAAGCGATTCAGCGATTGGGATCGTGTAATGCGAACCGCTCAACTTCCCGGCCGGTCACTTTTGTCATTTCACAGCGTTCGCAGTTCGTAGTTCGTAGTAGAATCGTTCTGCGACTGCGATCCATGTAGTATCTCTACGCTGCGGTCGTTACGTGTCTGCGCGGCGATCGGCGAACGAAACGAACTAATGAACTAGAAGAGTGAACTAGTTCGCCAATGGAGAACGAACTAAATTGAGCGATCTCTGAAGTGAACTAAAATGCCCAACACTACTGGTCAGCAGTTATTTATACACTTCCAAATAAATTTGATTCTTTCCAAGTGAATTCATTCAAAAAAGTCCGAATTATTTCAAAAAGTCGGACTTTTTTTGACTTTTTCATAAGTCATGACCGAGGTCATGACTTTTTCCAACCCTGGTATATCAATATATTTAGGTCTGAAGAAAAGCTCAAGTGTTCTTGTAGGGATAAATAGGAATTAGTGATTTTAATGCTGGGTTTATAGATTCAACTAAACTAAGAATTAAACAAACACCTATGAACTTAGAGAGTTGAATACAAGGAAACATCTATGAGGGTTTATACATCTACATCTTCATTTAAATTAAGAATTTTAAAGTTGACCAACTTTCAACTTAACAACTAAGAATTATGAAATTCTGGAGACAGAACATGATGATTGGATTTGTTATTGTTTGGGTGGAGTTTGGTGATATTTAATTGGAAAATTTTTCACAGATTCATGAATTGTGGAGACCAAAATCACTTTTTAACATCATTTTGATCTTTAATCATGAGACATTTCACAATGAATTCTTAGTTAATATCAGATATGTATAAACACCCTCATGATTATTAATTGTTGACTGTTAATTCCTGATTGTTAATTTAATTGAATCTATCATGCCAGCATAATGCAGAATACACCTATGATTGCATGAAATAGAGTAATATGGGGGCATATAGCTATCCATTAATATATTTTGAGCTATCACAAGATGAATATAATTAATACAAGATTATTATTGAGAAAACAAGACTTGAATTATATTATGATGAATCTTACCATTGCTGCCTCCTCCACTATCTCCATTTGAAGCCATATTTCTTCATATATGTTGAATATCCACATACATGTAATTGTGGATCTGAAAAAATATTAAAATGTAAATAAACTACTCACACATCTTTTCAAGCAATTTTGTGTGAATATAATTAAATATAAGGCCTACCTAATTATTTGATCATGCAATATTTAATCTTTATTCGTAAATGGAAGTGAAAGAACTACTAGAAAATATTTATTTTTCCATAGGGTATATTATGAGAATGTAATAGAAATAGAAGCGAACTGGCTACAAGGATTATGTTCATAATTCTACCTTCATCATTCCAAATTTGAAATGAAAATTCTACTCTTACCTAACATAATAATTATTTTTTGCTCAACATTATAAAATATTTATGTACTATTAAAAGAAAAAAGAAATAAAAATACACATCAGACAACTTCCATCTTGATAAACGTCAAATCTACAGATGACAACTGTCATCAGTCATATGTGCCAATTACATTAAACACAAGTCTTGTCCACGAAATCCCAATTTGGAGTCAGTTACGTGTCAATATGTCAATCACTGTCACTAAACTGTTATAGTTGCGTTTTATTAATCTGATTCCGCCACCAGAAATACCAGATCCACTTGAATGTGTGGTTTTATTTGTAACTTCACCAATTGCTACTTTTCATTCCGTCCCACTACCATATAACATGGAATGACGTGAATACGTGAATGACTGTTAACAGTTGTCAAAAAATAAAATTTGATTGGTGAAAAACGAAAGTTGAAGACATTTAAGACATTTTAATCTTGAGGTTCACAAGTTTATGATTCTTTCAAGCACACTCTCAAGTAACACAAGTTTTATATCTTCATTCCCAGATAAAATGAATTCTCTCGATCTCAGAGTCTCAGAGATCTTTCTCCAAGCATCACAATCACTGCTCCAAATATGCATGGATTATTTTCATTCGTTTCTTTGATAGTAAAATCTAGTATTATGATATTGGAATGATTTGGAGCCCGAATATATAAATATAACCTTTAACACCTATAATATGTCAATTCTCTCATGCGAGGTCATGAAGTTTCTCGTACTATTTGTTACGTCATTCTCTTCCCACCACCGCTACCAGAATGAAACAAATAAAACGCAACTGTATCATGCTGTCAAGTGTCACATTCATGTCAATATCAACATGTCAATAGTTCATGAGTTGCAAAAATTGAAATGAATATAAAAATTCTAAAAAGCGGTCGTTGTGATTAGTTGACTACAAAGACAAAAGATCTCAATAGATATACTACCAAATAAAACTTCACAATCAATCAAAACTTCGTCCTTAACAAGCTATCAACTTTCCAAGATGGACAGACTTCTGAGGCTTGGAGGCGGCATGCCTGGACTGAGTCAAGCGCCCCCTCCTTCAGATGCCCCCGTGGTAGACACAGCCGAACAAGTCTACATTTCTTCCCTAGCCCTCTTGAAAATGTTGAAACACGGACGAGCAGGCGTACCCATGGAAGTGATGGGTCTCATGTTAGGTAAAACAAGCCATTCATTGTAGCAGCTACAACTGCAATCTCATGTGTCTTATTTACAGGTGAGTTTGTCGACGATTATACAGTGAGAGTCATAGATGTATTTGCCATGCCTCAAACTGGTACTGGAGTCAGTGTGGAAGCAGTAGACCCAGTGTTTCAAGCTAAAATGTTGGATATGCTGAGGCAAACAGGAAGGCCAGAAATGGTTGTGGGCTGGTACCATTCCCATCCTGGCTTTGGTTGCTGGCTGTCTGGGGTTGACATAAACACTCAGCAGAGCTTTGAAGCTCTTTCAGAACGAGCTGTAGCTGTGGTAGTTGATCCAATACAGTCAGTTAAAGGAAAAGTTGTGATTGATGCCTTTAGGTAGGTGGTTTCTTTGAATGATGTTTCTGTGTTTCAAAGTATGTATTTTAGGTTAATTAATCCAAATATGATGGTGCTGGGTCAGGAACCACGCCAGACAACCTCTAACTTGGGCCACCTTCAGAAGCCTTCAGTCCAAGCTCTTATTCATGGTTTGAATCGTCATTACTATTCCATTAGTATAAACTATAGGAAGAATGAACTTGAACAGAAGATGCTGCTGAATTTGCATAAAAAGTCTTGGATGGATGGTCTGACACTGGCAGATTATTCTGAAAATTCTTGTGTCAATGAAAAAACTGTGGCTGATATGCTTGATCTGGCCAAGAATTATAACAAAGCCCTGGAGGAAGAGGAAAAGATGACCCCTGAGCAACTGGCTATCAAGAATGTTGGGAAACAGGATCCCAAGAGGCATTTGGAAGAAAAAGTTGATGTCCTTATGACAAATAATATTGTTCAGTGCCTAGGGGCTATGTTGGATACTGTGGTTTTCAAATGATCTTGTCAGCATCTTGAAATATTCCATCATGAGGTTGCAGTTTTTTTCTTTGTTAAAAAAAGACTGCCTTTCATCACCATGTTCAGTATTTTGGGAACACCCTGAAAATCATGAATATTACCCATTTCTTCTGAAGGATATCTGTAACATGGTGCCACCCACTATTATTTATGAATAATAACATTTTTGTAAAATCCTGATCTAACCTTGATTGAAATCATAATTTACCTGAACTACTTAGGAGATATTTTTTCATTAAATACATTTTTTTCAATTCTCAATTATTTTATTTTGGTCCAGTCATTATAGACTTTGACCCGTGAATAATTTTTTAGTGTTTTTTTTTTCATAGGTGTCTCGGGGGGTCACTGGGAGTGTAAATTCAAAATGGCGACCAAATCAAGCTTTTGCATATGTTCGAAAACTGGTTTTTTTGTTAATAAACGGTTTTTCTTGAATAACTCGGGCCATTTTTGATTCCACAGAAAAAGTTTGGGGACAAAAATTGTAGTAAATTTGGTTCTCTACAAGTTTGGTCCTCACAATTTTTCTGATAGGATCCATATTTTGTAAATTAAACCTGAAAAAAGCGACAAATTCGAAATATTTTCATTTCGTTTATTTTCAACTTTACGGCATAAATGAAGAGGACTAAACTTGTGGAAAATCAAATTCTAAACAATTTTGGTTACCACGTTTTTGTTCCAAAAATCGATATTTTGGGAATTAAACCTGAAAAAAGCGACAAATTCGAAAGATTATCATTATCTCCAATGCTTCGCATTTTACGGCATAAATGAAGAGGTTATTCCGCGCAGGTAGCTTGTCTGTCATGTCGGTGTGAAAATATGGTTCCGGAACTATTTTTTTTGTGTTTCTTAGCTGATGGTCCTGCCAAATCCATATCCTCCATTTCTTCTTCGGTCAATTGGTAATGCCCAGTTTCACAGTGTTAATGGTGCGGGATGATCGTCGATGTCGTTGTCATCATCATCACTGTCTTTGTCATCGACGGCTCGCAATTGTGTGACGTTATCGCAAGTCTGCCCAGCACAGTTGTGGCATTAGACAGAACATTTCAGTGAGAACATATTTTCTGGTTAAATTCCGAAAATATCGACTTTCGGAAAAACAGGTAAAGACCAAATTTGTCCAAAATTTGATTCTCTACAAGTTTGTTTCTTCTCATCTATGGTGTAAAGTTGAGAATAAACGAGATAATGATGATATTTCGAATGAGCCGTTTTTTCAGGTTTAATTCCGAGAATAGCGATTTTCGGAAAGACAGGTGAAGACAAAATTTGTCCAAAATTCGATTCTCTACAAGTTTGTTTCTGTTCATTTATGCCGTAAAGTTGAAAATAAACGAGATAATGGAAATATTTCGAATTTGTCGCTTTTTTCAGGTTTAACCCTCCAAAGCCTGAATTTATTATTTTTGGAAATATCAACTTTTTTTAAATAAACAGTACACAAGGACCTCATTTATTGAAAAAAATTCAATATTGAGCAAACTCTACACCTAGAAATGAAGTTTAGAGACGTTGCCATATGGCAACGCTAGGCTTCAAGGGTACAAGTAATATCAACATGAACTTGAATGAAAGTTTATTCGGGAATAGTTTAGAATACAAAAAATGTTCTCTGAGAAACCATAGTTACTCGTCTAAAAAGTAACTGAATGAAAAATTTCGAAACATTGCATGCAAAGTCCCATCACCTTACATTTTTTAAAACTTGTTCTGACAATTGAACTGCAACCTTCACCTGCACATCTCCAACGTTTATTTTTAGGTACAGCTATCACTATGTGATCCATACGATCATATAGCGCACATCGTCCGAAACCCTATTACTAAAAAATACTATTCTTGGATAAGGATGTTCGTCCAGGTCCTTTGGGTGGATTTTTGTAACGAGTTCAGATATGCGAGTACGAATTCACGTCGAAACTCACGCTTAGTGAGTTCACTTCCTGCTTGTTTATAGATGATCGATCCACGAATCGTGTAGTGCAGCATCCAAGAACCAGGTAAAAATAGACCAGTACCAATTCTTGCCCCTTTTATGGAGATCCGGTATTGGGCTATATCTTGATCCATCCTGTCTGTTCCACCCATATGTTTATTGTATTCATCAGTAACTAAGTATGGTCTGTTGATTTGAACAATTTTTTTCTCTGATTGTGAGTATCTTCTGACTTGACTAAGCGGATGAATACCATGGATAGTAGAAGACAGCATTGTCGTTCCAACGTGCAACCAAGACTCCATTTACAGCACAAATCTTGGATTCATGTGGCTCCCCTTATCTTCTTCTTAGTTAGCTTTTTGTCAGTTATAGTGTGCAAGATTTGGGCAATCGTTTTTTTTTTCTCATCGTCCATAACCTCGTTCTCTGAGATGGGTGATGTAAAGGAAATCCAGTGAAAAGATTCTCGAAATAGATATTTTGTGCCAATATATGTCTGGTTCGGTAATTCGTCTAACATTTTCACTAATGGAGCTGCACATGCTCCGTATGAAGTTCATTTTTATCTGGGCTACTTCCTTGATAGACCTCCATATTCACCAAGTAGCCAAAATCAGTTGAGGAACCTATCGTTGCCATACGGCAACAGCTAAACAAAAATACGTAAAATTCAAAATATGCATTTGTTTTCAAATCCATGTATATGACACGTTGGCTGAACCTTCTTGTAGCCAACTATAACGATATGAGTATTGAATCATTCTATTTGGAAAAAATATTACACTTACGCCCATTGTAGGTCCATTTTTCGACGAAAACAATGTACACGGTAAGAAGTACACTTGCTTACTGAATAATATAGTTCGACTGAAATGAGATGTAAACATACAAATCACTCAACTAGTATCCCTACTACTATTTTGTGACATCGGAAACCAGTAGTACAATGCTACGTATTTTTGGTTGCCGCATTAAAGAGTCCAAAAAATTGTTGCCATATATGGCAACGATAGGTTTCTGAGGGTTAATTTACAAAATATCGATCCTATCAGAAAAATTGTGAGGACCAAACTTGTAGAAAACCAAATTTACTACAATTTTTGTTCCCAAACTTTCTCTGTAGAATCAAAAATGGCCGAGTTATTCAAGAAAAACCGTTTATTAACAAAAAAACCAGTTTTCGAACATACGCAAAAGCTTGATTTGGCCGCCATTTTGAATTTACACTCCCAGTGACCCCCCCGAGACACCTATGAAAAAAAAACCACTAAAAAATTATTCACGGGTAAGGTCCGTTATTTGGATATAATGACTGGACTATTTCCAATCTATCCAAAATTCTGATTTCAGAGTATCTAATACTGATTTCTATAATAATCAAAATGTTCAGTTTTATTTCAATATACTTGCAGAAAGGAAAATTCTGTAAAAATGAATTTTACAATCGGAGAACCTAAAAGAGGACTTATAGTCAGAAATTTCTGTGAAATAATAATGAACTCCATCAATGACTATCTGTTTGGTGGAGGTTGATCATGATGGATCATATGAGAATGTGTCCCAAAAATTTATGATTTTAGAAATATTCATGAACAATTCTGATTGGTAATTGTAATTATCACCCCAACATTTTTGTCAGAATCAGTATTATAACATACTAGTGTGGAAATTGACATATTTAAATGTGCAGGAATGGCATTTTCCAAAGATTTTTGTACACTTTTTTTTCTACATTCTAGGATCCTCAACATAAGAGCTGAGAAGATATAGAAAGGTTCACTATAATCTTTTCTAGTCATTCAATCATACAGGTGTTTTTTTTTTCTGGGAAGGGTTGGTTAATAATTTTTGAAAATGGTGCATATTCGTGGACAACTATAATACTATATACATATATAATAAATTAGGTATCAAATACATTTTTCACGGTCACATTATTCCTCATTCGGCAATAAAAAAGGATCATCAGTCAAATAACACATCTAGAGAGTACACTTTCACACTAACAAATTTTCATTATGACTAATTTCTTTCAATTCTAAATTCCTCCTATGCAAATCTCCACAATCATGAGAGAGTAGACAGTCTTGTTCACCATGGTCAGAAGTCAGATCTGAAACAAGTTTTAAAAAATGTATATGAAAGCACTTCTCTTTTGTTTTTACCACTGTCTGCTAAATATGGAGAAGAAATCTAGTGAGCTGGAATGATTTTTACATCACAAATGTTTTGAAAAGTTGCTCATAGCCCTATTATTGGTAAAACATAATAATCTATAGTACAAATACATATTCCAGTTAAGAATATAGCGGATAATGAAATAGGGACTGTTTGACCTTGCTTTCTATTGGTGTAGACGCCAAAGGGAGTTTACACTAGCGATCTCACCAATGATGATGACAACAATAGGAGTGGCTAGTGTACCGGTCGGCTGTCAATGAAGATTAATTTCGTATAATTGCAATATAACCCTAGAAAATGGATTCATTTATCATCGGCTACTCAAGCCGTTATGGAGTGCCAATGAAAAAAAATAAAAAGTCAAAATTTCGACTTAGGAAGTTGAAATTTCGTCTTACCAACTCGAAATTTCGTCTTACTAAGTCGAAATTTCGTATTATTAAATCGGAATTTCGTATTAGTAAGTCGAAATTTCCAGAGCTTTCGTAGAAATACGAAAGCTCAGGAGTGCCAGTGGAAAAAAATAAAAAGTCGAAATTTCCACTCAGGAAGTCGAAATTTCGTCTTAGTAACTCGAAATTTCGTCTTACCAAGTCGAAATTTCGTATTAGTAAGTTGAAATTTCGTATTAGTAAGTCGAAATTTTGTATTTTAGTAAGTCGAAATTTTGACTAAACATCTCGAAATTTCGACACGATTATTGTTATCTCGAAATTTCGAGTTTTCTCCTTCTTGGCCATTACAAAAGACATCTAGATCTAGGTATCCACGACGAATGCCAGTTTTGGTTCACTGTTTTCTTAGTTTTTCAACTCAGATCTCTATTATGCAGGTCCCGAAATTAGCCTGCCAAACTTCACCAGCAGCTCCTTTGACCGAGTTATAACTCGGAATATTGAAATTCCGAGCAATATGTCGGAACTTTGATGTATATAAATTCCGAGTTATAACACGGAATTTTAAAATTCTGTGTTATAACTCGGAATCTTGAATGTAAAATTCCGAGATATAAGTCGGAATTTTAAAATTCCGAGTTAAAACTCAGAATTTTGAAGAGTCAATTTTTTTTATTTTACGTGTCCCTTCCAGGCCTTCGTAGGATATATTCCATGAAGGCATGATGTGTTCCAGAAAAGTGTTACGAAAAAATGTATTCACACGTTGAAGTCTTTTACCTTCGATGGTTTGTTCCACTTGTTCCTTGGAATCGAAATGTTTGAAGTCTTCCCGCATCACTCCATTGAAAACGTGGAGGACCTCTTTCCTTGTATTGATGAAATACAGTGGCTGTTTCCTCATCATAAATTCATTGATAAGAGCTGAAATGCCCTTCGCTGCCGTGAAATCTGCGCCTATATATATAGACAAACAAAAACAAGAATCAGTTCCAGAATGACCGGTGTTTACTAAAATAATTGACATGTTTCACTTGGAAAAGGTCAGACGTTTTGTGCTATTTGGTGGCTGCAAATACTGTCAAATTGAGATTCAATAGTCGACTGCAACGCATTGTCTTTAGTCATAATTCTATTGTTATATATAAATAAGGTACAGGTGTTGGCTTTGTTACTAACTCTATACGCCATCTTAGGAGCAGCACTGTGAATTGCAACGCAACAGTGAATCGTTGTAGACTTAGAAAATTAGATTCAATAACTCGTTTTATAAATAAATATCTTCTGCTCGGCCGGTGATTCGAACCTTTAGCAACCTTTCGATGTTCTGATTACTAGTCGCAAGCGCTCATCCATTGCGCCGTCCATGTTGTTTATTTCCAACAATTATCATTCAACAGTTTTTGAAATGATAGAAATATACAATAATTTTGACAGAGGCGCCAATTTCGATCACGTTCGATATTTGACACCTCTATAGCCAACCTCATAATATGTAATGTCTAACCCTTGGAAATTTGGTCAATTGCACAGGAATAATTTTTTTATTTTTACCTAAAATGAATCGGCAGTCCACTACAACAGGAAGATGTTTCGAGGTCATTCCTGCTTTTCCGACACTTGATTTGATGAAATCGATGGCTGGGAAATATAAACTGTTTTCTGGAGTGATGGCCATATATTCAACCCCATGAGGCGTCTGAAAATTAAATGAAATGAGAAAACGATTCAATGAAAATAGTTTAGCCGCGTGGTCGAAACGTCAGTATTCTTTTCACGATGAATTGCCGGTTGGTGGGTTCGAATCCACGACAGCAAAATTTTTCTGATGGCCTAAGAAAGTGATTGGGATCACACGTTAAAAGGTCGTGAGGCCCCTCTGTCATTAAGGGGGCAACCGAATAACGGATAAGAACAATTCTAGAATAATTTAGGTAGTATGGTTATATTTCATTCATATTGTTTTCAAAGCTTAATTTGAACATACAACTAGAAAGAAGAGAAAGAGAGAAAGAAATTGTTTGTCTGACTTCTGACAAAATCGCGCCTGCGCAAGTCACAGTTTTATTTGTTTTTGTCGTTGATAATGATAAAAAGTTGGTCATCTCTTAGCGAATATAGTTAATGAAAGATAAAATTCAATTCAGGTGCATAAATCAATGAACGGGAGATCAATGAAAAAGCGGGGTGCAAAAACAAAAAAATGCTCCAAGACATATCATATATAGCGCCACTATCAAACTATCCGATTATTGAAACCAAAAAAGCAAGAGTGGAACACTCATCAGATACTTATTAAAAGGTAGGCTATGATCTTCTTAAATTTCAACTGTATAACGTTCAACCTCGTCGAAAGATAATATCCGATGACCCAGTGTGAAATTCATGTCGTGCTCACACTATAAAGTATTCTAATCCACATGGTGAGTTTTACACTGGTCCATCGGATATTATTTTTAGAAGGGGGCGAAATATTCTCGGAAGTATTGACGGTCTGCTACTAACTTTTTAGATCTGTTTGAATCGCGGCACGTTTGGATATTCGCAAAGGCGACATCATTTCCTTTAATTTGCTTCTTGTTTCAAGTCGTTATCAGATGACGGGAGTAGGCCCGGAATAATAGCAGCAAATAAATGGCTGTGCCGTGTGGATTTGGCTCAGACTGAAAGGTGGCACAGGTAGGTTTTTGAGATCTACCATTCAATTGGTATCGGATGGCATAATTCTTATCTCGTTATCAAATCGCCAAATCTAGTGCAAATTTCTGAACAGGAAAGTGCATTTTCTTAACCTTTTTGCTCAGGATAGTGATTGGCACAGGTGCCGTTCGTTGAACTACAATGTTTCAACTTTCCTTTGGGACATATATCATTTCGTTATCAGATGACGGTAGAAATCTGCAGCCGACTCTCCTACTATAATTATTGTAATCTATCTGCTAGAAGGACTGAACATCTCTTTCCGATTGTAACCCTCTAGATCTCTGTTTATCGTTTGCACATCTTCGGTGACGATGACGCGGAATCCAATGTTTTTATTGTTCACCCAAAAAAAGTGCTGAAAGCGCCTAAATAAGTTGTCACTTCAAAAATATCGCGTCTACCTTCTGTTTCTCGACGTAGACAGCCGGCCTGGCGCTAGAGTGCAGCAGGAACGTCAAGTTGACGCCGACGCCGAGCAGGATGCCGTACTCCACGCCGACGATCAAGCAGGCGACGAAGGTGGCGAAGGTGCATGCAAGGTCCTTCTTGCTGGACCGCCACATCGGCCGTACCACCTATAAACAATCGATGGTCGTCATTAGAGTGAGTAGATTAAATAGTGACGACAATAGACCTCCAAATGACCAACAAATGGCTGCCGTTTCCGGAATGTCATTCGTCGACAAGTCACTGAATAGCAGAGAATCTGAAAAGTATCTCCCATGCAGTAATGAATTTGCGCCCTCGAAGTGCCCACCTCATGTTAGGATTAGATATTTGATATTTTCATTTCATCACCTGAATAATCTCTGAGATTCACGAGTCCCAAAAGACGGGTTCTAATAGTAAATATCTGAGGTACTGACGTATAGAGTTTAATTTCTGATTGTTGGATGTTTTGCGCCCAAAGAGCAAAAAACAGGACAAAGCATTGACGAAATGAAATAGAATGCGTCGTCACTCTATTTATGAAGTCACTCTAGTCGTGGGGGCTCGGATAATTGTTTACTACAGCCAGTATGATTGATAAAGTGAAGTTGAATAATCTCCGAGTAGATCGAAACGATCATCAGCAGAGTAGCCAAATCTTAAGTATTAATGCCAGATATGATTGATGTAAAAAATCTATTAGTTCAAAATCATTTCTGACATCGAGATTATTCTCTTTCTGCACTTGAGTTTGAGTAATCTCCGAGGTCCAAGGACATCAATTTTTGCAAAATGATCAATGATAACATTTCATTTCATTCCACCAGTTGGCATTACTAAAACGGAGATCAATGTCAAAATCCCAAAATTTTGCCGGATATAGCCCTGAAGATTGACGCCTATTTTATTGAAAATATTCGGAAATAATCATGTAGAATATTTGAACAAATAAGAAACCTACAGATAGTATTTAAGAAAACCTCAAATTATGAATTTACTTGAGCAGACTTGAGTACGTATTTTACTCTCAATGTGGAAAATTTTACTACCAATTCTTATATTGACGGAGAAGAAGATATCGTAGGAAAAGGCCAAATTACATGAAAAGAAGAAGTACAAGAAAATCTTTCATGTAGTCTTGGACAATCTTGAAATTGTCTTGACTGATTATTCGAGTACTAATCGGGATATTTTCATGTACTAGTTGTGAAATCCATTCATCGAGAGCAACAAACACCACATTGAAAGAATTAGACTCATGACAAAACAACATTCAATTTTTAAGAATGTATGATGTTTTGTGGCAAACATCCATCGATTCAAAAAAATTTGAACAATGGAAGTTTTTATCACTATAGTTATATAACACACCTCGTATTCGATCATGAAGACGACGGCGCTGACGATGACAGCTGCTAAAGAGGCCTTTGGGATGTAGGCGAAGTAGGGCGTTAGGAAGCCGAGAGCCAACAACACCATCGTACCTAGAATTGGATTACTATTGTTTTGTTCTATATTGCTCAATTTACTTATAATTTCATTTACTAATTAGTAGTAGTTGTATTCTCTATTGAAACGAACTCATGTATCTATGCATGTCGAATAGTAAAAATTCTTTGTCGTGTCATTTTATGATAGACTTTGCTATGAAACTTGGCAACGCCAGAAAGGGACTGAAAAATTATTATCACTTAATTCAGCATCAACGGTGTGTAGGTATGTCGCTACCGGTCTTTCATCAATACGCATGAAATTATTCAATCACAAGAAAGCCCAAAATTGTAGTGTTTTTTACTTGTATGGAATCAATGAAATTTACCCAGGGCAGTTTCCAGCGAGGGTTAGCCCGATGAGACAGCTACAGCACATTATGCAATCCAAGTGAGCATTTCCTATCACAAAAGTTCCATTTGTTTCAAATTTGGAGAACTCATAAAGTGCTTGAAATACATGCATAATTTCAGTTCACTAGATAATAATTGTAGAGAAACTATCTACCTGTTACTATTCCTCCTAGAGGAGTTTGTACGCCACTAGCATGATTGACTGCTGATCTTGAGAATGATCCTGTGATTGGCATGGAAGAGAAGAACGAACCGAATAAATTGCACAGAGACAACGTAAACAGTTCCTGTGTAGCATCGATTGTTGATCCACTTGCTGAAAATAATATTTAGTTGTCAAGTATATGAGCATTTCACATGAAGAAGCTCCTGATGTGTTAGCGAAACATTAAGAAAGATTTAAGAATTTTGTGAAAATCTTATCGTTTAGGAAGTTTTTTACACTCGTATATTCTGATTTGATAAGTAGGAACACATCACAGTGACGTCTATTTAGGCAGTTTTATGAGAAATAACAAGAGGTTGTACTATTTCAGAGTGGACTGGACCAGCGAGCTTACCACCTTTTCAAGAACATTATTTTTTTCTAAAACAATATCAAGGTATCGGTACATTTGGTAAAGTAGTTCTACCAATGCACCAGACAAATTTCAACTCAATTTCATATCTGATTTCGAACTTGTAGAATTCGAACTTTTATTTACAACATATAAATCGTAACAACTTGTCTTCACGGGCGTTCGAACTGGAATGGATCAGTCTTGCATTCGTATCACTTGCAATATGATGAATTCATCACCGATATGACTAAACCTTTACATAACGCACATAACTAAGGATAGCTGGGTTTCTATACAAAGTATCCTAGGTTTGATGCAAAAAAATTAACTCAAGTGGGGAAATCATTTGGATTCAGAAAGTTTTTCATAAACATAGCATATATCTTGATTCCTATGGGACATACACGGCGTTGAAGTTAATTTTCTTCAAATTTCCTTCATATTTCTTCTACAGCAAAGAGTGTAATATAAACTTCATACATTTGCATTTCGAATCAGTCATTGGTGAAACTGCATTTATCATGTCTGAAAAACACGAATTTGATAATGAAAATGTGAACAAACCATTATTTATTAAGATATTTCACTATAAAGTTACAAATTTCACCTTTTTTTCCGCCTGCCTCCTGGATCGCATATGGAACAATTCGCCCTTATTTTTTCATCATTGGACAATTTATATATTTATATAAGAATGTACGACACCTTTTTTTTCTAATATATGAGTCAACTAGGACATGATATTTTCTTGTGATTTATTCATATTTAGTGAAAAGAAGGAAGAATATCATTAGAAATAATTGCGTATGTGATGTCATTCAAAAGCAATCAATTGACATTTGATATCTCGTATTTGGATTGACTAATTGACTATTGATTAAAAGGGCGTCATCTGGTATGCATGTTCACTAAATATGAAAAACTCGCATTGAAAATCATATTTCCTGTTTAATTTTTTATATATAACTGTGTCATTGGACAACATCATGAACATATAAAGTGTGTCCAATGACAAAAATAAAAAGCAAGTACCTGTAAATGCATCCAATACAAGGGGAAAAAGAAGGCGAAATTTCGAACTTTTTCTTGAAATATCTCGATAAATAGTGCTTGGTTCCCATTTTCATCATCAAATTCGTGTTTTTCAGACAAAAATACGTAAGAAAAGAAATTTTCATAAAAAAACCATCGCATGATGAATGCAGTTTTACCCAATAACTGCAGTTATTTACCATGATAGAATTCTGAAAAATACCTAATCTAACCTATCATATTGTGCAATGCAGCGAGATTAGCTGGTCTATCGAAAATGTATCGAGGTAGGATAATTTCCTAGCTTCAATCATCTCTTTCGTCGACGCTATTATTGCTCTTGTCGCTTCAACATATGTTAGGAAGAATGAATATTTCCTGAAAGTTACTTTACTCGCGCCTGATGACCTATCTGCACTTCAGGAAATTGTTACATATACTGTGACAGACAATTGAAGGAGATCTGATAAGTGATGAAATTTGATTGGGGTTAGCTGGTTACTACTGTGCTCAATGAACTTAATATAGTTGTATTGAGTTCATTGACTGTGACAGACAATTGAAGGAGATCTGATAAGTGATGAAATTTGATTGGGGTTAGGTGGTTACTCGAAAAAAATCAAGATTTACTTGCATTCTACTGTGTTGGTGTTCCTTACCAAAAGCTTTTGCTATGGCGACGTTTCCCAGCACAGCTATAATCGGCACGAGCGCAATGGAACTCCCCAAATCCGAAACCATCTCCCCCAGGAGCACCGTTCGGTTGTTCAGCTGCGTCTCGAAGGGGGGCAGCTTGAATTCTGGAACTCCTGACTTGACGTTGCCCGTCAGAAGGAACGGTGAACCTAGACCGTTTCGCTCGTAGTAGAACGCTATCAGGCTGCATAGCACCACCACGATGGCGTTTCTCGATGTCGAAATCAGCCAGAGAATGTACTTGAGGGTGTCCTGCTGCTTGCTTGGCTTCGAGTCCTTCTTGTGTACTCGAACGTCTTTGAGTTTCTGGTGAATTCATTGGCAAAGACAAATAACATTTAGGTTTTTCGAAAACTAAACTGAAAAATCACAATTATCCAAGTATTCTCTCTAATGAGATATTATACTTTTTTACCCTAGGTAAATTTTACCAAGGAACAGTTGCATTAAAAAAAAGCGTACAAGTATATTACAGAGAGCCAGACGATAGAGAAGACTTCCAGGACTACGGCAGGCTGAAGATCTCCTTGGAAATTTCAACCGAGAAAGATCTAAGACACTGACAAACCTCAGCAAAGGAAGTCTCAAAGCAATAACGGGATTTCTGAGGGGGCATTGCGGACTCAAAGAACACCTAAGGAAGCAGGAGGACGGCACCTGCAGATTCTGTGAGGAAGAACCAGAAACACCCCATCACATACTGATGGAGTGTGACGCTGTACAAAAGATTGAACATACTGGGAACACACCAGTTGACTGTGGAAGAGATACCACAACTAGACCCGCTCAAAATCCTCAAATTCCTGAAGGAATTGAATCTTGAGGGGCTGCTATGAACAAGAAATCCTTGATATAGCAGAAGCAGATGGGGCACAATAGATCTAATTAGGTCGCAGCGCATCTGTCATCATCCAACCTACCAATACCAATACCAATGCAATATTACAGAGAGAAATTAACGTCATCCTATTCTGCATAAAACGGGCTATCGGGAATGATTGTTCACAAAATGTTGACAGTAAAGTTGTCATAGGTTCTCGAAAACGAGCCAGTTTTACACAACTAGAACTAGGATCCCGAAATCCTCTCATTTTAATACTTGTACGCTTTTTTATTGAATACGACTGTAAATAATAAAAAAGTGTCAATAGTCATGATACACACACACACAAAATTTTTTGAATTTATATATATAAACACTCTCTATTTTGAACATTATCGAGAAAATATGTGATGCGATATGTTTTTGACCCGTTAAATCAACTCCTACACGGAAAACGCTATCTGACGACGAAGTGAGTCATTTTTGACATCGATAAAAAATGATGCATCTTCTTTATCAACAGTGAAAACACAAGAGCTTTTTTTATCGGATAAATTTCTCTTGGTAACGAAAAACATTTGCCGACCAGTAATTTTACGAGAAAAACTGACTGATAAAATTGCGAGACCGTAGGTTCGAGAGAAATAACTGATGGAAAATGTTTGAGTTAATAGCGAAATTTATCCAATTAAAAAAAAGTTCGAGTGTTTTTTGGCAAGATAAGTCAACGACAATATACAAATAAACAACAATAATGATACTTTGCGGAATTGATTTTCTCATATTTTCGTGATTTCTTCAGACGAAATTTTCCTAATACGGCTCATCTTGCTAATTTACGCGTGAACCATACCCATCAATCAAACTTGACACGACAGAAATTGGAGTGACATCATGCGCAAATAGCTACTAGGTCAAAGGAGCAGGCAGTTTATCAGCGATAAAAAAGGTGCATCCTTTTTATCGATGTCAAAATGACTCACGTCGTCGTCAAATAGCGATTTCCGTGTAGGAGTTGAGTTATCACTGATAAACTGCTTATGGGAGTGGCTATATGGTTGCCCGAATGGCGTAATTTCAACTACCTACGAAGTAGCCAAAATGCCTGCACTGATGAGAGTCAAAGAGTTCGAAACCGGTCTGTAGGTGTCTAGCGTGGTCTGGCTAAATCGAAATCAATAGGCATTCAGGAAAGGAACACTTGTATCAGTATTCGTTTATACGAGTCGATGCATAGATTTCGGAAGGATGTAATTCAATGTTCTGCGTGGCATATTACCCACTGAGCAAATTAGGAAGCAATTACTGAAACAGACGTTCAGCAATATTGCAAATGTAAATTTGTAAATGTAACGTTCAAGCAATGTCACAGCAACATGTAATATTGCTGCAACGTTACAATAGCAAATTTTACCTTTGCAATATTGCTGAACGTCCGTTTCAGTAATTGCTTCAACATTGCATCAACATAGCTTTCAACTTTGCTTAGTGGGTAGTCAGGAAAGTATTTGTTCTTTTCCCGAAATCTACCATTGTTCTTCATTTTTTATGAACATTGTGTGGAAATGACTTCGAGCTTTTTGTATTTATTTACCATATAGGTTACGTTTCAGAGTTTACATTATACAGTATGCCGAGTGATACTACTTACCCTCAGTAACATAAGGCTGGCAATGCAGGAAACGCCCAAGATGAGATCATTCACCCTCGTTTGGTGGATATTAGAAATAACTTTGGTCATCGTGTCTAAGAAATCAGAAGATTTTATCTTCAAACCTAGAAGACTCTTCAATTGCGACGTTGCTATCACCACAGAAGTGGCTGACGTGAATCCCACCGTCACTGGTATAGATATAAAATCTATAAGAACACCTGAAACAAAATCCATTTGAGAATCACGTGATATCAAGATCAATTCTTGACGAACATTGACAGCATTTCAAGAATCATTAATCATTGGAAAATGACTGAAGGATGTGCATGATTCACACTCCAATCGGTTAATTATCTTGTGCTAACACTTGACTTTGATAAAAGCATCCAGAGATGATAAAAAACTATAGGCATTTTTCCTGGAACCTAACCTGGCAAACCAGGTTCACAATTATTATAGGACCTGGTTTACTTGTGAAACTTGACTGACTTCGTAACTTCAAGTTTTATCTTGGACAGAACTATATTTATTCACTATTTCCTTTTTTGGAGTCTATTACCCAGCGAGCACAAACATCCCTGGGATGTTTTGGGATGTTTTGAAAATGTTGGCATGAAGATGTTATTTTGAGACGTAATATGCACTGACCAAAGAGGTCTTTGAAGGATATTGAAGTATTGTTTTTGTTCTTCTGTGGCATTTCTTTGTTTGCCTACTGAGAGGTATCCCTGGGATGTTTTGGGATGTTTTAGAAATGTAGGCATGAGGATGTTTTTTCGAGGCGTAATATGCACTTCCGAAAGAGGTCTTAGAAGGATATTGAAAGTATTGTTTTTTTCTTTTGTGCCCTTTCTTTGTTTGCCCCACCACAACGTCTCATGCTTACGTCACAATACGATGAATTCTGATTTGTTTTCGATTTTGTTCTTCTTGTTCGCAATTGGCATTCGCGGTAGCAGCGTGTCACGCTTACATCACGCTGCTAACGAACAGAAAGGAATTTGGTGAAGTTTATTGTGTTAGAAGACTTATTTAGTTTGTAATAATGACCATCAGATGCAAGATGTGTTGTTCGGTGCCTCACTGTAATATATAAAAGTACGAATTCATCAATACACAGCTTCTCCGCAGTTGCAGAATGATGCATTGTGGAGAACATTTCAAAAATTGGGAAACCTATTTCCAATTATATGTCTGTGTGTTAGTAAGCACTACTCAGAAACCGATTAAGAAGGTAATTTCATATCAAGAAAATATTTTTATGTTCAATCTATTTTAAATGCATTTTTTCATTCAAGGGAAATGGAATCCTAATGCAAAAGTTCATTTTGACAAAAGGCTTCAGAAAAGTACCTCGAAAATGGTTTTTATACAGCGATTTAATGTGCGCAAGACCGTGAAAATATTCTGTTGTGTCCATGAAAAGGCTTTAAAAAGTACTAGGGAGAAGGTAGTTTTGTGACATATCAAGGACATCTCGATAATTGCCGCCTGCGGCGGACATTGGCTGTTCTATAATAGTTCTATTCATGTGTGAACAGAACATCGCAGTGGAGGTTCAATGTCTCGAAATCTCGTACTTTTAACATCTCTGAGATATTTTTGTGCTCGCTGGGTATGGAGTCTCACCTAAACGAAGTATTGCCATGATGATCTGCACAATTCCAGATAGGAAGCATAGCAGTACTGCATAATCTACGTTTCTTTCCATGACTTGTTGGTACGTCATCAGTGCCATCAATGCAGTAGGTCCGATGGTGATATCTTTTATACTACCAAATATGGCGTAAATATAGCAACCAATGAATGCAGAATACAGTCCATACTGGAAAATAAATATCAATAATACAGTATAGTCGAATCATTTACCGGTCGTCTGTGAAAAAATTATATGATTATAAGTATGATATAAGTAACAGGATTTTTTTATGAATACACCTGCCCAAGAAAACAATGAAAAATAGTGATTTTTCACCTAGGAAAAAGCCAAATACTCAAACTGGAATGCAATGGTAACGAAGAGAGAAAAACTTGAAGTCATTACCACAATAGTTCATAAAATGAACGAAAATGGTAGAAAACGAGAGAAAAACAACTACTTTCCTGGCTATATATGCCACGCAGAATATTGGATTACATTCTCCCGAAATCTATGCAATAATTCGTATAGACGAATGAAATCGCAAGTGTTTCCTTCCTAAACGCCAAGCTGCGCCTAAGTGGTTCAGGAACGCATGACTACCTGCAGACCAGTTTCGAGCTGTTGGCTCTCATCAGTGCAGGGCTGTCCCAGATAGCTTCTTGGCCGCTATCTGGTGCGAGCCTGACCCCCACGAGGTATAAATGCTCAGATGCGTTCACGTTGGATCTGTCTGGCTAAATCGAAATCTTGATTGCTATAAATAATCTTTGATGTAATACTTTTTGACATAATAAAAATTACTCGATATAAAATTTATTCCCAGTTATTTGTATCCCAACAATAACGGAGAACTTATTGTTCGCTTCAAAATTGTCTGAGGCTCGACCGCCATCAGCAATACTACCTATTCAGGAATCATCAATGATAAACAATACGGCTTTCGCCACCGAAGATCTACTGGAGATCTACTTGCCTACGTCACCCATTTATGGCAATCTTCAATAGAAAAACACGGGGAATCTCTAGCTGTCGCGTTGGACATATCGAAAGCATTCGATCGTGTTTGGCACGAAGGACTCCTTCACAAACTACCATCATACGGCTTACCACCTCAGCTATGCTATCTCTTATCGAGTTTCCTTTCAGGCAGATCGCTTCACGTGGTGGTGGACGGTGTATCGTCTGATACCATTGGCATCAATTCCGGCGTTCCACAAGGATCAATTTTGGCACCAACATTATTCCTGCTTCATATCAATGATCTGTTGGGAGTAACAACTTGCCCCATCCACAGCTTTGCAGATGATAGTACCCTCCATACTGCGTTCTCTTCCAGAATTCCCATTTCTTCCCAGGAAACTAAGAACTCACGGCGCAGGCAGGTCAATGCTGTCAATGAAGATCTTGCTGAAATCACAGCCTGGGGAACAAACAACCTAGTTGAATTCAAAGCCACCAAAACCCAAGCCTGCATTTTCTCTAGAAAGGCGGAACTCAGTATGCCTGATATTGTAATGTCTGGCTCCACTATCCCCACCAAGCCCACCATATCTATGCTCGGTATTTCCATCAGCAACACTCTTTCATGGGATAATCATGTCAGATCCATCGCAAAAGCTGCTTCACAAAAACTCGGATTCTTGTTCCGTGCGAAAAGCTACTTTACACCTCAACAGCTTCTCATAATCTACAAAGCGCAGATACGGCCTGTTCTAGAATACTGTTCCCACATATGGGGTTCAGCACCAAAACATACGCTGATGCTTTTAGATTCCATCCAGAGAAGAGCCATTCGCCTGGTGGGCGACGCCACACTCACTCACTCTTTGACATCATTGGAACACCGTAGAAAGGTTGGCGACCTTTCACTTTTCTATCGATACTTCCACGGGAAATGTTCTTCGAAAATCTCTGCTATCATCCCTTCACTAGCAATACCAATCAGACGAACTAGACAAGCCCAGTCAGCACATCCTTTCGTTGTCAACCTCGAAAGATGTCGAACAGCACTTTATCAAGACTCCTTTATCCATAGAACGGCTAGGCTCTGGAATTCATTGCCTGTGGAAGTGTTCCCAACAACATATAATCTCCAAAAGTTAAAAAAAAATTCCAATACCTACCTCCTGTCCCTATCCTCCCCAGGAACGCACGATGTTCTTTGAACATTATAGGGATTCCCTTTCGTGCGCTCCAAGCGATAAAAAAAAATTCTTCTTATTTTTTCCGACAAGGCTTTATATAATTCAGATAGCAGTTCACATCAGTTTAGTTCGTTTGATCTTTCACATATTCAATTACCTACCACAGGTTCTCTTCTGCCGCGTTCGGATTTTCATAATTTGTGAACCGTTCTGAAACAGTCCTAGAAATCGAAACGACTGCGCACTAGTTCCACGCAGTTCGAGAACGATTCTTGAACAGTTCTGAAATTCGAACCCGAATGAACCTATTATAAACAATTATTGTTTCTTGGGGTAATGAAGATAATCAATAATAAATGAAAGTAATACCAAGAGGATCAAAATTTCTTATGATAGGTATACCTATTCATTCTCACCTGTGGTTCTAATCCTCCTAGGGTAGCATATGCTAACGCTTGTGGCATAACTGTCAATCCAACTGTGAATCCTGCTATGAGATCATTCACTAATTTTTGCCCGGTGTATTCCTTACCCCATGTCAGGATAGGTATCCTTTTGAGGAGTATTTTCCTGGCAGTCTTTTTGAAAGGCATTTCCTGGGAAGCATTCGTTTATCAGATCTAGAATGAATACATTAGAGGATTATAGCTGTTTACAGTGTCTTACAGAAAGTTGTCATGATATGGGATACATTTTTGATAATAATTTATTTTGAAGTTCTACTTGGGCGTTGGATTTTGCTTAAAAAAATGAAAAATGGCCTATTTGGTCGGGGTCACGTCACATGACTTTTGCTACATGTCAAGTCACAATTTTTTCAAATTGATCGGTTATTTCTTCGAATTTCAGGAAAGTTATGTGTCTCAAATATGAACCTTCTATTGTGACTTTGATATTTTACTAATTACCAATTACAAATTATGGACATGACTATGATTTTCTCAAGAAAATAATAATCCCTGCTTCAAAGGACCCCGCACTTTTAGTACGTAAAATGGTTCTCGGTGAAATTTTCTGAATTTTCAGTATGTTGTAGAATTCGATGAACTGATTGAACCTGCAGAATCGTAAAGTTCTTTGATGAACAGATTCTGAGATACAGGGCGTTGAAGTTACAAATCGGTATTTTTCATTTAATTATTTTCTCGAAATTCAAAGATTCCAAGTAAAATTTTTTTTGCTCATATCATTAACGAACCTCCATATTACTCAACATGATTCAGATGGTTCAGATAATGTAATTGTTTACAGAGTGAAACATATAAACATTTCAGTGATGTCTGAAAATTCGATGTAATAATGAAATATCGACAAAATAATTTAGGCATGCAATATACTATTCTCATTCCATCATGAATCACAATTCATACATTTCATACAGGGTGATTTGAAAAATTGGTGACCTCTAAGACCGATTTATTCATACACATCCTGTATATTCGAGTGAATTGTTAACCTCCCAAGATAGCTGATACCGTATGAACATGATTTGGTTGAGATATATAGGGTAATCATGAAGATTTTCGATGATGAAAATGACAAAAAATCGTGTTTTTTGTAATCACCCTGTTATTCATGATTAACTCGGTGAAATTCTCTAATTATTTTTTAATACATTCATGATTCGCTCCTCAACGCTGTATTGAAAATTTAGTTTCCTATCATGACGGGTGTCATAGTTATTAATTCAGGAACTGTAAGTGAACAAGTCTCTTCAATAACTCTTCATGCAAAGTTCCTGAATTAATAACTATGACACCCGTCATGATAGGAAACTGAATTTTCAATACAGCGTTGAGGAGCGAATGATGAGTATATTAAAAAATAATTAGAGAATTTCACCGAGTTAATCATGAATAACAGGGTGATTACAAAAAACACGATTTTTTGTCATTTTCATCATCGAAAATCTTCATGATCACCCTATATATCTCAACGAAATCATGTTCATACGGTATCAGCTATCTTGGGAGGTTAACAATTCACTCGAATATACAGGATGTGTATGAATAAATCGGTCTTAGAGGTCACCAATTTTTCAAATCACCCTGTATGAAATGTATGAATTGTGATTCATGATGGAATGAGAATAGTATATTGCATGCCTAAATTATTTTGTCGATATTTCATTATTACATCGAATTATTAGACATCACTGAAATGTTTTTATTTTTCACTTTGTAAACAATTACATTATCTGAACCATCTGAATCATGTTGAGTAATATGGAGGTTCTTTAATGATATGAGCGAAAAAAATTTTACTTGGAATCTTTGAATTTCGAGAAAATAATTAAATGAAAAATACCGATTTGTAACTTCAACGCCCTGTATCTCAGAATCTGTTCATCAAAGAACTTTACGATTCTGCAGGTTCAATCAGTTCATCGGATTCTAGAACATACTGAAAATTCAGAAAAATTCACCGAGAACCATTTTACGTACTAAAAGTGCGGGGTCCTTTCTGTTATGTTTGATGCAAAAGTTGATATATCGTCCAGCATTTGGGAGTGAGATTTATTTAAATGTATTTTTTCTGTGACGGGAAAAAAGTTTGGCATTTCATCTCTGTTGTGAGTACTTTTTTCCCGGATATATATCACATATATACTGATGTGTTAATGGCTTTTGTTGTGCTATAGTTCCGAAAAATGAGTCGATAATACCGTCTCCGAGAAAGAACTGCAAGTCCTTTGGCTCCCCTTCAGATGGCTATTAACCCCTCCAGGGGGCCAATTTTTTGTGCCCACTCAACTCAAAATTTTATGCTTTATAACTTGTAAACTGTCTTTTTCCGAATGATGATAGCGACCCTATAAAATTTGAATAAGGAAGATAGATACGTCATTCGGCGCAGAATTTTATGCTTTTCAGCTTCGAATACCTATACTATATTATTTTTCGTCCGGTAAGTCGAAGTACGAGGCAGCAAACTTCAGATTCGCTTCTGGGTCCGTCGAATCATATGAGGAATAGGATTGTATTAGTTAGATAAGAGTTCGGACACAGATATGACAACTGTTAGTGTTTTCGAATGTTTAGATTAATCAAGTTATATCGGGTGGTCACAAAAAAACCGGAAGTTTTTATTTTCCTCGTGGTTTCATCATTTCTCAACCGAACTCGAATTTCTTGGCGTCGTTACATAGCTGAAGGGCTGTAGTATACAGTGGAATATTCGAAAATTTCATAATGGGCAAAAACAAAATGGCGGATTCTACCAAAGTATCGTAATTTACAAAAACCGCTGGAGAAAAAGAAAATCAGATTTCTTCCAACCTCTACCGATGTCATCTTTGGCTATTCATTTCTAAAGAGAATGAGTACTCGAACATCGAAATCGAACAAATAGTCCAGTAGATACACTGATTTCTTTGCAATTTGTTATGGAGTGAATGTGCATGGAAAATGCAATGCTTCAGTTAGAAATAGCCCGGTCGATACAGAGCTAGTTCCGTAGTTGAAGCAAAAGGGAGACACATTCAGAGGTCATTTTAAAATTCGTTTTGTTTTGACTACAACTAGAATAAAGTTTTATTAATTTTCAGGGTTTCACGCAATCTTCCTGGACTTACATCTCGATGTCAATATCAACATTTTTCTATTCGCTAGCGGTTTTTGTAAATCACGAAAGTTAGGGTTACTCCACCATTTCGTTTTTTTGTTCAATTATGAAATTTTCAGATGTTCCACTGTATTCAGCTTTGGAATGGCATTAAGAAATCCAAACTCGATTGAATTCTGATGAAGCCAGAAGCAAACTAAAAGTAATTCTTATCACGGGATTGGCACATTCACTCCATAACACTTTGCCAAAAAGAACGTGTTTTTCCTGGACTAATTGTTCGATTCAGATGTTCGAGTGCTCATTCTTTTTGAAAATCAATGATCTTAAATTGTATCGAACCTGATTGGAAGAACACACATTTTTTTATTCGCCAGATATTTTTGAAAATCTCGAAAATTCTTGATCCTCCACCATTTTGTTTCTTTCAATTATTGGATTTTCAAATGTCCCATTGTGAACTACAGTTCTTTATCTTTGAAATAACTCTCAGAAATCCAAATTCCATTGAATTTTCATGAAGCCTGAAGCAAAATAATAATAATCGTTTACACGAGATTAGCACATTCACTCCATAACAAATTGCAAAGAAATGAGTGTATCTACTAGACTATTTGTTCGATTTCGACGTTCGAGTACTCATTCTCTTCAGAAATGAATAGCCTAAGATGAGATCGGTACAGGTTGGAAAAAATCTGATTTTCTATTTCTCCAGTGGTTTTTGTAAATTACAATACTTTGGTAGAATCCGCCATTTTGTTTTTGTTCATTATGAAATTGAAATTTTCAAATATTCCACTGTATTCTGTAGCCCTTTAGCTATGAAACGACGCCAAGAAATTAGAATTCTGTTGAGAAATGATGAAACCACGAGGAAAATAAAAACTTCCGGTTTTTTCGTGACCACCCGATACATATCATGGTCGTTTCGTTAATATTAAAAACATCTTAATTGAAATATAATTTCATAGACTATTGAGAAAAAACCATAAATGGAAACGTTCGACAATTTTCCGAAAGAAATATCAAACATTCTCTTATGGAAAGAATGTATAATACGGCATGGATGGAAAACTAATCTGAAGACAAGCAAAATTTGTGAGACATATACATTAAAATTCACTTCTTATGACAGCAGATTGGAATGAAACTATATATTTTAGGCTGTTCCATCGATTTACAGAACACACTATTGGAAAAAAAATACAATATTATCATCACACGAAGTGCAAAACAAAATTATCATAGAGACAGAGGAATTAATTGCAAAACTTCGTAATAAAATTATAAGTTTGAGAACTAAACTGAGGAAATCAAGTAGATTCCAACGGGATATGATATGAATGGCGTTTTCGATACCTATCAAATTCAAAATTTATCAGTGAAAAGTGAATGCACCAAAAGGTGGAAAATCAAACGATCTTCATGTTAAAAACTATATCACTCGGGTACAGTTTTACATACAAAAAGGTACTATAGCTATAAGTATATCCATATACGTATGTGTTTTATTTCTCATATTAAAATGTTGTTAGATGAATTCTTTCCATTTTTATAACAATTGTTCTGCGAGAAGTGTATCACTATATAAATTGAAGTGGGTGTTTATGCCCTATCTATATGACAATGATTGATTTGACAGAAAATCTAACCTATAAAATCATATCTGACAATCAGGCGCTACTAGGGAAATTAAAAAGACAAAAAGCAGAACATATGTCTAATCTTTCAGTCACTCAGACCATTGTGATAAAGAAAATAGAAAAGGACAGAAGTTCAGCTGTGTCCGAATTCTTATCTAACTAATTCCATCCAGTAATGAGGAACCGTTGAGAATGAGAAACCTTCTAGCGGATTCGTTTTCGAAAAAAATACCATTTGATCGGACTATACAATGTGACCCATTTAAGATGGAAGCACCCTTATAAAACTTACATTTTTCAACCGATTGGAATGATTTTTTTTTTGTTAGGTAGATATTCAAAAAGTCTATTAGGACACCAAATATCATGAATAAATCTCCATTTCCAGGGCCAACTAATCTGATGTGTGCCTAAAGACTGAATTTCACTGAATTGGCCAGACCAGGTGTAGTCACTGGTCACATGGTCATTCTACAAGGAGTACAAATGGCATTTGCAACCAAACCATCGGACTTAATGCCAGCCAGGCTCAGTTTCGATCCTGCCTTTGAAGTGGTTATAAAAAGTCGCACTAGATACGGTTCCGCTGAGCCCCAGCTGGACAGAGGGCCCCTTGTTTGGTACACCGATGGTTCGAAAATGGAAGAAGGGGTAGGCCCGGGTGTATATGGACCCAGTTGTAGGCTATTTGAAGCCTTAGGTCACACCCCCACTATCTTCCAGGCTGAAATACATGCCATCAACCTATGCGCCCTGAGGTGCCTGAGCAAAGTTCTGAGGGGGGTGCCAACATATATAACTGCTCAGACAGCCAAGCCGCACTAAAAGATTACATGGGACTGCTGTGGAACACTCATGCAACTGGGAAAGGACAACAAAGTCACACTCATGTGGGTTCCAGGGCATAAAGGAATCAAAGGAAATGAGGCAGCTGATCGCCTTGCAAGGAAAGGTGCAGCAGGTCCTGAGCCCTTTTGTGGGATAAGCAAATGTCACCTAAAGGGAGAACTCAGGAAATGGAAAGAAATTGCAAAGTCCTCCTACTGGAGAGCAACTCCAGGTCAACGACAAGCGAAAATATTCATCAACCAATCAACCATTCACAGAACAGAGCCAAAGAGCTACTCAACCTCAGCAAACCAGAGCTAAAGCTTATCACAGGCTTTCTTACCAGACACTGCCCTCTGAGGTACCACCTCAAAAAGATGGGCCTGGTGGAGACTGACACTTGCCGCTTCTGCAACAATGCGATCGAAACCGCGGAACACATACTTTGCTCATTTAAAGTATCATTCCGCCAAAGGCTGAATCACCTAGAACAGGTCTATTTCACACCTGCTGAGGTGGACAATTCAACCGTCAGGAAAATTCTAGGCTTCATCAGAAGAGGTCTCCCAGCCTATACGACCCATCTACGATCTACAATCTACAGTAACCATCAATTCGATCAGTTTTTCAGAGAGTAATATTCTTCTGGGCAGTCCATTTTTTTCTGAAATCATGTTAGGAACTTTTTTGCAGAAAAACTAACTTCATCTTCATATAATATTATTGTTCCCCATGCTCTCAAACCCCCATATGCAAAAAATCACCCAATTCCGAATTAGCAGGATTGTCTTAATTTTGTTCATTGTCTCCCTCGAAGAGTCGAAGAGAAAGTGAATTCAAATTAACTGCGAATTTTGGACCGTTCAATGGCTCCGGTAGGTAGAAAATGATGATTTAAAAAACAAACAAGATATACTTTCTTCAGTTCAACTCACCGTTTTCGAGTGAATAATTATTTACGTTCGCAAAAATGATATTAAGAGGTTGAATAATTTCAACAATGCAGTTCTGCCGCTTCTACTAAAAAGTAGTAGCAACATCGAAATTTCGAATGAAACACCCTGTATTTTATCGTATTTTTAGGCTCTTCCTAAAAAGTTGATTTTATCGATGTATCACACTTGGGGTCTATCGAGAACGGTCAAAACGGCTCACATGTCCCAATCTCAACTTTTGATTCACTATTTACTGATATTTGATCGAAACAGATACAGGGTGAAGAAAAAGATGAATGGCTGTTAGAACGCTCGGACGTCTTGTAGTCATAGTTGCCACACTCATGTTCATCCTTTCAACTTATATGATTTGGATCATATGAACCTATATTCATTAAAGTTCGAAAACGTATAAATAGGTCATTGTTTTGTTTTTGTATTCTGTGGAGTGGGGGACAAAAAAAATTTAAATTCTGTACGCTGGAATTATAGTTGTTATAATTGCGATACAATAATTCCAAATGCTATAGGGTATACTTTGAACATTTTGATAAGAAAATGATAAACTATCCAAACTATCAACATTACCTTTTTTGTGATGAATAAGTATGAGAATCAATTCTCGCTCATGTGGGTTCAATCGTTATCATCGATCTCGACGGTTCCATGGCGTCAAGGGAATGAGGCAGCTGATCGCCTAGCGAAACAGTGCAGAGCTCACATTTTACCTTTCTGTGAGACAAGCAAATACCACCTTATCACAGAGCTCAGAAAATGAGAATGAAGTGAAAAATCCTACTACTCTGTTGAGCAACTCCAGGTAAACGAGAAGGAAAGAGTTCTTCAACAATTCGTAAGCTAGTGAGTCTCAGCAAACAAGAGCTAAAGCACTACCCTCTGAGCTATTACTAAAAAAAAATAGGTCTAGAGGAGACTGACACTAAACCGCGGAGCACCTTTGTTTATATAAAGTACCAGTACCTCTAACTTGACTACCCTAGAACAGGTCTAGAGAACGAGGAATGCGTAGATTTGGAATTACGAAAAAACGCTATTTTAACTGGCTCTATCTCCATACTCGTTAAGGTATGTTCATGCATATATGCATTATATATACGAATTCCGCGAAACTTATGCGAATCGCAAAATATGAAATTCCCAACAAAATTCGACGTTCATACTTATGCGACAAAATTTGCAGGAGATAAGGGTTCTGTTGTCATATATAATTTCTTTATTGTTGGTTCCACCATTGATAGAAGTTCATCAAATTGAAGGCACACGTACAATTTAATTATTTATTAGGGCCATTCAGTCTCATTTATCAAACGAGCCAGTAATAATGTCCATACATTTTTCGGCATTCAAAAATGCTTCGAACACTACAGCTCCTTTTGTTGCTTCTGGATACATCATTAGCTCTATAGAGCCGATACAAATGCTACTTTAAAATTAATTCGTCTAGAGAATCCATCCTGCGAAGGGAATTCAATAAAATGAAGAAATGGTGAAATTTATAATTCACCAGTAGTCTATTGTCTAGTCTCGTCATTTTTTGGTATCTGTTGTCCGTTCCCTATAATTCCCCAAATCACATTGTATGCATACTGTGTGGTTATGATTCCATCCGAATTCGTAAAAAAGTTCAAATATTTCAACTTATTCATTGCGATATTCGCAGTAGAATATTTTATCTACTTCAACTTTCTATAGGGCGGTCTTTTCCATATAACGTATAATTTTCGAGTAACGGGCAAAAAAACGAAAAAAGTCCGAAAATTTTGTTGTTTTTTACGAATATCTCGGAACGCTCTAGAAAATTTTGTTTGCAAAATTCAGATTCGAATTCAGCACCTCCAAAAACATATGAAATCACAGAGAAACCGACTACTTGTTTTTTTCCAAGTGAAAATACCATTTGATTGGTGCGGAATTTAATTGAAATCGGTCAAGTGAATCAGGAGTTTGAACTTTGTCACCCTGTATCTTTGTGAGGAAATATTTTTCGAGAAAGTTCTTGAAGTAAAGTCTACTTCATTTTTGTTTTTCTATCAACTGTCAAAATCGATGACGTATAACCTGGACCACCCTGTATTATACTACTACTAATGACTCAGAAATACGTCATTTAAATATATTAACATACTTATGTAACACCCTGTATAGGAGAATGTTCGTTATCTCACTTGAAATTTGTGTGAATTTTTAATCAGCTATGGCCTGAAAAATTAGCAATAGTTGATGTATAGTTCAGCAAACAAAATACATTTAGAGATCAATAACCTTTACCAACGTTTACTACGTGAAATTCCGGCTTGAACTGCAAGGCAAAAATTAATCATTTATTTACCTTAAACTTGCTTCAGGCCACTCACAGTCTCACAGATTCTGCTAATGACAACAAATATAATCTCGGTTTGACCTGACAACGACTGGCACTTTCACAAGCAAATTTAGGAATATTAATGATTCAATATCCAGGTGTAAATGGCTTAGGTACCAGTTTGAATTGTATTAAATATCGTGCTTCTCTCTCCAGCATCCTTAGACGGACAACGGACAAACAATCTGATAATTCAGCGGACAATGTTGGTCAACGCACACCAATATTCTGATCTTGACCGAAAACAGTTTGCATGGCCATCGTGGATGAACTTGACCTGAAGTTCTGCAATTCTTCCGCTTCATAACCAGATGAATTGGCAATTTTTATGCAATTTTTGATACGTTACAAACGTGTTAGGTAGGTATTTCACATCATGTGTCTACAGGGTGTTTCAAAAAAACCTAACCTCCTTGCTAGGGTAGGTAGAACATTGCAAAATAAGTTGGGTTTGCTCAGTAAAAAAATGTCGTAACGCCATCCGTTTTCAAGATACAAGGTGTTGAAACAATTTTTTTTTACACATTTTTTACGATTATGTTGAAATTACTGGCAACATTGTAATGAAATTTTGTATGGATGTTTCTCGGAATCTGACACATCGCATGCATTTGTTTTTATATCTGACTCTCATAGAGAGCGCTAGTTACACGTTACACGGTTCGTACCGAGTAGTTTTGAACATAACTTTTTTGAGGTTAGATCTTTCAATTCAAATTTGATGTGAACTTGAACATCATTCAATTTCACACCAAAAAGGTACTCTTGGTAAAACTCGATACTGTGTTCCGTTTTCGGAATATTTCAATTTGAAAATGCTGAAGTGCTTACTGTTGCTGGTATAAAGCTATGTATTAGAGTGAGTATTATGAAAAATTATCACCTATTTATTTAAAACCGAGAACAACAAAACATTTCTGATGCTGAACTTATTGATTTAACAATAAATCACAATAATAACATCAAAACAGATTTGACTAAGATCATGGATTACACAGTTTTGTTGTATCTTTTGAGTAGAAAGTCTATGCTACATAGGTAAATTCACGTCAAGAGTTGTGAGACATAATTGAACATCACTTAAATGACCTAACAGCTGATCCTCAACTGTTCAGAAGAATAATTCATTCTTGAAAAACGAATATAGAATCGTGTATTCCTCGAAACGTAGGACATTTTGAACACTTACTTTAACTGATTCAATATTTCATGTTTCTAGTCAAATATCTCTTAATTTTCCACTTATGATTCTTTGTTCCATCAATAACTTCAGCACAAGAATAATTTTATTGTTTTTGAACCTGAATAAATAGGTAATTGAACTCAATAAAATTCATTTTATACCAGCATCATTACTACTCCATTATTTTCAAATCGAAATATTCCGAAAACGGTATAGTATCGAGTTTCATCAGGAGTACCTTTTTGGTGTAAAATTGAATGATGTTCAAGTTCATATCATATTTGGATTGAAAAATCTAACCTCGAAAAACTTATGTTCAAAACTACTCGGTACGAACCGTGTAACTAGCGCCCTCTATGAGAGTCAGATATAAAAACAAATTAATGCGATGTGTCAGATTTCAAGAAACATCCATACAAAATTGCATTACAATGTTGCCAGTAGTTTCGGAATAATCGTGAAAAATGTGTAAAAAAATAATTTTTTCAACACCTTGTATCATGAAAACGGATGCCGTTACGACATTTTTTCACTGAGCAAACCCAACTTATTTTGCAATGTTCTACCTACCCTAGCAAGGGGGTTAGGTTTTTTTGAAACACCCTGTATATGATCTACCTTTATTTTATCTCTTGGAGCGCACAAAATGAAATTCCTTTAATGTTCGTGGAACATCGTGCTTACAAAGGAAGGATAGGGAGAGAACTTTTGGAGGTTATAAGTTCTTGGGATTACTTCCATTGGCAAAGAATTCCAAAGTTTCGTCGTTCTACAGGGTGGGCCACCAATAACGCCTCGCTCTCTAGAAGGCTAACCACTCATCTTCTTGGAAATCTTCCTCTCTAAGACATAGGCTACCATTTGAAATCATTTCGGAACATACAGGGTGTCCCAAAAAAAAAAGCAATCCACTGAAGGTATATACTTTTTTGAAGGAACACATATTATTCTATTTTGAGATTCTCCCTGAAGAGCTGATTTCAACGACCCATCGTACTTGGGGTCTAGCAGTAATAATAACTGACGAGATATATAGGGTGTGAAAAATCGAGATTTCCCAAGTTCAGGGATTGTTTGTGTCGAAACTATTCATATAATTGGTCAAAATGGTTAACATATCCCTATCTCAATTTTTTATCTACTATCGATTGGTATTTTATTAAAATAGATACAGGGTGGCAAAAATCTTGATTCTGAACCACCCAGTATTTGTTTTAATTAAATATATTATTATCTTTATTATTCCCAAGAAACATATATGTTTATAGCAGGGAAAATTATGAAAGAGCAACTACAAAACAAAAATTAGATAATCAATTGATATACAGTCTGTCCAAGATAAGGTTGAACAGCATGGGGATCTCGAAAACGGTAAGAGATACGAAATCGGTTAAATGGGGAAAAAGTTGCGCATTCGGAGGCTCATATCAAGAGCCTTCGAAAATTTTGAAAATTATTTTTAGTTTTTGAGTTATATCGAAAAAAGTGAATTTTTGGAATTTCTATTTTATTTTTTTTCTCTGTTATTATCAGATACAGCAAAACTGAGAATACTTTTTCATAGCAACTTTTGATGACGGTTAACGTGGTGATACCGATTTTTTCATGCGACGTTTCGTATTCGTGGAACCATCATCAACTTTTGTTTTTTAAATACAGTCCTGATAATTTTTTCACAGATTCTAAAAGGTTTTTTTATTCTGAATTCAACCATGTATTATACAAGGTAGTTCATTTGTGTTTCGACCTATTTCCATCCATCATCAATGTTTTTTCGAAACTTCAAAGGAAAAATGCCATCAGTTCCACTTATTTTGAAGGAAAATTAGTCAACACACTAATACCTCATCAACTGGTTTCAATCAACAACCCATTTCATTTTGCGGAAACAAAAATTCCATCCATACAAATTCAGAATATGTCAAGCGCTAAAACCAGGAGATGACGAAAGGCGCAAGACATCCTGTGAGTGATGGTATACCAGGAAATGTTAAAATTCTGCAGATTTCTTTCGAACAATCATCTGGACTGATGAAAGCATGGTCACTAATCATGGTAGCTTCGATAGAAAAAATACACATTATTGTTCACGAGAAAATGAACATTTATACATTACAGCGAGACACCAACACCGTTTCGGCTTTAATATGTGGGTTGCAATATTTGGTACACGAATTATTGTTCCTTCTATTTACCATGAAACACAGACTTCCGAACGTTATAGAAATCCGCTTGAGAATCAACTTGAGGAAGCTCTGGATGATTTACCGATTGCGGAAGTTCAGAACTCTGTTGGTTTCAACAAGATGGCGCTCCGGTACATAATTCCAGAGAAGTCCGTGCGTTTTTATCCCTTGGCCGGCGCGGTCGCCTGATTTAACACAGCTGGATTTTTTCTTAGGGGATATATCGAACTTTGTACACGCAAATAACTTTGAGGATGAAGAACAACTAAGGGACAGTGTCTTCGAAGCATTCAATAGAATAACCCCAGAAATGCTTAGCAATGTCTTAGAAACAACTGTGAGAAGAGGATATCTTTGTTCAGAAAATAATGGTTATCATTTTGAACATTTGTTATGAATGTCTCTGTAGGTATTGTCAAAGTTAAGTTGTTAAAGTAATTCGTGTAAGAATTCATCAACAATTTTAAACGCTGCATTGATCGAATGATGTAGTGAAATATTTTTTATTCACTTTTCAGTATTGAATAACTAATCCATCAAGTTTGACACTAAATGATAAGAAATAAGTGGAACTGATGGCTTTTTTTCTTTTGGAAGTTCGAAAAAACATTGATGATGGATAGAAATAGGTCGAAACACATTCGAATCACCTTGTATAGTACATTGTTGAATTCAGAATAAGAAAACCTTTCAGAATCTGTGAAAAAATTATCAGGACCGTATTTAAAAAACAAAAGTTGATGATGGTTCCACGAATACGAAACGTCGCATAAAAAAATCGGTATCACCACGTTAAACCTCATCAAAAGTTGCAATGAAAAAGTATTTTCAGTTTTTCTGTATCTCTGATAATAACGGAGAAAAAAAAATAAAATAGAAATTCCAAAAATTCACTTTTTTCGATATAACTCAAAAACTAAAAATAATTCTCAAAATTTTCGAAGGCTCTTGATATGAGCCTCCGAATGCGCAACTTTTTCCCCATTTAAGCGACTTCGTATCTCCTACCCGTTTCCGAGATCCCCATGCTGTTCAACCTTATCTTGGACAGACTGTATAGTGGATAAAAAGTTGGGATAGGGACATGTTAACCGTTTTGACCAATTATGAATAGTTTCGACACAAAAAATTTTTGTACGTGGAAAATATCGATTTTTCACACCCTGTATCTCAGTAATTATCATTGCTAGACCCCAAGCATGATGAGCCGTTGAAATCAACCCTAAAGGAAGCCTCTCAAAATGCAAAAATGTATAGGGTGTTTCATTAAAAAAAGTATAACTTCAGTGTATTGTGATTTTTTGGGAACACCCTGTATGTTTGAAATAATTCCAAATGGTAGCCTATGTTGACACGCAACTTCCTAGAGAGGAAGAATTCCAAGAAGATGCCTTCTAGAGACCGAGGCGGGACTGGTGGCCCACCCTGTATAGACGAACGAGTTTTGATAGTGCTGTTCGAGATATTTCGAGCATACGACGAAAGGATGTGCTGACTATGTTTGTCGAGTTCGTCTGACTGGTATTGCTAGTCGTGGAATGATAGTAGAGATTTCTGAAGAACATTTCCCGTGGAAGTATCTATAGAAAAGTGAAAAGTCGCCGACCTCTCTACGGTGTTCCAGTGATGTCAACGTGTTAGTGAGTATGGCATCACCCACCAGGCGAATGCCTCTTCTCTGGATGGAATCTAGGAACATCAGAGTATGTTTGGGTGGTGAACCCCACATGTGGGAACAGTAATCTAGAACAGGCCGTATTTGTGCTTGGTAAATCATGAGAAGCTGTTGGTGTAAAGTAGCTTTTCGCACGGAATGAAAATCTGACTTTCTGTTAAGCTGCTTTTTTTCAGAAATGGTTTCAATATATTCATTGATACAGGCGGGTGGGTGGTCCTTGAAAAATAAAAACATCACTGAATTGAAACAAAATATGGAGTACCAGCAAGAAAACTTCGAAGTATTCTCCTTTGAGCAACAAAGCAAAAGCTACAGAAAATTTCAGGAAATAAGAAGTTGTATTTTGAATCGTCCTATTCTGAAAAAGATATTTTACTGGCAAAAAACAGTGGTGTAGCATTTTTACCATATAAATATCAGCCGTCTGAGTTATATATATAGAACCCAACTGGAATGATCGAAACATTTTCTATATCACCATCAGAGTATCAGAAATGGTCTACCAAATCGTTAGAAGATCAAAGTACGTTATTTATACACAAATAAATCAAATCCACAACTTTGATGCCCTATTTGAAGACTATAGGTCTTTTATGGATATATAGATATATACTGATAATTGAATTTCAGTTAGTTGACCTCTGGTATTTGTCAGAAATTGCACAAAAACTCCGAATACATACGCTCAAAATCGAGTTCAATCAATTTTTTATTGTTTACAAGGTTTCCTAGGTTAACTAAATTAAAGTTTATGAAATCAGTGCACAAATAAGATAACGTCCTTCCTATTTATTCGCTAAATTAAAAAGGCAATCCAGTCAAGTGTATCGATAATGTAACAAATAAAAAGTAGCAACACAGTGAATATAGTATTGGAATGCTTGATTCATGAATAATACACATTATCAATTCGCATTTTATATTTGCAGACCCGGCAAAGGTTGTTTTGCCATAATCATTATTTTTAGAAAATAATGCAAGTTAAATATTCATCAACACACTTTTATTATTTTTATTTCTACTGCTTTTTAATTCGGCTATCCATAGCAGCGTGTTCAATTAGTTTTTCGAACTATTCGATCAATTTTTTACTTCTTTTTTGTTCGGTAATCTACTTCTTTTTTTTAAACCTCTTCATTTTCTACGTACTTCTTGTTAGTTTGACTATCTATACTATTTATTTTAAATCTAGTTCACCATATTGGGTCCGCCATCTTGAATTTACCAATTTTGAAGATAAAATCATAATCTCCGACCCCGAAAACCCCCAGATTGAAATTTTTAGTAGAATCGGATCATAATTACAAAATTCGTCCACCATATTGGATTTGCCATCTTCAATTTCCCAATTTTGACATGGGAATCATAATCTCCGACCCCGAAAACCCCCATATACCAATTTTGAATGAAAACAGATCATCAGAAGAAGAAGAAGAAGATCGAAAAATTTGTGATAAAGAAGTGATAATAGAAGATCACAGATGGCGAAAAGAATATAAAAAAGAGGGTGGTCCATTTAAAACAAAGGAACTTAAAGATCACCCTGTATAACTTCTGATATGGGCTGTGGAAACACCTCAAAGCGGCATTCAACTTCCGCATATTATTTTTTTCCTCGATAAATTTCTTTGTGGAATACAATTTCTTCTTTATTAATTCTTATTTGTATCAAATACTGAAATTTGAACAGAATACCTATACCTACTAACTGCTACATTGGAAATTTCGTATGGATATTTTCAAACTCACTATCGCTGCTGCTTTCGATAGTTTATTGAGATAATTGCAATCAAACTTTCAAAAATCCAAATGTCTAATTTCATGTGGAATAGCTGTCAGCCGATATTTCGCTGCTATGGTAACTATATCATCTGAATTTATAAAAAACCTTATCTTCCAAGATTTTCATAGTTACAGTGACAACGTTGTGATACTCGTCCGGGAAGTGAGCACTTTTTTCGTTTTCGTTTTTCGTTAGCAAGAGAAATTTATCCGATAAGAAAAAGCTCTTGTGTTTTTACTGTTAATAAAAAATTACGTAAGTGGGACTTTTCGATGGATAACCATGTAGGTACCTATACTAAATGGGGGTAATTTTCAATCGCTGTGAAATAGCTATAGGTGTTTATAAAATCATTTGCAGAATGATCTCGTGTTTCTCACAACGTTTGGGTAATAATAATTGTTTCCACTTTTCCACGTACTGTTGACATTTTCAATGTCAAAATGGTGGCCATGAGAACACAATAGTATTTCATGCGCCGTTCATGTAATGATATTAATACTGGAGCACGAGGTAAGAATACAAGTTTATCAGTAGCCATTATATTATTTTTTATACGACCATAATAAATATGAATATAAAAACAAGAATTTATAAACTAGCCACACAATATCCGAAAATGACGATTTTTTTGTTGTAATTATCCAGTCCATGCATTTCTTGTATAATTCGTCATGGATTTTTATTATTTCACAGACACTTTTTGCTTTAACAGTAATTTCTGGTGGAGTACAAGATATTCTTCACTACTGCACATGGTTTAACGACTCGCGTATGGTAGAGTTCCTAAATGTACTTGACACTGCTGATTTTGACGTTTTTTGTATATCAAAGACAGAGAAAGATATATGGATGTACTCTTCCCAGGACTTGTGGAGGACGGAAAGATGCGAGGATCCTTTATCTAAGCGAAAAACATATTCTTGTCCTTGTCTGGCAAAACATATGATTTGCTTCAAAATCGTTTGTGGTTATGTTTGATTGTCACTGCTTGTCTAGTGTCCATACTCTTATATACAAAAAACGTCAAAACAGCAGTTTCAAGTACATTTAGGAACTCTAATTGCAACCAAACTTTCAAAAATCCAAATGTCAACTAATTTCATGTCAAATAGCTTACAGCGCGCCGATATTTCGCTGCTATGGTAATTTTCATCTGCATTCATTAAAACCATATCTACCAAGATTTTTATAGTTACAATGACAACAACGATGTGATACTTCTCGGCCTAGTCTGAGAAGTCCGTACTTCCCGGAGTAGGCTGGAAAAATGCTACTTTCTCAGAGAAAAAGCGTTAGGAAAATGAGCACTTCCCGGACGGTTGCCAAAAATAGTTTTGAAAACTTGGAAGGTTAGATTAGGTATCTTAAATCACTATGAATACTCACCCTTGTAGTGAAAAAAGACATCCGCATTGTTCCTGTCACTTAGTTTTTGAATTCACCATTCTTTAGAATTGAAGCACGATTATTAATAGACAAACGAAAAATATAAAACATTTTAATGATCATTATTTAGTAAGAACATAACTATGTGCTATTCAATTTTCACTGATAAAATAAGTCTCCTTAGCAGTACCACAATAAAGCTAGAGTATTTTGATAACATATATACAGGGTGTTTCAGATTTTGATCGAAAAAATTTTAATACGCGATAGTACTCTCATAAAAGAACAAAAAAATACTCTGCATTGGAGTTTCAGAGATACAGGATCTCGACGTGAGACATATTTTTGGCTTTTTCCTTGTCCTGTATAAGATTTATAAGCTTTCATAATGCCGACACTCAGTGTGGCTGGTAATTGACAAAAACTGAGCAAGATACAGAAAAACTCATAGAAACATCTTCTATTGTTGAATCGAATAAAAATATGAAGATCAAAAAAGGCATCACAATGATTTTCTGATTTTCTGGGGCGCCACTGGAATAATTACGGTGAATCTATAGTTACGTCAAAAAAATACATTTTCGTATTACAAACAAACCTGCTGAGTTTAATGAAAAACTACTACACCTTGTAACTCCTAAACAAAGTTCCAAAAGATTCAGGTTCACATAAACTCCTCTTTTTATTTTTACAGATATATATTTTGTGAATATTCTGAATGAAGATCATTATTTTGTTTTTTCAACGCTTATTTTTACAATCTGAAACACCCTCTATATCTTTCAGAAATGAATGATTATTATAACTATAGTATTAGAAAGTATATGGTGTATTACCGATATAATTCACAAACTTTTTATCAAAATCTATGCATGAAAAATAAATAATTGGTCGAAAAATAGTTCCGAATTATTCAATAAAATATATAAGGTGTTCTATATACACCCAAATAACACCGGACATTTTTTTTAAAAACCTCTCCCCTCCAAAGATAAAAGAAATTTTTCTTTTTCATCTTCCCTCTGTTTGATAAGCTAAAGACACGAAAATTGGTACATATTATTTGTCAATAAAACTACACATTTTGGAATGTTTTCAACCCTGAAACATGCTTAGAAGGGGTTGAAATAGTAAACCCCTATGATATTATTTCTTACAACTTTTTTCGATAAAAATTTTTCTTTTAAAAAACATGGCTGAAAATAATAAATGTAAGTATATTGCAAATTTATTTCATCATATCATTTTACTAAGCTCCGAATTTTACAACTGAGACAATAGAGTGAACAGGCAATGCCTTTAGCTTAATATACAGGAAAAATGAAAAGGAGAACATGTCTTTGTATGTTTGGAGAGGTTTAACGTTTCCGGGAGAGGTTTTTCATAAAATTTTATACCAAATACTCACTCCTTGATTTTTTTCGGTGTTATTTAGATATGTTCTGTATACAGAAAGGAAAAATTGAGTCCGAAGGGCACCATTCCGATGAGAACAATGTCCCATTCAATATTCAATATTTTATTCAGAATGTTCCTATATTCCCATTAGCTTTCGACATATCGAGTGCTCAAATCGTGAAAACCATAGCCAATATATAATCACCCTGTACCCAAGACAATATTTTTTGCATGAATGACAATGATATCTTATGTCTAAAATCTGAATTACCCTGTATATTCACGTATCTGGTAACATTTAGAGTAGGTTCAAATCAACATTTCAATTTAATTGCATTCTTCCACTTACTGCTCTAGCTTTTTTGCGGAACCAGGAAACTCACTTTATCCAATAAATAAAAATAAAATAAAATATCACTTTCATGGAAATAATCACAATTTAGTCGTTTTCTCAACTTCATTTCTCACATCAATCGCAAGAGATGTCGCAGATGCATCTTGATGTTCTGAAACAAATTGTGCCCATTTAAATTATGTTTATCATCACCCAATAATAATTATATTCGCGTTGTTTTTCTCTATTAGTTCATCGAACGAATCTAAATTGTGGAATTTGTGACCGGAATAAATAGAAACACAGACAACATAACCTAACTTAGCTATTGATCGATCAGCCCCAAGTGTGGACAATTGATTGGTCATCCAGGGACGTACTAGAGAGAGTATATGTATCGTTCTGAATTTCAGATGGAGTCACAGAATTGTATGTAGAATGTGGTGTTGTTTTACTGTGTTCGATACTCCAATGAGGGTCTTTGTATGTCATCAATTTTATTTCTGTTCCTGAAATCACAATGACTCCATTGTGTTATTATGAATCTCATCGCTCATGGAATATTATGTACTATATTACATACTATTTCATAACATCGGTTGTGAATAATCCATATTGACAGAGTTACGACTTATGTTCAAGAGATGATAATTGATTGATTGATTGATTGAATGTTTTTATTACCACAAGAAACATATCTGTTTATAATACGGATACATGAACACATATGAAAAAATAATAATAATATTAAAGGGTTATAACTAATGAATTCCACTCATTGGAAACATATAGTCATACTTTTTTTTTAAGATGAAAGTTATAACATTTCAATTCTGACTTCTGAGTAATGAAATCATGTCAAATATTTTTCAATCAAATTGTCCTGACCATCAGGTACAGTTTGAGATTGACTTTAAATCTTCTTACATCATGTATATTTTTCAATTCATTCGGTATTGAACTGTATAAAATTATTCCATTATGAAATATAATTGTTTGCCAATGTTCGACTTGAATGTATTTGCTATCAAGTGATTCAATTATTGTCTGGTCCCATAAGTAAATAACATATTTTGAGTTCAAATAACGGACTCAGATTCAGAAATTTTCTGGCTATGTATTTTACTGTTTTTTTTTTAGAAAATTCAGATGAAAAATACACTTAATTGATTTGTTTTGTAATTTCATTAGTGGTTTGAGGCGTGAAATATTTGTGCCCCCCCCCCCAAATATAAATTAAATATTGTATATTTGAATATATATGAGGCAAAAGTAAATACTCTTCAGGTATTTTACAAAACTGATATTTCGAATTTTGTATAAAAATGCCTATGATTGGATTCATTTTATTTCTCAAATGGTCAATGTGTCAATGGTTCTGCATCAATATAGAGACCTACAAATTAAGTTACCTCTGTATATTCAATGGATCTATTGTTGAAAGATATTGCATTATTCGAAATATTACATAATCTCTTGGAGATATACATATATGAAGATTCGTTAAAATTATCCTTTGACCTACGAAATCCATATTGACCACTGTTCAAGGAGATCAAGTAGCCGATTATTCATGATTTTTTCTATTATTCAGACAGAATTGGGAGGACGGATATTGGCCTGTGCATAATTCAAATCGTCTTTCTTACCAGATTTATGAATTGGCAATACCTTTGCAATTTTATAAATAGTTGTTTTCTGTTGAATATTCAGAATATTACATGCATATCTTTATATGAAGGAGAATGCAAATTCTCTTCTTCAGAAGATTTTGTTTTCGAATTCTTATCGTGTGTGTTCAATAGATGTAGGTAATTCAATATTCGTCGTGGCATATAGCCAGGAAAGTAGTTGTTTTCTGTTGAATAAACCGAGAAAGAATTAATATTTTCATCACATGGAGAATGCGAATGCTCAATGTATTTCTTTATTTATATATCCATTTTTTTTGTGATCATAAATATACCTGAGAATATTCCTTTTCAATTTATGAATTCAACTGATTACGTTTTTTAAACAGAACCTGTTCTTGGTGTGTTTTGTGTCAAAGTAAGGAAACAAGTTTATAGAACATAGGTCCGGAAACGAGTCGTTTCCGAGATATAGGGTGCTCAAGTTTCTCAAAAAAATCCATTTTTTATTGATTAATTTCTGAATTTACATTTGTATAGGTACTATAGGCACGATATAGTACTTGTTTCGACATGGTTACATGATTGATTTGGTGAACGGGCAACTAGATTATGATTATTAAAATTTTTCTTCCATCAGGTTCACATTCACAGGTTTGATACCAGATACCAGATACCAAAAAAAAAACTGGGTGATATTTTTGTGCAAAAAACTATTGGACTTGCCCCGTGGGCACACCCCTGATAATACTTTATCAACTGTATTAGGTCCAAAAAATACCTCATTGTAATTTCAACCGACATTGTGAATTTTATCACTATCGGTCAAGGCATATTTTAGAAATCAATAAAAATTTGAGTTTTCAAGAAACTTGAGTATTCTGCAAACGAATCAATTTTGAACATATGTTTATATCAACTTTTTATTTTATTTTGATCCAAAAAATATGACGTCGAAGTTTTGTGCAATGTTGCTGAAAAATGTGTATATGCCTTTCTCCTTTATTCAGTCGAAACATTAAAATACATAACAAACATTTATTTAATACAAACCTGAAATGGAATTCTGAAGATCCCATTCTGTGGCGCATATAACTAAATCTTTCCCACAGACGCCTTTCAGACAATTTATGATATATTCCTTGTCTAGGAGCAGGAAGACTTTTTTCTCGTTATTCTTCAAATCTTTGATCAGTTCACCCATGCACTGAAATAAATATTTCTCGTAGAAAACTTCACAAACGATAAGATTTTCACAAAATTCTCAATATCACTGCATGTCTGGCTAAAACAGGATGACTTCTTCAAGTGAAAAACTGGTACAATAAACTGAACTTACATTAACTTGCATTACTTCAATATCATACCTTATCCAAACCTGTGGAAAGGTTGATTATTTAGCCTTCATTTTCGAAAAGTAGGCTCAATAATCTACATAAAATCCGGATCAACTTGAAAAGCAAATTCAACAACGATAAATTATCGAGGTCTAGTTGATCATTAAGTAGAATGTTTGAATTATTGCGTTTGTTGATTTTTAATGATTCCAGATGATTGCATTTTATTGCCTTATTTTCTACGTGTAAAATTTATAAATTATCGTCAAAACTATGGTTTTCTTCTGATATATTAGAAGAAAACCATAGTTTTGATGATAATTTATGGTTTGCGTATGTTGAATTCATTTTCTTTTTCAAAAAATCCATCTCATGTGTTCCTGAGTGCGGTGATTAAACGTTCTACCTGTCTGACCTATATATACCTTAGGACAAGATCTACAGTTCAGTTTGTATACCCCTGATTTTTCGATTTTTGATTGGTCTCTGTTATTTTTGATAAACCTTTCTAACGTGTTATTTGTTCTACAGGCAACTTTCAAGTCTTTTTAATGTAGAAATGAAGCTAATTTTTCAGTTCAGATCCGAAATAGGGTCAAGTTCTGAAATTTCGATTATTGTTTTTGATGGTCGGATAAACTTCTCGAATTGCTTTATTACGGAGTTTTTTAGAAATAATGTTGTCTATCGAATTCACCTGGTATCAATTGTTGACTGCAATCTGTTTTATGATATTGAGTTCTGATAGTTCTTTTTCGAGATATATTTTCAAGAGATTGTTTCCAATACCTCTGATGCCCATTGAATTGAGGTTCTTCAGGAGAATATTATGTAAACTATATCAAGTGTTTTTTTCTAGATATGTTTTTAAGAGATTGTTTCCAATACCTCTGATGCCTATTGAATCAAGGTTCATCAGGAGAATATTGTGGTAAACTGTACCAAATGCTTTTTTTAGGTCCATGAAAATAGCTACTACATAATTTCCTTTGTCAAGTCTGTCTTGTATAGAATTTGTTACTTGTAATACTGCTAACTGTGTACCACTTTTCTCTCAAAAATCAAATTGATTCAAGTCAAACCCATATTTTTCATTGATGAAGTCAAAAATTCTCTTTTTCATAACTTTCTCAAGTATTTTGGAAAAAATACTCAACAAAGCTATTGGTCGGTAATTTACCGGAGTTTTGGCCTCACCGCTTTCATATACTGCCCTTAATTTATAGAAACCCTGTATAACACTTCATAACAGAAATACCGTGCTAGTTGTGGATAAAAAAAATTCCAAAAAGATAATGTAGTAAGTATTATAAACATTTCCTACCATGACAGCTGTGTAATCCATCGATTCAATCCTCCCTAAATCGATAACAACATATTGGTGGGTTCCTATTTTGAGGAGATCCTCTTTCAAGACAGTTTCCCTTACATACTCAGCAGAAAAAAATGGCATCGAGGACAATATCGTGATCCGTACATATCCCGGTGAAGTCCCTATCTGAAAAGCAATAGTCATTGTAAAAGAATATAACCCTTGAAATTCTTCCAGGATGTTTCTCTAGGCGAGTGGACTACCTTTTTTTAATTCTCAAATAGAATCATCACTAAAATACATTCCGATTTTGTATTTTTTTTGGATTTTTCGGTCGATTTTTAGGTGCTGAAATCATCAATAATGCCAGGGTGATTTTCAAACGGATAGAAATTTACCGCGAGTAAAAACTGATATCACGATTTCGTAAGTAGGGGTAGACCATAGCACAGTTGCCATGTGTTGAAATATGATTATGAACTCCAGAAATATTAGTTATTCAAACATTGATAAATTATCAATTATGTATTGGTAATATTCCTATTTAGCAATTCAAAATCAATTGTCTCAAAATGTTTCCTTGTGTCATGTGGCTTATTGCCTATAAAACATTTGTGTAAATAGAAATAATATTAATTCGCACTAGAGGACATTTGAAGCGGTGAACGGGACAACAACGCACGACTTGTGGGTGTGGTCTTGTCAGAGATGTATAGAAAGGACCCCGCACTTTTAGTACGTAAAATGGTTCTCGGTGAAATTTTCTGAATTTTCAGTATGTTGTAGAATTCGATGAACTGATTGAACCTGCAGAATCGTAAAGTTCTTTGATGAAGAGATTCTGAGATACAGGGCGTTGAAGTTACAAATCGGTATTCTTCATTTAATTATTTTCTCGAAATTCAAAGATGCCAAGTACAATTTTTTTCTCTCATATCATCAACGAACCTCCATATTACATAACATAATTCAGATGGTTCTGATAATGTAATTGTTTACAGAGTGAAACATATTAACATTTCAGTGATGTCTAAATATTCGATGTAATAATGAAATATCGAAAAAATAATTTAGGCATGCAGTATACTATTCTCATTGCGTCATGAATCACAATTCATACATTTCATACAGGGTGATTTGAAAAATTGATGACACCTAAGACCGATTTATTCATACACATCCTGTATATTCGAGTTAATTGTTTACCTCCCAAGATAGCTGATACCATATGAACATGATTTCGTTGAGATATATAGGGTGATCATGAAGATTTTCGATGATGAAAATGACAGAAAATCGTGTTTTTTGAAATCACTCTGTTATTCATGATTAACTCGGTGAAATTCCCTAATTATTTTTTAATATATTCATCATTCTCTCCTCAACGCTGACTTGAAAATTCAGTTTCCTATCATGACGGGTGTCATAGTTATTAATTCAGGAACTTACCATTTGCATGAAGAGTTGAAGAGACCTGTTCACTTACATTCGCATAGTGGCCGATATTTTTCACAAATAGTGAAACGTGAGAATGTGGAGACGAAAATAAGTTTAGTATTCATATACAGGGTGAACATTAGAAATTCAATAACAAAGCAGATATATGATTTTGATAATATTAATATAATGTACAGATAGTTGTTCATTTACATTCGTCAAGTGGCCGAGATTTTTCACAAATAGTGGAACGTGAGAATGTGGAGATCAAGTGTAACATAAATGATCTATGATGGCCCATTTTGGCAGAGCTTGTATACCAACGAAATTCGCCTAACTATCTGTACATTATATTAATATTATTAAATTCATATATCTGCTATTGTTATTGAATTTCTAATGTTCACCCTGTATATGAATACTGAACTCATTTTCGTCTCCACATTCTCACGTTTCACTATTTGGGAAAAATATCGGCCACTATGCGCATGTAAGTGAACAGGTCCCTTCAACTCTTCATGCAAATGGTAAGTTTCTGAATTAATAACTATGACACCCGTCATGATAGGAAACTGAATTTTCAAGACAGCGTTGAGGAGCGAATGATGAATATATTAAAAAATAATTAGGGAATTTCACCGAGTTCATCATGAATAACAGGGTGATTTCAAAAATCACGATTTTTTGTCATTTTCATCATCGAAAATCTTCATGATCACCCTATATATCTCAACGAAATCATGCTCATACGGTATCAGCTATCTTGGGAGGTTAACAATTCACTCGAATATACAGGATGTGTATGAATAAATCGGTCTTAGGTGTCACCAATTCTTCAAATCACCCTGTATGAAATGTATGAATTGTGATTCATGATGGGATGAGAATAGTATATTGCATGCCTGAATTATTTTTTCGATATTTCATTATTACATCGAATTTTCAGACATGACTGAAATGTTTATATGTTTCACTCTGTAAACAATTACATTATCTGAACCATCTGAATTATGTTGAGTAATATGGAGGTTCGTTGATGATATGAGCGAAAAAAATTGTACTTGGCATCTTTGAATTTCGAGAAAATAATTAAATGAAAAATACCGATTCGTAACTTCAACGCCCTGTATCTCAGAATCTGTTCATCAAAGAACTTTACGATTCTGCAGGTTCAATCAGTTTATCAAATTCTACAACATACTGGAAATTCTGAAAATTTCACCGAGAACCATTTTACGTACTAAAAGTGCGGGGTCCTTTAACTGGTGGGCTCACTCTTCAATTGTTTCGTCAGACTAACTCTCGATATGGAACAATTGCAAGCGAGTTTTGGACGTGGGGTTCAGGTATTTGACGATAGAGGCGCCTAAATGGAAAAATCGTTCAAAACCTTGGTTCTGTGAGGGATGACTCTATTTCCATCATTGTTCTGTGGTCGAATTCCGTCAGTGACATCTGTCAATTTGTATTCAGCGATTTATAGTCGAAAATTCGGAAAATTCGTACGAGATATAAAGTGTTTAGTGTTTTAATCCTTTAATTGTAATTGTTGTTCATAAGTGTTTTGTTCTTTAATTGTTGTTTAGTAGGTTTGCTGTTTGTTAGGTTTATAGTGTTTAGTTTTTATATTTCATCATGGACTGGCGTTGCTGCAATATATGCGGATCGTATAAAAATCCGCAACTCAGTATGTTTTCCGTACCAAAAGTAAGTACGATAATTCAACTAACTAACATTATAAGATATCTTTCAACATTAAAGTACAGACTATTAGAAAGATGCCACTAATTGGTGATTATTTTATAAATAAATACTGTGCTCAACATTTTCATTCAAATTTCAATTTTAAATAGAAGCAAGAAATCTTTTTTGTAGCCGATTTTAATAAGCTTCACTTCTTTCATGACATGAACCTATTTTAAAGCATGAAATCTGATAAATTTTCTCTTTGAAGAACCATCAGAACAAAGAATGTATCATTGCCTGTGGAAGTATTCCCAACAACATATAATCTCCAAAAATTCAAAAAAAATTCCAATACCTACCTCCTGTCCCTATCCCCCCTAGGAACGCACGATGTTCTTTGAACATTATAGGGATTCCCTTTCGTGCGCTCCAATCGATAAAAAAAACTATTGAAATAGACCAATATCGAAAATCATAATACACAGATATATGGTAACTGGTACTTACGTTAGAAATTTATTCACACCAGTTCACGCTGATATTTCAAATCACTGAAATAATACTGTTGTAGAACAAAGATTTTCCTTTTTCTATGGTGAATTAGGTATTATACACAAAATTTAGAAACTACGGAACACGTTCCTAACGAACACTCGACCCCAATCTAAAAAATAACCATTTTTTTAGCTCAAGAATATTTCTGACATATTGACGTTTCGATCCTTTGATCAGAAATCAGTTCACTGCTCTGATCAAAATCATATACGTATCCAAATAGTTATCGGTCGGTAATATGTTTCCTGTAAATATGGATTGTAACCAGGATGAGCTTAGCGAGATTTACCCACGTCGTTGATTGATATATTACAAAAGTTTATCAAAGTAGGCGCCATCGAGAAACTTGCAAACGACCTTCAATAGGGAGCAAGCGCACCAGTTAAATTTCTATACATCTCTGTCTTGTCCCTTCTGAGCATTCAACACGATGTTGCCAAGTCCCCAACATTTACATGAAATTTTTTCATGGAGTATTAGAAATATTGCTCGAAAGAGTCAAGAATGCTATAATATCATGGGTTCCTCCTATCATGTGTTATTCAACGACAGGACTTTTACATCTTTCTGATAACTTGATTATAATTGGTGATTTGACAACCTTGCTTCGTGAGTGGAAATGAAAGATTATCTGACCAATAACGAAACAGCATAAAAGCTGACGTCACCATTTATTCGACGTATCGCCAAATAGTATTGAAATGAGCTCCGAAATTCAACAACGCATACACTCATTATTTACATAAAAAAGTGTGAGAAGTGTTGCAAAAATTAATTTAGGTCCCTAACGACACAGTGTAGTAATTGAATGCCAATAATTCATTATGAGTCCACTCGCCCATTCCAAATGGGCTTACTATAATTTGATCAATGGATACTTTTGGTCTAGCAGAAACATATAAAACTTTGATTATATCAACCAAGATGCCTATCAGTATCCCCATTTCAATTCCAATAACCAGGCAACATATAAACGTTATTGTGAAGGGAAACAGGTCCAATTCTGAAAAAAAAAACGAATCAAACATCAGGTCACTATCAATAACACTATCTAGTTGATGGCTGCTGAAAATATACTTACTGTTGGTTTTCCAAATTCTCTGAGCAATCATCAGTTCAACCATGAATATGACTGCGCATATTATCACAGCTGCCAAAGTGGTTTTGGGGATATAAGGGAAATACGGTGTCAGTAATGTGAAAGCCAAAAACACCATTGCAGCTGGAAACAAAATTTGAGTTTGATGACACAAGTATAGCCCAATAAGTCTAGCATACATTTTTTGACTCAAAATGATATGATAGAGAAATATTTACTAGATATTTCCTTCATTAATACACTAGTTGGTTAAATAACTATTCTAGCATCTAAATGTTGCAAGAAGGCTTCTCAATTTCTGGGTTAATTTATTGATATGTATGTCCCATTTTATATAACGATCTATTATCAGCCCCAGATACTTCACTTTTTCGGTAGGTTTTATTTCATAAGATCCTGCTCCATCATTGAATTTAATGTTCGGAAAGTCAGAGAGATTTCGTTTTTGTATAGAAAATGGGACATAGTTAGTTTCATTGAAATTTATAGAAAGTAGTCTATCTTTAGTTGATGTTCGGTGATATAGTCAAACCAAGTTTTTATTTTTCCAAAATCTTCTGCTGCAGTTTCAAAAACGTCATTCCAGTTATTACCTTCGAAAAATATCGCAGTATCATCTGCAAAACTAACTGATTGCCCTCGACTCTTAACTAAAAAAATATTGCTCTAATAGATATTGATAAGCAAGGTCTAAGCACTGTCCCTTGCGTAACTCCGTATCTGATATTTCTGATATCACTATTTATTTCATCAATCGTGACACACTGATACCTATTTGATAGATAGCTTTCTAGTAACTCCAAGCTCGTTCCTCTTATTCCAGTCTGTTCTAGTGTTCGCAATAATTTTCCATGGTCCACTGTATCAAATGCTTTGGCCAGATCCACAAAGATACATAGGGCAGCTTATTTTTGCTGTCAAGTGTGCTATGGCATCTTCTTCTTCTTCTCTGCACAGGTGGGCGGGTGCGTAGACCCCTGCACTCAGGCCTCTTCAGTCAGGCCCATTGTGCGCCCACTTGTCCTGTGAATGAGCTGGGCATGCCGATTTCTTTGACGAAATTCAGCAGCTTCCTCAGCTGAGTCGCTTTCACATCCTTTGGGTGCAGTACAATGCTCCCAAAGGCAGCTTTCCTCTGATGCACCAGAGCGGGGCATTCAGTGAGTATATATGATGATGTTTCATCATCCTCCAAGCACCATCTGCAGATGGGATCATCTTTGATCCCTATGAGTTCTAGGTGCCTGTTGAGGTGGTTGTGCCCAGTTTAAGAGCCCAACTACCATCTTGAGATCCCTTCTATTAAAAGTGACAGGAACTCCCTCGTGAACCTTTTTGAACGTTCCTTTATATGGAGCTTTGATTGTCTCATTCCTGGTGTGTCCGCCATGTTTCAAGGAACTGCCTCTGTAGCATTTAGACGTAACATCTGCACCAATCATTTTGCTTTATTTCGAAAAAATTACTGCATACTGCATATCCAGGACCCATGATTGAACGCTTATCAAAATAAAATAGGTACCTACCTGAGTAAAGAGGATTCACGTATACCCAACATGGATAAAACTAAGTGGTGAAATATGTAGAACAAATATTAATAAAAAACAACCTAAAAGAGATAACTTGGTAACAGATACGGAAGATTCAAGAATTTATTATATGTATACGAATACGGTTATACCAGGTGCCTTCATGTTTTATATTGGCGCGCCACGTCAAGACATACAGATGCTTATGATTGGTCAATCCGTGCTCCGTGGCTTCGTGTGTCTTCGTTTCGCACAATGCCACCGCTACCCCTATCGGACATCGTCGATCGTAGCACAGTTTGTCGTGATCATGCGCATGCGTGATCCAGTTCATCGAATGTAATGGCGGATTCGTGATTTTGGGTCATGGAAAACAAGGATACTATGGAAAAGTGGGGTTCAGCAATATATTGCAGTTCGCTGGTTATTTGATCAATTCCAGGCAATAGGAATGTTTGTGGGAATACAATATTCCGAGGAAAGGCATTGCTCTCGTTCAGTAGAAGTAGTTGACGCCATGACGCCTCGTAAGGCTGCGAAGTGTAGTTGCCGCCTTTCAAACAGCAAGACTTTTTCAACAGGTCAATAATTGAGAAAGCGAAATCTACAAATGAAACTTGGAAGGTGTTTGATGTAGTGAGGTCGTTATTTGAAGAAGGTAATCTATAAAAACCTTAAATCGTAGGTACAAGAATAATTTGAGGTTATTAGGTTGAGATTCTTTTGAAACTTGACATCATCGTTTATGTCTATATACTATGGAATATAGTGGATTTTATGCTTATTAGTTTTATTCAGATGAAGAATACCTATGTATAATTATGTAAACAAATAAAAAATATCCTCAACGATTGTAACTAGATCATTTGAACTGTTTTGCCAACCAACAAAGGATTAGGATCATGAGAAAGTGATTTAGAGTTTCACAGTTTCTTGGTGATGTCAAAACCTGGACCTACTTGGTAACTATTCGACGTGTAGAGGACGTCGCTAGCTGACGTCGTTACGACGACGCTAAATGACGTCGTTACGACGTCGATGAATGACGTCGTTTGGCTGTGACAATTGTGACATATTGACGTCACATTTACGTCTCTTTCACGTCGATAATTTGGTCATTTCGACGTAATTGGTGACGCATATATGACGTGAAATTGACGTGTGTGTGCTAGCTGGGATGGCGACAATATATTGTATTTGGTCAAAAATGTATCAATTCGATGTATTATTACAGTTTCCATAATTTTCGCAATACATGATATCAAGGAAATTGGTCGGTAGTTTAGACATTAAGTATAATTTATCTCCGTTTTTATCTATAGGCCTAATTTTTGCTATTTTCAAAACAGATGGAAATGTTCTAAGTATCCAGTAGCCAACTGTGACACAGTGGTTCAAAGATAGTTTTTGAAATGGTTTTGAGGGTAAGTGGGATTATATTATCTATGCCAGGTGCTTTATTTTTCTTCAGCTTACTGATCAGAACTTCTATTTATACATTCATGTTATGTTATATTCCAGTTATATGTATCATAGGAAAGTTATTCTCCATTGTGCCTCACCTGTGTAAACCCCTGCCAGAGGAGTTCTGATCCCGCTAGAGCTGCCCACAGCTGCCCTGGAAAAGGACGCGTTCACTGGATACGATCCGAATACCGATCCAACAATATTACAAAGACCTACGGCTATCATCTCCTGGGAAGCGTCGACGGCTTTTCCTTTGGCTGAAATCAATTTCGAAGAATATCAACACGAGTCTGAAAAAATAATTCCTAGATTCAAATGATTCTCGGAGTGTTAATTCTTTATCTGTGTTTTAGGTATCGATGTGTCAACGTTACTTTTGACCAAATAAAAAGCAGGATTGTGCTCGCACTACACAACCAGTTTAGAGAGACTTCACCCCGAATTGCCAACTTTAAAATGTCCACCACTGTAGAAGCAATATTAAGGAGAAAAATGTTGTGAACTCCACTTCTGATTAGTTGAAAATCCTGTTGATGCACCTGCTTTCATTCTGAAATCTGTCATATCGTCGTCAATTACACTTCTCACATTTTTGTCACACACTTCAGAATATTTATTTATGGACAACTTCATAATTTATTATTCTTTGGTTAAGAAGTTTAATGGTTTCAGTACAAAGTAGGAATATACTTCAATTATGACTTCACAATCGCAAGATAAAACTAATAAAGTTTCGGCGCTTTCCTGAAATGAAAAGTAAACCAAGGAAGTGACTTTAAATTGATTAAACTGTGTGGAAACGAAGAAATCACAGTTGATACCATAAATAGAAACACTAACATAATTCATAATAATCATTTTCTTAGTAGAAGAATGAAAATATGGAAATAAAATCATTCAAGAAAATACTTTTAAGGCTTACACAGCTCAGGCACAAGTTTCCAATAATAGCTATCACAAATTGCGGAAAACAACAAGTTTGAAATATCAAACCTATATATTCAAATAGGCACAGATCGTTCAAGGGTAGCTGAAATCACAAGACTTTATTGAAATATTCAAATATTAATTATAGCATTAGATATAATGGGTATAGTTAGGAAATATAAGTGAAGAACAATGATTATGAAGACCTAAAAATATTTAAGTGTCAAGTCAGGAGCAATGAAACTCAACGGTGATTATATTGAGTTCATTGGTCAAGAGTAGCCCCAGACCAGATAACTTCAGAACCCTCACATTCAGTTCATTATAGGTTTGCATGTTTCTCATGAGAGTTTCTTGATCAGTGTTAGAACGTGATTCGAATTTGATATATAGATACACCATTTTCTGCTCAACTATTGAAAGTATTGACGTAACGCAGATGCACCAACATGATTTTGAACCAGTTTCGTTCATTTATGAACATTCGTCGAAATGACTGAGCAATGAGTATTTATTTACCATTCCATTCCACTTCGAGTATTTTGGCTTTTTCTTAGTTGAAACCTTTTTAGTCTCCCATTTAGGAAAGAAACACTTGGGATCAGTATTCGTTAATGTTTAAGAACGACAATGGTTTAACTATTTCGGGATGATAAAGATCGATGTTGCTACAATAATTTATGAGCACCCTGTAGGATATTTTTGAAAATTTTTCGAGGATTTGGGTAGCTATAGGTCTCATTCATGTAGATCCTGAAAATATTAGGTCTGACTATAGCGTGGACTTCTAAACATATTTTTTCTTTCAAGATAAAATGGCGGAGTTACATTGAAATTCAGCGTGGATTCCAAAATATCGAGAAAATTGGAATCCCCCGCATTAAAAATAACAGGAAACTAGTCTAAGTAATTTCGCAAACCCAGCCAACCATCGTGTGACAGCAACATCCGTGTGATGTAACAACCTTGCATAAATGCAATATCTCGTTAACACATCTTATCGACGTAGATTCGATATCAACGTCGCAAGGTGACATTGCAACCAGGAAACCAGTCAGTCAGTGAGTGAGTCCGACTCCGTACAGACTATTTCCTTCCAAATTCTCTGTTAAAATATCTGAGATGATTTATAGCACATATTATAGCAGCTTCAAATTGGAGGTATACAATCATCTGGGAACGACGGCGAGTACAATCACTATAGGTAATATTGTAATTATCTCTGAGATAGGAATATTGCAATCTAAAACAAGGTGGATGAAAGATCCCAAGATAATGTAAGTGTATTTGATATGTATCATTTATGAATAATGTATATTCGTATTGCTATATATATGTGTCATGTTTTACTTCAAGATTACTAATTAGGGTGATTGTCATGATAAGTTTTGTATCATCTGTTTTTACTTTCGGAAAATAAACATTTTCTTCGTGAAGTTGAATAATTATTATTATTATATATCCCACGAATATCACAGGTACGGCGACCACATCATCGATGTCGCAGTGTGATGTATTTGTAATAGGAAATGTAGACTTGTATGTGACCTGGTAGTGATTTTTCATGTGATGTCGCATTTCATGTCTGAACGACGTCACAGTGATTTTGCTTGAGTCGGACATTTTCACATCGCCACGTTGTATCGGTGACATGTTTGTGACTTCAAATGCGATATCGCATGTCACAAAGTGATGTGGCGTATACATCACTTATAAATCTCATGGTTGGCTGGGAATACATATCGATTAAGTTCAGTTTTTGATGAATACTCACCAAATGCCTTCGCTATACCAATATTGGCAAGAATGGCTATAAAAGGAACGAAAATAATGCCAGTTTCCAGTTCATACAGCATGTCCTTGAACGTGATGGTCGTATTGCCTTTCTCCAAATAGAATAGTGGCAGTGAAACATTCGGCCAACCTGTCGGAACTCTTCCTACAAAATACACGAAAGTCAATCAACGAGCACTCAAAAAATGGTCGATACTATACTTCATCAACGACTATGTTAACAAATAGGAGAAGACACTAACTCGTAAATTAAGTTCAAATAAAGGAAATACAGGGTAGTCCAACGATTTTAGGGCTTTAAAATGAAAATAATCCGGAAGAACGCTCGGACCCGTCGATTTGTGTTTCTTGGAAGAACGACTTGTCTCCTGATTGTTGGATTTTCACGATGAACTGAGGTAAATCGAACAGATAGTGTGTCCATGAATACTTCTCGAATCGAAGTAAGAATAATATTCTCGTGGTAAATTCGACATTGCTTCTTCCACTATTTGACGAAGTCTTCAAAATGTGGTGTCGCAACACCCCTATCATCCCTATTCAAAATCCGGAGGTTGTGTCCCCCCCTTTTTTTTTCTTTTTTTATCGAGGTGCTTGATTATTATATTGTCCCGATTTGTTAGCCTCCTAGTACGTATATTTTTTGACGAGTTTGAAGATGAAAACTGTTTCTCACCTGTCAGTGTGAAGGGTGTCTCATTGTAGTAATCTAGAACAAATGCAGCTGCTGCACAGCAAACTACCACCAAAGCATTTTTTGCAACTGAAAACAACCAAATCATCTTTTTGAACGTCGATTGTTTCTTCCCACTGTCTATGAGAGGAGCACCATAATCTTTCAGTTTCTGAAATCAAAGAATATATTGAGATGATTATAACATTAATACTAATACGTTCATCACTAGCTTTGCTGACGTACAATAATTGTTTGGTTTCTTTTTTCCATAAAAACATGTTTTTGGTATTTCTATACAGGGTGATCCTATTAGAAGTATCTGGAGAGCGAAAAGACAGAACATTCTGAAAATTGGAATTCTCTGATAATTGAACATTCTCTATCCGTCTGAAATATTTTGATCGATACAGTGTTGCCACTTCTATCAGAAACAACTAGCAACTTTATTATTTCAAATGGAACACCCTGTATTCTATTGCATTTTTAGATACTTCCTGAAAAGCTGATTTCATCGATCTATTACACTTGGAGTCTAGCATCAATGATTACAGAGATATAGGGTGTTCAAAATCGAGATTTTTCAATTTTAGGATTTTTTTGTGTCGAAACTATTCATTATCGATCGAAATGGCTTACATGACCCCATCTTAACTTTTGATTCACTATTTACTGGAATTTAATTGGAAGAACTACAGGGTGCTTCAAGATCCAGAATTTTGATCACCCTGTATCTGTTCCAATTAAATGTCAGTAGATAGTGAATCGAAAGTCAAGATAGGAACATGTGAGCCGTTTTGATCGATAATGAATAGTTTCGACACAAAAAAATCCTAAAATTGAAAAATCTCCATTCTGAACACCCTATATCTCTGTAATTATTCCTGCTAGACCCCAAGTGTGATGTATTGATGAAATAAGCTCTTCAGGAAGAATCTAAAAATGCAATAAAATACAGGGTGTTCCATTTGAAATAACAAAGTTGCTAGTTGTTTCTGATAGAAGTGGCAACACTGTATCTATGAAAATATTTTACACGAATAGAGAATGTTCAATTATCAAAGTATCCCAATTTTCAGAAAGTTCTGTCATCGCGTTCTCCAGATACTTCTAATAGGCCATCCACCGTTGATCTGATGGTCAAAACAACAACTCAGAGAATATTTATCTACTTAGCTCCCAAATTGATAGCGTTCCTGATGTATAGACAACAAGAAAATATACAAAAAACAATTGAGAGAGTGTATATAAACGAATAACCACATTTGATTCGATGCCTCTTGGATATTGAAATAAAATAGAAAAATCATGCCTAAATTACATTGTCCTGCCTTCCACAGTATTCCATTGATCAATGCACCGTCCCTTGTAGACATCTTAAACGCAATATACATACACATTTTAATATACAGGGTGGCATTGAAATAAGTGCAAATATTTCAAGCATTTAGTAAGCTCGACGTATACTATCGAGTGGTACCAATAAAATAATATAGGGATCAAAATAAAATTTGAGGTTAGACCCCTTCTCCCACCCAAATTTCCACACTGTATCAATTAGAAAGTCACCTCTGTTCACATTTTCGTGCGGATGGCACAATCATGTGGATTCCAATGAGTTCATACTTAATTTTTTTCTTGTTTTTCCTTCAATTTTCTGGATGAGATCTCTTGTTAATCAGAAGAATTAGGAAAAAATTCATGGTGAGGTTGTCTGCGTGTATGTATTATTTTGTTTATTTATTTGTAAATCTATATTTATTTTTTGATTTCAAAATATGAAGTGTATATCGCTTTTAAAATATTTATTGTATCTTTTTTGTATATTTCCATAATCCAATTTTTTTTATTTCTTTTTTCGAAACAAGTTGCGTGTTGTAAAGCGATTACGCACTCATGAAATTACTTAACTTTTCCATTCGTGCGTAATATGTTTCATACAACACATATTACGTTAATATACTATTACCTACTACCAAATAGTTATTTAACCAACTACTTTATTAATGAGGGCGATTAATGATCGAGATATTTTAACGTGCGAGCGAAGCGAGCGCATTAATGTTCGAGATCATTGATCGCCTTTTAATATAAAAGTTGGTTACAAAATTTTTCCGTCGACTATATTGCTCATTTCTCCTGCAATGAAGAAAACTTGATTCGCGAATTCATCATTCATCCGGAAACTGCTAAAAATTACCCAGTAGCCTTGTTACTGACATTAGGGACATTTGACATTTGTCTAAATGATCAACATAGAAAATAAATTCGTTGTGTTAGAAAACAGGGATTGAAATCGTGTTAGAAACTTGGAAAGGCGAACCCGTTAATGGAAAATCTTCGATGAAATCCATATTTTCGATTTAAATGCAGATTCCGTAAGTTCCGTAGGTAGCATAAACAATGGATGCACGCCGTGTATGTTTGGTTGCCTATAAAACAATCGTGCATTAATAGACAAATTATTGATCATTAATAGGGGCATTAATGAACGATTTCATGAACATTAAACTTACTCGTTAATACGAGGACGACGGAAAAAGCTAATTATGTAATCAAAAATATTCAATATTCCTTGTGTTTCATCTTTGCTTGAACTGACGATTCATTAGGAATATGTAACAAGCAAGCTTTGCAAGGGTTGGGCGTATGGTTGTCGTGAATCTATTGTGTTCTCGGGTGTCACTCATTCGGCAAACTGTCAACTTCGACAAGTTAATTTCAATTTGAAAAAAACTTCATCGGCCTGAATTCGGATCAGGAAAGTTTGGATTCCGATATAGAAATTGCGGCGAATGCAGCAATCGAAACTTTAGTACCTGCCATATTCATGATAAATTGATTCTTATTCATTTGTTTGGTTAAAAAATAAAATTTGAAATTATATATTTTTCATTTTACCACACTAGTGCGGTAATTACTCACATTACATATTGGTAGTGGGTAAATATCTTTTATCGGACTATTTTTGCAATGACGGTTCTTACACGCATAAATAGAAGAACAGCACAGCAAGATAGTCCCAAGATGGTGTCTGCCAATTTCAGCTCTGTGATGTGTTCGAACACGTTTTTCCATATAGTATAGAAGGTTTCGCCCTCGAATTTTACTCCAATCAGATTCTTCACTTGAGAAGAGGCTATGGTAATGGCACTTGCAGAGGTGAAAGCAGATACAACAGGTGAGGATACGAAGTCGACCAGAAAACCTGAAAATAAATAATTATTTCCCGAATAGAGAGAAACTCAAAGTCATTACCACAATAGTTCATAAAATGAACGAAAATGGTAGATATCGAGAGAAAAACAAGTACTCTCCTGGCTAAATGCCACGCAGTACATTGGAACACATCCTCCCGAAATCTATGCATCAACTCGTATAAACGAATACTGAAACAAGTGATTCTTTCCTGCATGCCTATTGTTTTCGATTTAGCCAGGCCACGCTAGACACCTACAAACCGGTTTCGAGCTCTTTGACTCTCATCAGTGCAGGGCAGTCTCCAGCCAGCAGTCCTAAGACCGCCGACTAAGCGTAACCTAGCCAAACAAAACTCAAGTAGGCATTATATTTTCCCAGAGGCGTCTTTCATAGGCAATATGAAAGCAACGCCATCTGAGTAGAAAAGAAGGAAATAAACACTACAAACTGAAATTCCCATGCGGGAGTGACTGGTTGCCCGACTGGCGTAATTTCAACTACGAAATAGCCAGAATACTCAAAGTGGAATGAAATGTTAATGTAATGTAAATGTTTATTCCATTTAATGTAATGTAAATGTTTATTCAACATTTCATTCCACTTTGAGCATTGTGGCTATTTCGTACTTGAAAGATATGATATGTCAAGAAAAACGTCAAGAAAACACTTTTCGAAATGTCTTGACTTATTCTCAAGACAAGACAAGAAGTTGTTAATCAAGACAAGAATCTTAGTCTTGGCGACCTCTAGGTGTTCCTCAAAGATCTGTTTTAGGACCTATATACAGAGAAGTGCACGAGAAACGGCCAGGACTGTAACTTTTGGATTATTCGCGATAGGGTTCTGGAAATTGGTGGGCAGCTAGTATACCAAATTGCTCATTAATTGACGAAACGATTTTTGTTCTGTCACTTTTAGTTTTACAGTTTTACTAGAAACAACCTCAACTTTTGATTTTTGAATGGGACACCCTGTATTGTATTCCATAATCGGTTAGGTATTGTCATAACGAATTCATCGATACCGGGTTTGATAGGTTTATTCCAAACGATTACGTAAATATTCGCGTTTCAAGTTTACATATGCTCAATGAGTGTGACAGAGAAGGAAGTTTTGATATTGCGAAGTCACACCCATTGAGCATATATACAGGGTGTCTCAAAAAAACCTAACCCCCTTGCTAGGGTAGGTAGAACATTGCAAAATGAGTTGGGTTTGCTCAGTGGAAAAATGTCGTAACGGCATCCGTTTTCATGATACAAGGTGTTGAAAAAATGATTTTTTTACACATTTTTCACGATTATGTCTAAACTACTGGCAACATTGTAATGAAATTTTGTATGGATGTTTCTTGAAATCTGACACATCGCATGAATTCGTTTTTATATCTGACTCATAGAGGGCGCTAGTTACACGGTTCGTACCGAGTAGTTTTGAACATAACTTTTTTGAGGTTAGATTTTTCAATACAAATATGATATTGAACTCAAACATCATTCGATTTTACACCAGAAAGGTACTCCTGGTGAAATTCGATACAATGTTCCGTTTTCGGAATATTTCGATTCGAAAATAATGGAGTACTGATGATGCTGGTATAAAATTAATTTTATTGAGTTCAATTACCTATTAATTCAGATCCAAAAACAATAAAATTCTTCTTGTGCTGAAGTTATTGATGGAACAAAGAATTGACTAGATATTTGACTAGGAACATGAAATATTGAATCAGAGTAATTGTTCAAAATGTCCTACGTTTCGACGAATACACGATTCTATATTATTTTCTTAAGAATGTATAATTCTTCTAAACAGTTGAGGATCAGCTGGTAAGTCATATAAGTGATGTTCAATTATGTCTTACAACTCTTGACGTGAATTTACCTATGTAGCATAGACTTTCTGCTCAAGATACAACAAAACTGTGTAATCCATGTTCTTAGTCAAATCTGTTTCGATGTTATTCTTGTGATTCATTGTTAAATCAATGGGTTTAGCATCAGAAATGTATTATTGTTTTCGGTTTTCAATAAATAGGTGATAATTTTTCATAATACTCAATCTAATACATAGCTTTATACCTGCAACAGTTATCATTTCATCATTTTCGAATCGAAATATTCCGAGAACGGAACACGACAGTATCGATTTTTACCAAGAGTACCTTTTTGGTGTGAAATTGAATGATGTTCAAGTTCACATCAAATTTGGATTGAAAAATCTAACCTCAAAAAAGTTATGCTCAGAAATACTCGGTACGAACCGTGTAACTAGCGCCCTCTATGAGGGTCAGATATTAAAACAAATGCATGCGATGTGCCAGATTCCAAGATACATCCATACAAAATTTCATCACAATGTTGCCAGTAGTTTCGACATAGACTTGAAAAATGTGTAAAAAAATAATTTTTTCAACACCTTGTATCTTGCTAACAGATGCCGTTACGGAATTTTTTTACTGAGTAAACCCAACTAATTTTGCAGTGTTTTACCTTCCCTAGTAAGGGGGTCAGGTTTTTTTAAACACCCTGTATATAGCAAATATCTTTGTGATCGTTTGAAATAAGCCTATCAAACCCGGTATCGTTGATTCTTCATGATAGTCCCTAACCGATTATGGAATACAATACAGGGTGTCCCATTCAAAAATCGAAAGTTGGGGTCGTTTCCGGTGAAACTGGCAGTGATAAAAGATAAATTGTTTAATCAATTAATGAGCAATTTTCAAAACCTTATCTAGAATGATTCAAAAGTTACAATCCTGGCCGTTTTCTGTGCACCTCTCTGTATATCTCATATTGACTGATTGAAGGGGAGATGAAAAAGTATGGGTGGCGGAAATTTGATCGAAAGACAAATGATAGAAAAACATTTGATAGAAGTCTTTTGATCGAAAATCAAAAAATAGAAAGAACTTTTCACCGAAAATACATTTGATCGAATGTTTCATGATAGAAAATACAATTGATAGAAAAAATATTTGATAGAAAATACACTTGATAGAAACAGCATTTGATTTGAAATTCAACGGGGCTACGCTCAAGTTAGGTCAGTTCGTTTGTAAAGATGATCCTTTCTCATATATTTGAGAAGAAGGAGCTAAAAGTTTGTGGTATAAATAAATTCATAAGCTTCGATTTCCATCTAGCTCCTTCTTCTCAAATATATGAAGAAGGATCATATCTTCACAAACGTACTGACCTAACTTGAGCGTAGCCCCGTTGAATTTTCTATCAAATGCTGTTTCTATCAAGTGTATTTTCTATCAAATATTTTTCCTATCAATTGTATTTCCTATCATTTATGTTTCTATCAAATGTATTTTCTATCATAAAACATTCGATCAAATGCATTTCTATCAAAAACACTTTCGATCAAAAGACTTCTATCAAATGTTTTTCTATCATTTGTCTTTCGATCAAATTTCCGCCACCCGAAAAAGTATATTTTTGCTGATGGAAATGTTGAGCAGTGTTTCCTTACCTAAATGCACAATTCCGCACAAGAGTTCGACACATCCTGCCAAAAAACATAATAGTATGGCACCATGGACATTTCCGAAACTCAGATTTTTCGTGTAAGAGATCGTCAAGAGGGAGAGAAGGGCAGTGGGAGCTATGCTGAGTTCAGGAATCGTTCCGAAAAATACGTAAATCAAACCTCCACATAGCGACGAATAAAGGCCATACTGAAAAAAACCACGTTATTTCACACAACTTTCCACAACCAAAAACAATACAGAGAATTTCCATGTGCAACGAACTTCTCTAATAAAATATGTATATACAGGGTGTTTCAGTTTTTCGTAGCAGGACTTTAACAGATTGAAGAAGACATTTTTTCAAGATGAAAATCTCAAACAAACATATATGCGTGGGAGCTTCGTTTCCTATTTACAGGGTGTCAAAGTTTCAGATTTTTTTTATGTTTTTTGAATTTTCTCCTACAATTTCTGGAATAATTGATTGAAATTTGGACACCTAATACACTTAAAAACCCAATATTTGAGGCTACTGAGCATTTTTGTTTTTGAATACCTACAGGGTGATAGAATTTCAGGGGTCGTACCCAATTTAACCCTGTGGAACTTTTTTGCGTGCCGCCTCTGCTTTCAATGGGACATAGATTCAGATTGTCTCTGCAATTTGGAAACTTTTTGCCCCCATGTATGTTTTTCTAAAACTGTATGGATTTCGAGATGAATAAAAGTGGAGTCCGAACCACTTCTAAAGGTACTGATAAAATTAGAATTGCGATGTATAGCGCCTAGACCGTGTCACACAGTCCCTGATATCGAAAGTTTAACCAGTTTCAGTTATACAGGGTGTCCTAGAATTTTCTACAATGCAATTTCAGATTTTGCAATCCAGTTAGAGACGTTTTTTAAAATAAAAACATTTTTTCTTTCTTTTTCCTAGTTCTAATTATAATGGTGTTCAAAAAATTCAATCTAATTCTGCAACTGAATTTCATTTCTTATGGAAGCTTTCGGTCATTCTATTTTCCAATAAAATGTTTGAGGAATTTCAAATAAGTGTGTTTGAAAAATAACGGTTTTATTACAAGTAATTTAATTTTGGCATTTATCTCGAGATCCATAAAGTTTTCGAAAAATTCACATAGAGGCAGAAAGTTTCCAAATTGAAAGGACAATCTGAATCTATGTCCCATTGGAAGCAGAGACGGCACGCAAAAAAGTTCTACAGGGTTAAATTGAAAAAATTCAAAAAACATAAAAAAAAATCTGAAACTTTGACACCCTGTGAATCGGAAACGAAGCTTCCACGCATATATGTTTGCATGAGATTTTCATCTTGGAAAAATATCTTCTTCAAGCTGTTATAGTCCTGCTACAAAAAACTGAAACACCCTGTATATATATATTGTTAGTTTGGATCCATTATAGAATGGAAAAAAAGTGAATTTTAATTAGTTTAATTTTAAATTTCAACAAAACATCAGTTCTATGGTTCTTATGTTTCTTATTGATATAGAGGGTGTCTCCTTTTGACCCCTTACAGTTTCAACTATGCGAGGTGGAAAAAATTTCAGATATGAAAGTTGTAGGGTTTTATATCTATGCTAGAGTCACTGGAAGGTATTAGTGAGATAGAAGTTCGGACACAGAAATGCCAACTGTTAGTGTTTTTGAATGTTTAGATTTATTAAGTTACACACATTGTGACAACAGTATCATAGTCGTTCCGCACTATTTTATTAAAAATTGTTTGAATTTGACAATACATTTTATAAACATCAGAATTGAAATATAATTTTATGAACTATTGAGAAAAAAGCATGAATGAAAATGTCCTGCTGTGTAATGAATTGCGGGAATTCTTGAGGAAATGGCGATTTGATTTCTTTAATTGCCCAAAGGAAATATCATCTCTTATGTATGGAACGGCCTGGATGGAAAATTAATTTGAAAATAGGCAAAATTTGTGAGGTGAGTACATACATTGAAATTCACTTCTTATAACAGCAGATTGGATGAAACTATCTTTTAGACCCATTTTCAAACATACAAAACAAAATTATACGAATTGATTGCAGAACTTTGTAATGAAACTTAGAATTTGAGAACGAGACTGTGGAAATCAAGTAAATTGCAACATGATATATAATATCATTGAATGACGTTTTCAATACCGACCAAATTCAAAAATTTATCAGTGAAAAGTGAATGCAGCAAAAGGTGGAAAATCAAAACAATCTCAATGTTTTAAACTATATCACTCGGGTACAGTTTTACATACAATAAGGACTAGCTCTGAGTATATCTATATGTGTCTATTTTGTCATATAAAAATGTTGTTATATGTGAATTCATTTCATTTTTATAACTATTGTTCTGCCAAAAGTGTATCCCTATGTAAATTGAAGTGGCTGTTTATAACATATTTCTATATATTTTCCATCTACAACAATGATTGATTAAACAGAAAATCTAACCTCTTAAATCGTATATCTGACAATAATGCGCTTCTAGGGAAATTGAAAAGACAAAGAGCAGGATATATGTCTTATTCTTTTATTCACACAAACCATTGTGATATAGGAAATAGAAAAGGACAGAAGTTCAGCTGTGTCCGAACTCTTATCTAACTAATCCCATCCAGTGACTATACTATCTATACTATCTTTTGGCACTCCTTAAGTAAACGAATGCGAATCGCAAAATAGAAAAAAAAGAGTCCAAATCAGCTTCATAAATGGAACACCCTGTATATTTTCAACTTTATATGTTCAAAGAGTTTGCTAATAGCTAATAATGTTCCCTCAAGCCGTTTAGGGCCAAACTCTTGCTGCACTACTGAATTTTTTGCAATATTTTCATAATATAACCTTACTATCTCGTATTTTGCTGAAAAACTGACAGAGATGTCAAAAAATGCCTGATTGGTTTCCATGGCCTTTCTGTTGTGCATGATGTCCACAGCCATCTAAATGTTATTGGCAAACTTTGATTCAATGCAATTAATGAAAAGTTAAAAATGGCTTGAGGAAATATTAGCAAATTATACTGGGTGTCCCGAAATAAGCCTGCTAAAGCTTCACCTGCGAATTTTATATAAATCGAGAAATGTCTCCTACGAAAGCTCCGACCCCCTGAGAGGGGACTACGGAGATGATATTCAAAATTCAGTATGGATGGAGACTGAGATATAGCCTCAAAATTTCAAAATAATTCTGATTGGGAAAATTAAGCTAGATATGTAACGGTCTCAGGGGTTTGGTGGGTTTACTGATTAAAACATGGATGGTTCAGGAGACTATTTATTCACTTCAAAAGTTCACCAAGATCTCGGGTTGAGAGGAACGTCGAAAACCTAAATATCATATGCACTAATGAGCACCAGGACAGTCTATCACTTGATATAATGGGCGATTAAATTACAAAGGAGCAAAGAAAAGTAGGTACAACTAACATGTGACCTGAAAGGTCGGTCAACAAATCATAAAATAATATAAAAGAGTTTTACCCACCTAAATATCATATGCAGGCACAGGCCAAGATGTTCCAGAGGAACATTGGGCACATAGGAAACCAAAAACACAGAATTTGGGTTCGATCAACGTGGATGTTAAATTATTATTCACTTGGTTGAGAAAACTGCCCGTTCGAGAGTGAAATGACCAGCGCAAGCCATTTCAGAAAATCCCCTCTCCACAACAACTGACCCTAGGCGCGCACACGGATTTTGAATCTGTGTGAATGAATAGTTGGTTGCCTAGCCTCCCGAAGAATATTTGATAATTATTATTATATTTAAAAGAGAGCATGGGCGGCGACATTGATTTGTTACATCTCCACCCCCCTCCCTTGAGCGAAGGTACGAAGTACAGAACTCACCACCTGAAAACAATCTATGGCGGCTCAAAATATTTTTTCAAATGGCTCGCGTGGAACATACCCCTCTCGCGACCATCTAACTGACATAAAATGTAAGTATCTTCCCGTATACGTTTTTTAATTGAAAAAGGACCTTCAAACAATAATAATAATTTTTTTGTTTCAGCCTTTACAGTCGACGATATATTGTTTGCCTTTAAGAGGACTTTATCAGCCGGTTGGAATTTTTCATACGGACGCCCCGGATGTTGAATGGCGCGACGTGCAGCTTTGGAACGCAGTGAAGCTTCGGCAAGTATTAGCTTCTCGCCGTGTTCTAGAGTTTTCGGGTAATCTGGTGGCTGCACCCTAACTGGTAAGAATTTTGGTTTTTCTAACCCCAACTGCAACTCATTGGGAGTAAAGCCTGTCGTCTCGTGAACCACAGAATTTAAGAATTCTTCAAAAAGTTTCAACCCCACTGCCCATTTCGCGTGATGTTCGGAACAGAAGGCTCGCATAATCCTACCTATCTCGCGCATACATCGTTCGCTCGGATTCGCGGCAGCATGTCTAACAGAAATATACACTAAGTTTATACCACGATCTTCAAAGGTTTCCCGCCAAAGTTTCGCGGTGAACTGGGTAGCATTATCGTGAAGTATTCTTCGAATTGGACCGAATGTTGGTAGATAATCGGAGATCATACGATTCAAAAGGGCCCTGGTAGTCGCTCGTTTCAAAGGATAGAGCTTTACATGTTTTGTGAAAACGTTAAACACGACCAAAATATACGTGACACCCCCACGACTTCGAATTAATGGACCTAAACAATCTATCGCGATTAAATCGTCCTTAGAAGTAGGTAAAATTTGTTGTTGAGGTGGCTTTGGTAATATTGAAATTTTAGATTTTTGACAGATATCGCAAGATTTTATAACTTTTTTCACTCGACGTTGCATATTTGCAAAATATACCTCGTCCTTCATTGCAGAATGGGTTTTATAAAGTCCAAAATGACCGATGGCCTCATGATATCCTCTAATACAGGTGATCACTAGTTCCTCGGGAATATACAATAAAAACGAATTCTCGACTCTACCATACTTGAATAGAATATTATTGAATACGACAAACTGTCGAGACAAGGCTTCATCCCCTGCTATAACTTGATTTATTATTTCCGATAATTTTTTGTCTTCCGTCTGGTGATGGATTATATTTTTTAGGGATTTTTGAACGGCAGATGGGAGCTGAAGAGTGAGAATCTTGAAGTTCTTGTCGGATGGGGTTGGTAACCTAACACAGCTATGCCTGGACAGAGCGTCAGCTACGTAGTTTTCCTTTCCAGA